AAATCCTATCTCGATTATACGTGCTATAAAACATTATAGCATCCTTTAAGCTTCTTAGCGGATCTCTTTATTTGCTGCTCTAGATAACTTTGTTACTTTTGCAGCGATTCTTCTTATCGCGTGCTCTAGTAATTTTCTTAAAAGGTAATGTCTAGGAGATTAGAGTGGTTTCTAGTATCGGGGCAGAACGAGGCCTAGCGGGTTAGTAGTAGCTAGGAACCTCGTAAACAATTTCTTTAGTCGCTAAAATCCTATTAGAGGATATTATCCGTTATTGTTAGACATCTATTCTAGCACTAGTTTGCCCTTATAAAGCTATAACGACTTCCTTAGGCGAGCTTCTACACTCCTTTCTTACTTCGTCGATGTTAGTTATATAGGGTGGATACTAATAAGAGGATCTTATAACTTTCTACTTCGTAGTAAAGTTTAAAGGCTAAGTCGCTAATCCGCTAGGTGGTAGTTTCGGTTTAGTAGTTAAGATCTCTACTAACGTGCTAGTCTCTCCTAAACCTACGTAAGAGGCGATTAAAGGGATGTTATCTATTATTGTTTAACATCCTCCTTACTCTTGTATTTTAATACGTCCTTTTCGTTTCTTTAACGCCTTGCGCTAGACATTATAAGGGTCCATAAAACCTATATCTAGTATCTTATAGATATAAGTCTTAATTTCCCTTTTCGTAAAGAACGTAGAGTTAAAGGCTAATTAGACTTTAGTTAACATCTATGGCTCCTCTTTCTAACTATTAGAAGTGTAAGCATAGTTAGAGTAGTCCTTATCTAAGAGAGCTTAGACTATAGTAACTATTAAGGGATTCTCTTTAAGCCTATCGTTTAGGCGAAGCAAACATTCCTTTGTTATTTCTCTTTCTAGATCTTTTAATAGTGCTTTGCTCTCGAATGCTAGAGTATTTAAGAGCGTAGGCCTTTTCCCGAGCACATAGAGGCACGACGTATATACGACATTTAGCGATTATTAGAGTCGGAGTCATAGCCGGTATTATAGCTAGAACTCTTATACTTATCTAGGAATTTGCTAACTATTTCGTTAGTTATGTCTATATATGCTTCTTAAGAGGAGTATCTAGAATAATCCGTCTCCTTAGCCGTAGCGGCGCCTATAAAATAGACAGACTTTCTACTTTCTATAGGAGCATTATAGGTGTCCTCTAGTAGATAAGTCTCGCAGCGGCGCTTAGTAGCCTTAACTACTTAATAGACTTCCTCCTCGAGTTTAGCGGCGTTGTTACGGGTAACCTTAATTTTCTCGGTACTAGAAGTGTCTTAGATGTACTAGACGGCGGGCAAAGGGTAAAATGTAGCTTTAGCCCTAAAAACAAATAGGCCCTAAGTACCTAGAAGAACTAAATAAGGTGTGTCTCTAGGCATAATTAAGACTAGAACTAATCGAGTGACTCTACCCTTAAGAGTAAGTGTAACCTAAGTACGTGCAGTAATAGTAATATAGTAGCTATCTACGATAGCTATAACGCGAGGAGTAACTAGAATTCTCTCTAATTTTAGACAGTTAGCGACTTTCTTATTAACTAGATTAAGGCTAGATCTAGGATCTAGTAGTATACCTTTTATAGAGTAAGGCTTATTGTTAGCGTTTAAGACGGCGCTAGTGGTGTAAAGGCACTTAAGGATGCGGTAGCGTCGGTTCTTAGTTACAAATCTAGCTAGGTCATAGGTAAGGAATTTCCTAACCTCTAAAGGCTAAATAGTAAACGCTTATAGACGGTAAATAACATTGCTCTTAGAGACTATCTCGATAGCAGGAGCTTTATAAGAGTAGGTTTTGCGCTCTTTATGGCCTTGCCTTAGCCTAACCGGTTTAGGGTAATATGCTATTTAAGCCTTGCCTACATTCTAATTTCCTCTCTTTAGGCGTTATAAAGACTTTATAAGCTTTGCGGTCTAAGCCGGCGACATGTCTATAACTATGCCCTAGGTTAAGCTATCTACTTTACGCATAAGCATATTACGGAATCGATTTGTAACACTATAATAGTAGTAGTTTTCTCTTATTATATTCGTATGTCGATAAGAGAGGGAGTTTTATAGTGCTCGCTTCTATTTCTACACTTCGGTAGGAGTAGTAGGGGGTGGTACGGGTAGAGCATGTATAGGTATATCTACTAGTTGCTAACTTTAACGTAGAGCGGGAGTAGATGTTGTTAGTAATTAATATAGAGCTCTTCTTACTCTATCGTCGTTAGAAGAGATTTAGGCTTCTATACGAGTACGTTTAGCAGCATTTATAGCGCTATAGACATATTCCTTATTAGAAGTATTAAGTCCCTTACCGTCTCCTACTACTGCCATAATTTTAGGAATTAATTCCTTTAAAAAAAGCTTATCTACGGCGGGAGGCTTAATATTGTTAGTTTAGAAGAAGCGACTTAGCTCGGGTAGAAATTCTACGATAGCGTAACTATCTCTAGCCTACTACTTATTAAAGTTTACTACGGCTATAGCCTCTACTTGTTAAGGTGCCTAAGTAACATTAGGTGACTTCCTAGCTTATAGAGGAAGTGCTTCTATTCTATATCTATCGATAACCTCTATTCTACATCTTATCTTCTCCTCTAAAGAAACCCTCTTATTACACTCTACCTTATAATGTCTAAAACGGAAATAGTTAAGATAGACGGAGTTCTCTTAAGAGAACTATATATAAGAGGGTGCAGTATTCGGATAACTCTAGGTTCTTAAGCTCGTCGGTCTTATAGAGTTGCGATTATTAACGGCGTTAGGTAGGTATGTTAGCTATTATATCATTACTACTTAGGGTTAAGGATAGATGTTCTATCTTACTATTAACTAAACAAGCAGATTAAGTGTCTAACTAAGTCCCTTAAGGAGTTAGTAGAGCGTATTATTTATCATTTGCTGCGATTTCGCTTTAGTAGAGTTCATCTCCTTTTTAGATAACTTCGATACTCGAGGTTTATTAGCGAAACTAGTAGAGGCCATTTTAAGATCGGCAGTTTTAATTAGACTTACGAGTTTATCGAAGGTAGGCGACTTTCTATAAAGTCTTAAAGTTTCTAGTTGCATCGACACCTTAGATCTTACGTCTTCTAAACGGATACTATTTAGGGTTTTGCGAAGAGCCTAGGCTTTCTTGTCTAAACTATTAGTATAGGCGCCTCCTAGTATTAAGTTAAATAGCTTACGGGCCTTAGCAAGATACTCGCTAATATTGCGATTACCTTGCTTTAGGCGTTCTAGTTAGAGTATAAGGGTAAGACTCTTATTAGGATCCTCTTAAACCCTAAATTTGTCTAGAAGCTTTAATTTAAGACTCGAGTAGTTATCTCGAACGTCCCGAGGCTATGCATTATACTACTCCTAAGCATTATCTTTTAAGTTGCCTATAAGAGTCCATAACTTAAGGTCCTCTAGTTCCGCTTTATCTACGACATTATAGGGAATAGAAAACTTAATATGAGCCTTAACTTTCTTAATAAAGGTGTTAACCGATCTATCGCATAAGCTATTAAAGGGCTCGATTTAAATAATAAAGGACATGTTAACTAGGGGTAGAATATACAGAGTTTCCTTAGGAATAGGAGTCGTAGAAAACTCTAACTTAGTTCTCTTAAGGATTTAGTATATAGAAGCAGGTCGTTAATCGGCGGTTAAGGGTTTACCTAGTAAGGAGATATAACTCTCGCTACTATAGTTGTAAGTTAATAGGACGTACTCTTCCTCGATGTTACCCGATATAGGGTGTAGGTCGAATTTCGACGGACTAAAAGGGCGGCGATTACTAGGGTTTACCACCTATAGAAATGTAACTAGGCTACGTTCTAGGGAGTTGGCGTAAGAGATAGTAGGGTTCGTTAGGTGTTCTAGTAACTTAAACTCGGACTTATAAGGCGTAAGGTTTAGAAGTGCATTAAATAAGTTAAGGGTACTCTAACTACGATTTCCTTTTACGTTAGGAGGGGTAGTTAGAAGTGAGGTGCTTAGATAATGAATTATAGTCTTTAAAGACTCGGCAAAGGAGAGGTTACTAGTAGGTTTCTTTTAAGTAGGCGGAGGATCTAGCTTAATAATATTCTTAGTTAATAGAGCGATGTTAACTAATGTTATAGAGGTAGTTAGAATTGTTTTATATTAGTTTTAAACAATGCGAGCAAATTGCTTTTAGCTACTATAGTCTAGCATAAATAGAATTAAAGGATGCTCTAGGAAATTTGTTAGATGTTACCCGTTATTAGTAACGATAAGATATAGGCACCCTATATAAAAGAGTTGTTATAAATAGTGGTGTAGAACTACTTAATGTCTCGTAGTTACCGACTAGGGTAGCAGGTACGGCTCTAGGCTTCGATAACGTTACGCGTTAGTGCCTTCTAGATCTTAAATAGAAGACGTATTAGGACGTGTTAGATGATAGCACCGATATTAAATGGATTCTAGTGGATCTAGGAACAAAGAAAGCAGTATACTCGTAAGCCTCGGACTAGATATCGTCCATTGTCTTCTACTACCTTAAGACTCTAGTAAGGTATCTTAGGTAGCTGCAATCTAACTCGTGCTCTTATAGGTATAAACTATAAAAACGAAGGGGTCGATCCTAAACTGTTATCTCGTCGATCTAGTTAATAATAGTGTATTCTAGATGTAGATGTCACCCGTTGTTAGATGACTAATGATACATATTCTTTAAGAGCTCTTAATCTAAGTAGGCTGTTCTACGCGTGTCTCCTTTGTCTAGTAGGAGTTTTCGTGAATTTGTAGCTTAGCTAAGAGCCTCTAGTTAGGGCGCTAATGGAACCCGTCTAAGTGTGGGATGTAATCCGATGTGTTATTGAAGGTAACATGAAGGTAACTATCTAACTAGCTAAGTGGCAAAGGCAGAGATGTCAACCGAAGTGGTGCCAAGGCGCTAACGCCGAGGGGCTCCAGCGGGGACGATTGCAAATGCAAGGGAGGACTGACTCTATGAGTATGTGCGCTTGTTGCTTGAGGATTTATCCTTCTCACATCACTGCTTTAGTGAGCAAATCCAACGTCGCCTCCATGGGTTCACAGACACCCCAAGTCGTGCCTAAGATTCTCAGCTGGACTCTTAAGCCTTGAAGCTCGACTCGAAGCTTCCGAAACTTCCACCCACCGTCCGTTATATTGTTGCAGAACCGCAAGGTTTCCGTCCGCGCCCAGATGGTGGCTTCTGAATGAACACCAAGGCTTCCGTCACAGATCTCGTCACTAGTTTGCCAATCTATGACTTCTGGTACTGCGATGTTGTCTCTGCCAGCGCTCAAGTAAGCAAGCATCACGAGCGCGGCAGCGAATATGCACAAAGGCAGATGTATACCAATGGCGAGCTCGGAGGCAAGGCTCTTGAGTTTGTCGGAGATCATCAAGGCATGAATCAACGAAGCACGACCTGCATAGCTCTCCGTCCAAGGCTCAATGTCAGGCCACGCAGTATGCGTAGGATTGGTGATGTTGACCATACACAGTTGTTGAGAGACACGGTAGCGCGTGCACAACTTGTTGCAAAGCACATGGGTGTCGGTGTATACGGAGAAGCCAAGGATGGAATGCCATCGGAGAGCCAGATCATGGTGCTGCTCCGATCCTTGTATACATGCACGGTACAGTCGGATCATGGCGTCGGCTGTATCTTGTTGCGATGGTGAACCGACGGCATCGCCACCGGCATCGAGTCGCTCCGAAGCAAATGATTGGAAACACTCTAGCACCACGCGGATAGCGAAGGCAGACATATGTTGCGTGGGTAGTTCGGATTCATTCTTATATAGAGCGGATATGAAGTCGCGAAAATTGCTCTTCACAGTAGGCGAGCAAGACATTTCGGCCTTCCATGTTGTTGCATCGGGTGCAGCAAAGATGGAAGTCGTAACAGGCATGGGCAAAGCGTTTATGGAATGGCGGATAGAAGTGCAAGTACCTGAGAATTGAGCAATCTGACCATCGAGGATGTACAATGACAGGACAGCGCGTAGCTGGACCTCAGCGGCTGCCCACTTTCTCCAAGCAGTGTCCAAGGGAACAGAAGGATCATGCTCGTCGAAGTCGTAATGATAGTTATACATGCAACTCTGGCGTGCCCAGTGGAAGCCGAGGGGGTGGACAACCTGAGCAGCGGTGCGTAATCGGAGTTTGGAAGACAGGAATGCATAGATCTGCCCGAAGACAGCGGTCAAAATGAGCTGAAGACCTGGACATGGATCATAGAAGCCCTGGTTGGTCAGCATGGTTGGCCACGATGTGATGGTGCCAGCATGAGCCAGCGACCATAAAGAGTCGGCTCTGGGAACGGTAGCATTCGACGCAAGCAGATTCGAGCCTAGAGCCAGCATCAGCAGCAGTGTCGAAGGCGCGTTCTGGCTGGGCTCGAAGGTAGGTTCGTGGATGATGGGCAAGATGCTCGGAAAGCGCGAAAGGAAGATGTCCAAACAATCTCTCAGATCCGGAGCCAAACGCGACCCGCCCTGAGATTCGCAAGCGGTCCCAAGGTCCCACGAGAGCGATTGAATGGTTGTGTTTAGCGATGACAAAGCTTTCTGGATGACGAGGTTGGGCGCAGCAGGATGTTCGCGCGCGGGCGACAAGCAGTCGGGCGATACGAGCGGTGCGGTAGCCATGAGGGGAGTCTCCACTTGAGAGAGCGTAGGCTCTGTCTGAAACTGCTGAAGGATCTCTGCCCACACGGGATCAACGATGAATGTGTCGTTGTTTGTGTTGGCAGGGGGCCAAGGGCCTGCGATGCTATCTTGGCCATGATGCAGTGCGACGTCGACACGAACGGGCGCAGCTGGACCGGTCGAGTCGGCGCCCTGGTCGAACTCGCCGTGGGCAGCAATGCTGCTCGCATGGAGCTGTCGATCGATCGCGCTGGACTTGATGTTCGAAGGTGCGTGCAGTCGCAAGTGCCGGCCGAGGGAGTCCTTACGTGCAAATTGGCGATTGCAGGCGGCACAAACAAAAGGCTTGTGCCCCGAATGTGTCCGTTCATGGCGCTTGCGATGCTCGGATTTGGCAAAACTGTACGGACAGTCTTGCTGGCGACATTTGAACTTCTTTGCGCTCTGCACGCCGGCACGATCGTCCATATCGGTGCACGCAAGATAAGAATACTTTCAACGCCCAGGTGCTGTGCGGTCAAGATGCGGCTACTGACTGCAGACGCTGTGAGTGGCCCATTCTGAGCGATGCATGTCTGAGCTTCATCTTTGAGGCTTCAAGTCGCATGAGCAGAACGAAGAACTCGCTGCGGTACGGCACGTCCCATGTGCGGCTTCTTGGAAACGACCCATCCGGTGCATACCATGGCTGGGTGCTTGCAGGTCGGGACTCGGAGTTTTCAAGACAGACTCGTGCATAGAATTTATGCTATGACAGCATAATTTCGGCACAACAAGCTGCTCGGGACGCGCGAATGTCCGGATCCATGAGGAACCAGTCTGAGCTTGAGATGAGGCCAAGAGACTCGGACCACAAAGGATGTGCGTATCCGTCCAGTTTGTGTGGCTGTGGGGTTGTGGGGTTGTGGGGTGCGAGCACCTCACGGCGACGATAAAATGAGTTCACTGTTATATATAAAATACATCCCAGACATACCCAGATTCTCAGCTTCTCTACAACACCTTGTAAAACAACAGCAACAACTGCTTCATCATGACAAAATATATTCAACGCCTTGGACTGGATGTCGAATATGTTCCGACTAATCCTTTGTCGCAACAACAGCCACCGGCCGCCGAGCTCAACACCCATACTGAGATTCTTGCAAAGGGCAGTGTGCATGGCAAGGGTTCTTTCCCACTGCCTTGCGACATCATTGCGGACTATGACGAGCCTCTCGTCATGCGCGACGGCGTGAAGCTTTATGCAGACGTTTACAGACCTCGGGTGGATGAGAAAGTGCCTGCCATCATGGTCTATACTCCCTATTGTAAGCGTGGTGGCTGGTGGAACAGCAACCTCAATCCTGTCATGTTCGGGGCTGATCCTGCATCATTGTCTGGCCTCCAGGCTTTCGAATCCCCCGATCCCGGTTGGTGGTGCGATCAAGACTACGCCGTTGTCTATGTCGATGCCGCCGGCACATCTCATTCGGAAGGTGATCAGCCATTCATGGGGACTGAGCTTGCTGAACGCGGCTATGATGCGATTGGAGAGATCGCCAAGATGGAGTGGTGCACTGGAGCTGTCGCCATGTCTGGAAATTCGCAGCTTGCCATGGCGCAATGGGCTATTGCAGCGCTGAGTCCGCCTCATCTCAAAGCAATTGCTCCGTGGGAAGGCTTGATCGATCTGTACCGGGAGCAGGCCGTGCGCGGTGGTATCCCTGATCCCGACTTCCTGGACAAGGCAATCTTCTGTTTCCTATTTGGAACCACACGCAGTGACAATCTGTCGAAGAACTCAATCCGCCATCCGCTGCTTGATGCTTATTGGGAAGACAAACGTGCTGCGCTTGAGCAGATTCAGATCCCTGCCTACGTGGCTGCAAGCTGGACCAGCCCTATCCATGGTAAAGGCTCAGTGAGCGCTTTCCGTAGACTCGGGTCAAAGCAGAAATGGTTGCGAGTACACAACACTCAGGAATGGCTGGATATTGCGGATCACGATAACGCTCGTGACTTGAAGCGTTTCTTCGATCGGTTTTTGAAAGGAATCGACAACGATTGGGAAGCAACCTCACCGGTCCGGCTCTCTATCTTGAACCCCGGCGGTGCTGATCGTGTTGGCCGTGCTGAAGCTGCATGGCCACTCGAGCGTCAACGACTTCAGAAGTTCTATCTCGACGCGTCACAAGGCAAGCTGATGGTAGAGCCTGTTACGACAGCGGACGTCACTACATACAACTCGCAAGATTTGAGCGCAAGTGCTCGCTTCATCTTTGAGGTCGAGCGCCAAGTCGAGATTACTGGGTACATCAACCTTCATCTATGGGTCGAGGCTCAGGGAGCAGATGATCTCGATCTGTTCGCTGCGCTTTACAAGGAAGATGCAGCGGGCAAGCGACTCCACCACATAGTGCTCAGCGCTCCTGACAAGCGCCAATGGGTCGCATCAATGGCAGAAGACGGCAAATTGCCATCGACTTTGTCCTATACAGGTCCAACCGGCCGTATGCGTGTTTCTCACCGGGCACTGGATCCGAAATTGTCAACTCCAGAGGAGCCGGTACTGGCGCATCAAGAGGAACAACTTCTGTCGCCTGGGGAGATCGTCCCTGTGAACTTGACGCTGTGGCCAACATCGATGGTTGTCAATGCCGGTGAGCGATTAGTTATCGAGATTGGCGGACACGAGGTTGGCCCTCTTGCCCCCAAGTCTCCACCACTACCGGGCACTGCGCTTTCCCTGCCTACCCGCAACCGTGGTATGCATAGCATTCATGCAGGTGGCAAGTACGATTCCTGGCTTAGTCTACCAATCATTCCTTACTAGTTACTGTTATGATCTATATCATTAGACTGATAATTTAAACTTATCGCTTTTAAGTAATATCTATAGTCTAGACAGAATTCACTTAGAATAGATAGACTAGTAGTATACAGCTTTAACCCTATGTTATACTTGAAGATTATAGTCACTTTCCATGATCCTTTTATAGTTAAAAGATACTTACTATTACTAATCACTAAAAGTAAGCTTAAGCAAATAAAACATTTTTTTCACTTACTACAGCAGACACAATATATTAAGTTCTTGGAGGTAAGATACATGTACTTTGTAAATGCCATATATTGTTTCTTGTTAATCAGAATACAAAGCGGCATCGCGGATCAGACGGTCTTGCTCGAGCCCGCCAACTCCCGCGCATGGGGATCATTGCTGATTCAAAAACACTCAATTCCGTCGCAAGTCCGAAGTCTGCTCTAACTGTAAATCGGACTCGTTCATGCGACGAGGGCGGATTAGAAAGATGGACAATGAACATTTGCAACCTCGTAAGAGCGCGCACGATTGACATGCATTTTCTCGGTGGATGGCCACATGCTACCTCTGAAGCAAAATGAAGAAATCAGCGCGTCGGCCTAGAAGATCCAATATCGTACTTGGTGCCGTTTCCGAAGCGTTTGGAAAATCCGGGCGAACCTTAATGAGAACCCAGCTCGCGTGCAGCGCCCTCGTCGCAGTACAAAGCGCAGCTAATGCATGTACCTGAAAACCTATTTGATAATCACAATATACTTTCACGGACTCGAAGCAAGAGCTGAGACGGAAGCTTATAATTGCAGCTGAGAAATATTGATGACAGTGTTAGCCCTTAGAGGATAGCCGCTCGTAGGGAGATAAGATGTGTGCGAAGAGGCAGCCGACACGGGCATGAATCGAGGACCGTCCAGCACCATACTATCACTTTTACTGCCCTTGCACTCCATACCACAGACAATCATCAAGTTCGTCTCACGTTGAAGGAGCCATTCTCCTGTGTTCAAGTAAGATGGAAAAGCAAGAAAAAGGCCTCGTCGATGGACAAGATCGCATCAATTCAAACATGGAGAGTGGACTGGACGCAACACTGGCCAAAGACTGGCGTTCGATGACCCGAGCGTCATCACGATTCTCTCAATCAGACTCGATCGAAGGAGTACTGTCACGAAGCTCTGTTGTCCACATGATGAAGCATACGTTGACATTTCTGCTGCCAACAGTCGTTCAGAGCAGAGTAGGATGTCCAAACAACCTTGCGTCAAGCAAAAAACTCCACCCGACAGCATGGCTTGATGGTATGCGAGGTATAGCATCTGTTCTTGTCTTTGTGCATCACGTCACATTGCCCTCACATGATGTGTCGGCAGCCTGGTCTCCCGAAGAGCCTTTCAACTCGTTCTTACGCCTACCAATGATCCGCTTCTTTTACAATGGTCCCTTTATGGTGGCCATATTTTTCACCGTGTCAGGTTACGCCCTCTCCTACAAGCCCGTGAAGCTGATGCGACAAGGAGACTTTGAGGCCCTGTGCTCAACACTTTCGTCCTCCGTCTTTCGTCGCGGCTTTCGGATATATCTGCCCTGCATCGCGTCGACTCTTTTCATTGTCTTGTTCATCCAGCTCGGGCTATACGAATTGACAAGGCCGATCGCGACAGACCCTTCCCGTTTGTCTGGCGGCCCCGAGTTCCACCCTGAGCGCGGACCGACCGCGATGGAACAGATAAGACCTTGGTTTCACGAGATATCGAGATTTCTGAACCCGTTCACAAACGACGATGTTAAGCATTATGATGGACACCTCTGGACAATCTCCACAGAATACGTAAGTCTTCCCGCTCTCCAGGAATCACTTGAACCTTTGGATCAAGCGGAGATTGTCTCACACCATGTCCTGACTATTATCTCCAGACAAACTCCATTATCTTGTTCGTCACACAGCTTGGAGTCTGCCGCTTGCGATCCAGACTGCGACTGCTCTTCCTACTCTGTTTGATAGCCTTTGCACACCAGATCTCACACTGGTCCATGATATTGTTCTACGGAGGCTTCGTTTTTGCAGAATTAGACATTCGCCGCCGCTCGATAGTACAACCATCAGGCGCAAAGACACGTGCCAATATCTTCTGGTCTACGACATATATTGTCATTTTCAGTTGCGGGCTTTATCTCGGGGGTCAGCCGGAGACTCATCTGGACAGGGCACCTGGCTGGAACACGCTCATTTCTTGGATCCCAGAACCGTTCGGAGGGATATTCATCAGACTGCGATACTGGACAGCGTGGGGTGCTCTTTTGATTGTCTGGTCAACCTCGAACTCGTTGATACTCCAACGCCTGTTCAATCACAGGATCTCACAGTATCTGGGCAAGATTTCATTTGGACTCTACCTTGTCCATGGGTGCATCATACAGACGATAGGGTATCTATTGTTCGCATTCTTCTGGAGCATCATCGGATACGATACGCCTGCAAGGAAGGAGCTGGGATTCGTCTTGGCTTCGATCATCATCTTTGCGGTCACGATTTGGGCGGCCGATATATTCACAAGATTGGTTGACGCACCATCGCTGAGAGTTGCTAGGTGGCTGGAGCAGAAGTGTCTTGTGTAGCATGGCTCAAGCGGAAGGAGTATCTGCAAGAAGTATTGGCGTGCATTTCATGTCGAGAATACCGGGCCCCGGCGCCCTGCTGCCATAGCCTCTGGCGATATGGAGAGATACATACTCAGACGCTAGTGTCATGTGCGTTGAGACTCTCCGTTCGGTGCAGACTATACACTTGTTATGGCCGGAGGTTGGCCATGCTTATATCTTTCACCCTCAACATTTATGGAAAGGCTTGTCCATCAGAGTGACACAAAATCTCAGATTGATTTGCCATCTCGCATCACATGTTCTTTTCCCAGCCTTCCATTGGCCACGTCAGTCCATCCTGGCCCTCTTCCGGCCAGTTGCTCTGCTCGGGTTTAGCGAATTTGCATGTTACGACTCCCTGGGCATACATACCGGCAGACTAGGTGGTGGATCGGATGTCCAGATCCGTCCCTTGCACCATCCCTTTGTCTCATCACAGTCTAAGTCACACATGTTCCACGTCCCACAGTAGCATGGCTTGACAGGTGCACACCAATATGCTGGCTTGCCAAACAAGATATGCCACATGTACTCCAAGATGATCCCTGACTTCATGCTTGCAATATCTCCATCTCTTGACCACATCCAAGCTCGAATGAGTTCGTATTGCGCTACCGGCCATCGATGAATTGTCCGCCGATCAACCGCAAATTGGGCGCAGCACGGCGCTGCCACCTTTTCTGGAAGTGTTTTGTTGGGAAATATGAATTCCCATGCTTTGACATACTCTCCATGTGCTTCCCAGATGCTGTCTTCGTGCCCGGGTCGCGGCACAATATACGGTTCGGGACAATGTTTCCAATTGCACCGCAGATTGACGTAGCCCTCCAGGTCGACGTAGTCGAGGTCGAGCTTCTGGATCAATGGCAGGGTATCATACATCTGTGCGATATCAGCTGTGGGTTCGCGTTCGATATAATCGCAAGTCGTACCGGGTCATCTATATGATAGTCAGCGGCCGCTCAGCCCATGAATGAGGATGTTTACCATTGTGCGTTTGATACCGGTCTCCATGAATGAAGACCATATACTCCGGCAGGTCATAGTAATGCGTTATGATAAAACTAAGGTAGGAGGCTGCTTCTCGTCCCCTATTGAGTGCCAAAGGAATTTTGTGTGCATGCTGATTTGACAGCATCGGAGCATCGTTGACAGTTCCATCGGCCATGAAAATGTATGGTTGCCAATCTGGGAGCAGATCAATGATCCAATCTGCGCTATCAGGGCTTTTCTGCAATGTGGTTGCTATGATCGCCTTGTTTGGCCGCTTAGGTTGCAACTCGAAGACTGTGGATGAGATTTTGAGACCGTTTGTGCTCGATGGCAGATCAAATGTCAAACCAAGATAGTTGAAGACAACAAGGATGACGGAAAGCATCAAGATTATCGTGATCCAACGTCTTCTATAGTTCCGACGACTTTCGTGTCGGAGCCTCGAGCCATGCATTGCGGATGAGCTGCGAAGAATTGAGTGTGAAGGTACGATAGGCAAGCACAACGACGACTTGCGCAATTTTGATCATTGTCGAGAGATTCTCCAACCAATTGCGATATATAGCAAAGGTCAGACTTGCATATGTCCCATGTCAGCTGCTGATCCCTATCGCGCATCACGGATTGAAGGTTATGGACCGCGTGGCGTTGCCTAGCCTTCCAAGCATACAGTACAGCTTGCGTACAGTACTGAGATCGATCAATCATCGTCCTCTGGACGGATTCCGCCCAGAAGCTGAACACAAAAGATAGCAACAAGGGATCTGCGCCTTGTCAGAAGTTTGATCTGGTCTTTGGTCCATAAATCTTGTTTCGGCAGCCATGGGAAAGGCAAATTCGCAAATGCCCCGCTCCACATGGGTTCCCTCGAGAACGACTCTGCTGACCCCAATAGATACCCCACACTACACGCCAGCTGAGGTACTTCGAACTTGCACCGATAACATGAGGAGCTATTGGTGTTCGAATCGTGATAAGCTCCCCTCCAGGTTCAGGAACAATACTAGTCCGGGACCTCGGCTTCTTTGGCCGCAACCGAGTTGCTTCGTGGAACATCTGATGGGTTTATTGCTTGCTTGCCTGCATGCAGATTTCCCCTTTGAGAAGTTTTGGCCCTTTCGGCATTCGGCGTATGCAGTTCTCACCCCGTGTTGAGTGATGCATTGCTAGTCGTGGTCGAACCAAAAACGAGCGACGGGGATGGCGAGACAGTCAATAATGCAGACTGCTTAGCAAACAGTCGCCCGCTCAGGACTTGCACGTAGAATCTTTCTGGCATGAGCGACGAGCAGTGACCATTGCACATAGCTCGTTGATGTAAGGCCCAGGGTCAACATTTTGGTTGAGAAGCCCAACAGATCTGATCTCCATCAGTATCGTTCTGAAGGTTTGATCAGATGGATGGTCATTGCAAAGTACAGTCGAAGATTCATCGCTTGCTGAACAATCATCGTTGCCATTACCGTGACGCTTTGTGGATGCAATTGCTTTGTTCAATTCTATACGACACTACTACTCCTGCCCAGTTATTCACGCCGTTCTTGGAATCGTGGTGGAGAAGTTTGATGCCTCTATGCCCCTTTTCGGCAGATATTTGCTTGGCTGTTGCCTCTGTCTGTGCCACTTCACAGCGGAAACAATCAAAAGCGCCTATAGTCGATATTGAACAGGGCAACTATCATCTCAGGCTTGTTACATTGCTGATCGAATGGCACATATAGACAACAGGTGGATGCACAACAGTCTGAGTTGTCCCCAGGCAGCGATGACTCGGGAACAAGCGTCATAAACCCTTACACTTTCTTTCTGATTTCCCCCTTCTCCTTTCGAAACAGCTCACCTCAACTGTCACATACAATTCGCGCCAGACTTGGCTATTCCAGCGACATCCACCCCTGACCCCTTAATCGTTCTCCTGGACAAGACTCAGGGAGCGTGCGAACAATGTCGAAATCATCGAAAGCGTCTCAAAATGGCGAGATTCAAAAGAGCCGACAGCGCTTCTCTCAGCAGGTCTTGGTCATTCCGTTTGCATTCTGCTTCAATTGTACATCCAACTTGATACATTCTTTATATCCTCGACGCATTAGTATACCGCCACTCATTCACAAACTGCTTGTCTTGGCAAGCATGACAATGGTACTCATTGCACTTCTGGCTGTGATCATCGTCCCAATCGTGATCGCCTGCCCTCAACCTTCGAAAAAAGCAGTCCAACTACCTGATGTCGACACTTTTCACCAACAAAATGGGACAAAATGGCAGATAAAATATACTGGAGATATCAAGTTCACCGGATCACTTGGTAATCTTGGGCTTGGGGGCGACAAATGTCGGTCAAGCTTCCTCGGTGGCCGACACATCTGGAATTGCGGTGACATGATGTGCGGCACGTGGAATAAGTGCGGCTTCTCGATGGGCGCTGCTTTCTACGGCACAAAGGCTGTCTCGGTGATTGATGCGTCCGCACACGCAAACGTCGGCGAGTTCACTTTTGCTTCCTCCTGGCATGGAGATCCGAAGCCCGAGCCTCCACAGTCGCAGTACGGTATGGATACATCGAACGTTGTTCCGATCAACGACACTACTGGCATTGCCTATGTTTGGGAAATCACCCGTGGAGCACCGGATGGCTCGATTAGTAACCAAGGCGCTGGAGTCGTCGCTGTGACGCTTGGTAAGACCCAGCCGATTGCAACGAGGCTCGGACCACTTCTGACAGGACCCGACTCGGTCGCTCTGGGACTTTTCGCCATCATTCGTGCTCAGCAGTACATCTACAACTACGTTCAACAAGGGCCGTTCGGCAACATACTCGTAGGACGGGTCAAAGCAGGCGAAGCTGCTTTCCGTGCAGATCGATACGAGTATCTTGTCTTTCCGCCTGACAACAAGACTAGCCCCGTCTGGGAGCGTGGTATCCCAGCTGCCGATGATGCCTCGAGGTATGGCATGCGAACAGCTGAGTCCAATGGTCGTTTCACTTGCCAACAATATGGTAGCGTGATCTGGAGTAACTACTTCGGAAAGTACATGCTGATGTGCAACCTCTATCTTGACTTTCTGTTCTTCTACCTGGCTGAAAACCCGTGGGGTCCATGGACTCAAGGATACAAGCTTCTGAACAACGATTCCGGCTGGCTGGGCTATGGTGTGTCCGCGCATCCGCGATACTCAACGAAAGATAATGAGTTGTACTTCTCGCAGGGACCTAATGGACCGCTCAACATGTTTAAGCTCACTTTCCACTATTAGTGGCGTTATTGGCAAAGGGCAGATAGCTCGCATTGCAGCAGAGCTAAACCAGACTACACACCTTCATTGTCATCCTTGTTGGAGTCTGGAAGCGCGCTCCGCAGAGTGACAAGTCTGATTCGGTAAATGGTTCCTGGCGGTTGTTGAGGGTTGTGGCATGTATCTGCAAGGTACCTACGGAAGCTCCTGGTGCAGGAACAATTGAGCGGTCGAAATTTTTGGCGGCCGGACCACGGATCGTTGACCAGGTTTCGAAGCTATATGTCGAAGGCGGGATGTATATGACAGCGTGGCGCCAGGGGGAAATATAGACTTCATAGTGGAGTCAAAGTTTGAGTCCGCATGAGTACGTACCGTACCGTACCTAGACCACTGTTCCGTCTGAACCATGCAGTAGTACGATAAGGACTTTTGACTTTCGAGCTTGAGATTGGAGCCACGTTTCTGACACATGAGCGGCACAGTGGGTTCCGAGCTGTCAGACACCGGATAAACAGTAAACTCTAGGTCCCAAGCGTGGCGTTGTTACCGTACCCTTGACAGGCAGCAAAAAGCTTTACTTTGGAGACCTATTGTGCACATATGGCATTATGCATCAAGAAGTACAAACCATGGTCGTGAGGTCCTCCTATGGCGATAAGAGTCCTGCTGAGCTTGTCATGGAGTGTGATGCTGCTGACAGCTGAGGGTGACAAGCCACTCCTCGGCTGCGCGCAGCTGATGATACTTTTCCCACTTGGAACTATACAGCGTTCTTGGACGGGAATCGAGGGCTGATGGATGACAAGCCAATCGTGAGTTTCAAGTCGAGGTTGCAGCTTATTCTCTCAAAAACAAAACAGTGACAATCTCATTGACTGCATAGGACCTCTCATACCAGCATACAATGTTGTTGAGACGATCAAAGAACAGGAACATTCTGAAGGTGGTCGCGATTATCATCGGGGCTCTTTCGCTTCTCTATCTCACTCTCACTTCTTTGAACTTTTCACCCTCGCCTATGATAGGCAAGCATGGTCTCAAGGTAGTCGAAGACGGCGCAACGGAAGGAAAGAAAGGCGAGGATCTCGACGCCCTCTACGGCCAAGACTTCGATGAAGATGAAGCCAAGTTCAAGACTACCAATGCCCGTCCAGATGCTGAACCGTCAGTGACGGTTTTCGATAACGCTAAGAACATCACTGATGCGTCGGACGACGAAGACGATGATTACGACCCTCTGCCCGATAGTATTGACTATCACGAGATATTCTCCTTGACGACAACAGACCGCAAGTTCAGCCCCATCTTCACTGGCGGGACTCCAATATACAATCCGAATGTAATTCCACATCCGACAGATCACACTCTTTGGATTATGATCGCTCAGCACGAGCAGAGTGGCGAACAGATATCGGTATCACAAGAGATGACATGCAACGTGGGCTTGCTGAACGACGTTATGGTGTGCACAGCCGAGCCTACCGTCATTCCTATCGAGCCGTCTATTGTTGGCAACTGCTCGGGCGAATTGGCATACTTCAACAGTCGGGGAGGGCCTCGTGATGCAAGAATGTGCCACGGTCCTGACGCACCATATATCCTGTACGGATCACAGTCGTCCTATTCTTGCATTGGTATCTGGGTCGAGGATGCACGCATGCTACTTGACGACTTCCATGCCGAACGATCTGTTGTGCCAAAGCTATTCACTCACGCAACAGAGCTCCAGAGGCCTCCACCTGTGGGCGGCATGGAGAAGAATTTCTTTCTCTTTTGGGACAGCAACAACAAGGCCTATGTACATCACGATATCTACCCCCACAGAGTATTTGCCGAGCTAGAGTTCGACGGCTCTGTTGGGCCTAATCTTGGGGTCAACTCAGCCAACAAAGACGACGTGTGTCTGAGCATGTACATGCCGACTTTGGCTCCCGATATGGAATCCATTCATCAGGCTACTAATTCGCTTTCTATCACACTCTGCAAACGAGCAGACCCTCACTGCACTCCCAATACCTCAAACACCTTCATCTTCGCGATCTTCCAACACAAATCGTATCATGACTGGCATGGAATATATGAGCCGTACGTCATGGTCTTCCAGCGTGATGCGCCCTTTGCAGTCCACGCTATCTCACAACGACCTATATGGATCCATGGGCGAAGCGCTTTGACAAAAGACACAAATTCACTTCTGTACAGCGATCCTGATAAGGATATCCCGGCAGGGCATACCGAAATGTTCTATGTCACAAGTATAAGCTGGAAAACTCATGGACAAAAGTATCACGGTTATCTAGACGATCCGATGTTTCTAGCATTTGGTATTGAGGACACCAGGGCTGGCCTGATCGATGTGCTGGCCGAAGACTTGTTTTCAGATCTCGGATATTGTCCTTGATGGATGTTATATGTTGTTGTGTATTACCAGTATGCTATCGTTCATTTGGTATCTGAACAATTTGTACACTCTTGCATAGCCATTGCTGAATGATCGTCAAAGATTTGTGTTCTCTGAATTGATCTTCTTCCAACTTGCTTTTCCAGCGTAGACACCTGCGTCGGAATTGGCAGGAACCCTTCGCAGCGTTTTCCACCGACAACCCTGTAAAATGACGCAATGGCACGTAGCGTGTATCTGCTCGTTCGACGTGACTGCAGGCAAGTGATATCGGACGAGAGGATGATCAGAAAACATAACAACATCGCGATAGGCAGCGAAGGAGCTATCATCCAGCAGCCATAGCTGAGTATGTACAGCGGGATCAAGCTTTGTCCGAACCTATGACAGAGGCTCCGTCGATACAATTCACGATAAGCGATACGAGCGATGCGAGCGATCCGAGCTATGGGTGCTTTGAGGCACTTTCAGGTGAAGGAGCTGAAGGCCAGCCTAGATCAATCGGCTCGCAGGTTGCATCAACATTCGTGACCAGGGTATGATACAGGTCTTCGGGTGGTAAGGAGTATGTTCTATCGAATTCAAAACGATCGTTCGGTATGCTCGACTGCATCCGAAACTCATGCATTGTGCCTTGCTATCTGAGTTCACGTTTTGTACGTACCCAAGTATTGCATGTAGTGACGTCCCTGATAACGGAAGTTAAAAGATGCAGTAAGTTCACGCAGTAGGGCTCCCGGCAGAATTACATCCATGCTAAGCACTAAAGCTTCGATGTGTGGAGTTGTGGTTTAAGCTTAAATTCTTCATCCGAGGACCCACGAGATTGAACATGACGATCGCTACATTCAACGTTGCCACGTTTGCTATCCACCCGTCCTTCACTAGAGAACCCTGCACAACTCAATTCCAGCTACAAGTCGAGTCCTGGCGTCAGCTCTGTCCATGACACAGTACCACCGGAAGTCTCATGTTCCGCGTCTACAGCCCTGATCTCAAGCATACGATCTTCTTTTACCTCTACGATAGGCGCGATGGGGGCATCGGCTGGTGAGACCTCGATCTCAGCTTCTTTGGCCTCCGGGAGGCTCAATAGATCGGGGTTTGCCAGCTCGGTATCTGTTAATGGCACGAGCGGACCAAGAGCTTCAGCGAGACCCGGACGGGCCATCAGATTCTCAGCTGATGGCTTTTCCGATATCTTCTCTGCATCAATCTCTTCTCGCATCTGATCTTCCTTTGGGTCAGACGACGGTGGATCCTTAGCAGCTGCTGGAGCGCCGGCTGGGCCTGCGAGTTGATCCGAGGCTCGCTGCTCTTTGATGTTGATGATTCTCAGACGTTCTTCTTCTTGAAGGCCATTGAAAAAGGCGGTGTTGGCGTCCCATAGCCTGACACACTCTGCATCCCAATTGCATTTCTCGACCTCTCCATAGACAGGATGTTTAAATCGAGGATGGTTCGTAGGCCAGGATGATGCGTGGAAATGATGTTTCACCATCGCCCCTTTGCCCTTGTGGTTGCCAGAATCTGAATGGCCTGTTCCTGCGGCAAACGCCTCGACTGGCAAGACTAGGACGCCGCCAACGAGCTTCGCTTCAGTAAGCCCTGTAAATTTGTCCCAAGCCACGGTTTTGCCAATGGCCTTTGACATCTCTGCAAGGATCGCTTTGGTGAAAGCTGAGGGACCAGTTCCGGTCAAGACTTCGTTGAAGTCGAGATGAAGCTCAGAGATTGGCACATCTTGCTCTCGTGACAGTTCGTGAAGCCACTTCATAATATTCTCGATCAAGCGCATCATGACTGGCAGTCTTGGCTTACACATAAAAGTCCACTGGCAGAAAGATTGTGCTTTCGATCCCAAGACCGGATGAGATGCGAAAGAGGGCTCATCAGTCTCAATTCCGATGACCATGTCCACATCGGCTTCGTCATATATCTTGGGGATGAATTTTTTGATGGGTCTGATGGCTTCCACGTCGATGTCTGCATAGACTCCGCCCTCAACATACATGATGAGGTAACGCAGGAGATCTTGTTTGATGATCTTGGCGTTGAGTGACTTGTAAACACCGATTATATCTGGTCTATCAAGACCTGACGGTCCGTAATGATGTTCGACGTAGTGGTCGGCGTTGTTGTCAGTTAGGACCTCGTAGCGGTGACCTGGGTTCTTGACAGTCCAAGTTCTGGCTCTCTCAACATCCCTGGTCTCAAAGCGTGTCGGATCGACCTTCCAAGACTGCCAGATCTTGCGTGGAAACTGCCTCGATTCGAGGAGAAGCTCGGGTGGACCAGTCGTGAATTTGTTGAGTGAAAAACATATTACAACACATATGATACAAAGAACAACAAGTTGTTGCAGTTGCCTAGCGAGAAAAGCTCGTAGAGGTGGATCGTGGGTTCTTGATGGATTCATCATAGTGCAAGCTTGGATTTCAGAACACAAGAAGAAGAAAGTGAGAGAAGAGGTGGAGTTGCTGACTGGAGTTGTGGTTGAGTGTTTTGGATAGTAAGTAGTATGCAAGGGCAAGTTGCATGACCTTGAGCTAGGGCCAAAGTCAAAGTAAAAGTCATCGGCTCAAGGTGCAACGATTCCTGTCAAGTCTGACTAGTGGGGTAGTGGGGTAGGGCGTCCCGGAGAGATAACTCCTACACGAGTCACTGTCTTGGGATATGCGTCCCCCAAAGCTTATTTTGTTTCCTTGCCTGTACATATAATAGTGGCGGTATCACAGACATGTACATATGTATCGCGCCATTTACATGCACAGTACAGTATGGCCCCTTCGGCACGTCTTATCTGCATGATCGCCACGATCGAGATGCTGTTGAAGGTTTTTGATCGAGCCCAAATCGGTAGCACGTAGTTGCCGTAGGCCCAAGCTGGCGGTAGATAGGCATGTTTTCGTAGAGTCCCCAAGCGTCTCCAGATTGACTTCAATGAAGAGCTGTCCCGTTGCGTCAGATCGACAGGGTGTAATTCGAGCTTCACACCTGACAAGCGATGGCGGAATCCAGAAACCATTCTGACCCAGGGTTCGATGCAATAGCGGATCAACTTATCTAGGGCAACTACCTTTCTCAGCTTTCTCTCGGGCATACTTTGAGCTGAAATCCTTGCATGTCTTCAAGCTGGACCGTGTCGATCCACTCTCTCACCCTTGCCGTCGTCTCTAGGACTTCCGGTTTCGAGTCCTCGAGGAGGATAGTGATAGTGGCTGAGGTAAACTTTTGCTTCCGTTTTGTCCGACCTTACTCTGTCGTGGCTCAGGCTATTGAAAACATGATCCTTGACGTTTCATCAAGCGGGACTAATCATTGGTGATCGTGCTGTGCTGACACATTCAGCTCTATCTACTCGCATGTAGTGCTGTGCCGCTGGTGATGCATGTGCATACATGCAATAGCCTTTCTTCTATCATGGTGGCTTGGTCCTTGAGCAGTATGCGGGAGCTCGAGTGCTCGAGCATGGAAGCGAGCTGAGCAGTGAATTCAACCAACATATACATCTTGAGCCTTTCGAAAACTTCTTCAAGTTTGAGAGAAGCTATACGTTTTTCATTCTTTGCAATGTCTAAAGACCCACGCGAGATAATGTCCATCGAAGACAATCTGCATGAATTGGAGGCGATGCTTGGTAGCCACGGCCCTCAGCCCCAAGTGAAACGATCATGGTCGATGCCCTTCTCTGCTGCAGTGACACAATCAACCCATCTCGAAAAGGACAAAAAACCTCGAAACCCAGAACTTCATCGTACGGCATACCTTGACGGTCTTCGCGGATTCGCAGCACTCCTCGTTTTCAGTTTGCACCACCAAGTCTGGGGTCATTCTGGATCAGGTGGAGAGTTTATCCTCGAGAATGCTTTTGGCTGGAATGGAACCTATCGATTCATCTGCTTTCCTGGTGTTCGTATCCTGTTCTCAGGTGGACACCTCGCCGTAGCCATATTTTTCGTCATTTCTGGTTATGTTTTGTCAGCGAAACCGCTGGCCATACTGCAGTCAGGAGATACTACGAAAATGTCGGAGAATCTGGCCTCTGCATTGTTTCGTAGATGGCTTCGTCTGTATATACCTGTTGCAGGCACGACTTTCGCCTGGATGTCATCTTGGCACCTCCTCAATATCAGGTCTGGCAATCCCATCGCGGAACAGCCAGAATCCACCTACTTTGGCGAAATCTGGAAATGGTATTGCAACTTCAAGAACTACAGCTTCATCTTCGATGGAGAGCCTACGAATGTATACAATGATCATACGTGGTCAATACCGAAAGAATTCAGAGGCTCCATCGTGGTTTATACTTCGCTCTTGGCTTTGTCTAGTTGCAGTCGCAATTCTCGATTGCTTTGCGAACTTCTTCTGCTGTACTATTTCATGTACATCGTTGATGGCTGGTACTGTGCTCTTTTCATGGCTGGCATGATCTTATGCGATCTGGATCTGCTTGCAAGCCGAGGACAGCTTCCGCAAAGACTGCACGCCTTGAAAGAGCACAAGACCAAGGTTTCGTACCTTCTCCTTGCTGTTGGCCTCTATCTTGGCGGAGTTCCATCTATCTCGAATGATCTCCAGCATCTCAGGGCTTCCCCTGGATGGTACTTTCTCTCTTTCTTGAAACCTCAAGCGTTCTGGGACTTCAGATGGTTCTTTCGCTCATTGGCTGCAATCTGCGTCGTCGCTGTCACCCCACATATTCACTGGCTCAAGAAATTTTTTGAGACCTCTTTCTGCCAATATCTTGGGCGAGTGTCATTTGGTTTCTACCTTGTTCATGGTCCAGTACTCTGGACTTTGGGTGACAGGCTGTATGCAGCCAGTGGCAGGATACGCGAGGGCCATATCGGTATTGTTCCTGACTGGATCAACCTAATGCCCCTGCCAGGTATTGGGCCCTTTGGACTTGAGATCAACTATCTCGTTCCACAGTTCATCTGCTTGGCGTTTACCTTGTGGCTTGCTGAGATTGTCACTCGATGTCTGGATAAGCCGAGCCTCTACATCGCGCAGCGTCTGTACCAGAGGGTTGGGCTTCAGAGTGAGAGTCTGGGATCACACTACAGTTGGAAGCGAGAGATGAAAGATTGATGTAGGATTCGTCGGATTTACATAGATGTCAACAACGATCTGAATACCGTGTTCATCACTTGCTGAAAACCTCATCATTTCGTGCTACAAAAATGATTTAGTTCTGGTCTCTTTCGAGACGGAATTGGTGACTCTGTCAAATCATCGTGGCGGGCCTCAAATCCTTACGATCACGAGGACATGTCTCGATCTGGATGCTTGTCGTTCGCACCGCGGTACCATATTACTGTCTCGCGTTCACAACGAGGAGTGACATGTGCATGGAGACTCAACAACTCCAAGCTTTGCACACGAGAGCCTTAGTGGGGTGTCAGCCATGCATAGACCAAAACAATAGCGTCTCAATAGTTCGAAAGCGTGCTCTCGATGGGGAAGCTGTGGCCGAGATGCAATCATAAGATACATGCGAGCTGCATTGATAGCTGACAATGGCCTCAGGTCTGAGAGGGGCATGAGAGTTTTGTACCAGAGTGCCGAGATTTCGAACAAGTTCGGTCCAGGAAGACTCTCTCGCGATTTTCCACTGATGTCAGCCGCTCGCAGTGATGTTTATATCCACGTGGCTGAGTTCTTTATTGGATACCGTACATTAAACATGCTCGCTTCCATAATGCGGTGTCAAGTGCCGGCTGATGAAGGAACTCGACGCATGGAACCCTAGTTCAGCTACGCCAGGGACATTTCCGGTACCTGTACTAACTTCTGCTTTACTAACTTCTGCTTTATCGGGTAGGTTGCAGCTCTCCAGACTTGAGCAAGTTTTGGAAAAAGGTACGTAGATCAGGGTGGGATGAGAGCTTCGAATCAAAGCGTTGGGGCATGCGCTTTGGATCTCTGGTGAGTATATAGCCTGATACAATACTGCTGTGTCAGGAGTTTTGTTACCTACCCTCTCGTGTCATGAAGTTGTTGGCCTTGTGGATATTCGCATGTGCAGCTTGCTCATTAGCAGCGACCATTCCTTCATGTGGGGTATGGATTGGTCCAGATTTAACTACATTGATTGGTCACTGACAACATCTCAGAGTAGCTGTGTTGCTCGAGCAATTGAGAAAACGAACTGCGCGGCCAATGACAGCAAGTGCATATGCAAGTCAGAACATTACCTAGGTTATCTAGAGTACTGCTCCACGAAAAAATGCAGTTCAGCAGATAAAGACGGTATGTTGATGTTCATGAATCCCAGGCACACACTACAACCAGTACTGATGCGGCGAAGACGCCATCAAGGCTGCCACCAGTGTGTGCAGCATTGTTCTCCAGGATATCAATGAAGATGATTCGGCATTCAAAGTCCAAAAGCGTTCTGGCGACCACCGTGATAGAGGTCATTCCCAGCATCACTCATCTCCTGCACCAGCCCCTGTGTCGCCTGGCAACTCACCGCAAGGGCCGCAGAAGGCTGCAAACAACCCACCAAACGGACCTGCAAGAGGTCCACCAAATCACCCTCTCCCCCCTGCTCCTGTTCCTGCTCATCACCCGCCTGGTCCTCCTGGTCCACCAGGCCCGCCGGGTCCCCCACCCATCACATGGTTTACGCCAACACCAGTTCACACAGTGGTCCCCTGAGTTTCTATGGTGAAGTCCTGCTGATAGCCGCTTGATCTCAATCAATGCGTTTGAGAAGACCGTTGTCATCCATGCATTCAATTTCACAAATCAATTCTTATATCTTATGATGTTTCTTGTTCTTCTTTCATGTTCAGATTCGGGTATAGGGTTATGCGCGTCTTGGAATAGTTGGCTTGATTTCTTGCTTGTGTAAGAATCTTTGAATGTTAATATCTTGATTTGCGATCAATCATTCTTGGGTCCACTTCTTGAGGAGCTTCTCTCCGTGACCAAGGAACATCAGTAAGAGAGACTTAAGCAGAGTAAAGCCGCCTAATGAAATCTGAGTCATGTTCATTGCCATCTCTGTGCGTTCATTCTTATGGGCCTTAGGGGCGTGCATGCCTCATGAAATCGTTCGCGAAAGATGCTTACACCACAGAGCCTGCCGTCAACCGTCTTTGAGAGCATTTAGCACGAGGATGGCATGTTTACCAGGAATATCATTGTGTTTCCTAGGTTATCCGATATGAAGATGAGCGCATCAATTCTGTATCGGTGGTGACCATGACGCAACATCATGAGCCTGCAGAATTCTTCGGTTCTTCCCAAGTGCGTCCAAGATTGTTGAGAAAGGTTATAATGGATGCAGGTGAGATGACTCGCCAGGATGTATGCAGGTTTTTTTCTCCCATGACAAGAAAGGAAACTAGGCTGGCAAAGATAAGGAGCTGACGGGTGAGTTTGTGAGACATCCGGAGCAGAAGGACATAGGCTTCGCTAGCTTCAAGAAGTACAGGTACATGCGACATCGTTCCTTTCCAAAAGAACCCTCTTGCCGGCCGGCAGGCGTGCTTCAAATTTTGACAGATTCAGCTACCCGAGGTGTACAGAAGGAGAGCGGCAGCGATGCGGGGTACGGCTCGATTATGTACGAGTAGGTGGAGGAAAGCCAACCGTTCTGATCATGACTTGCGACGCTCACGTGCAGCTGATAATATTCGCCAATCTGGCGGAGAGTAGTATGCTGCTTTCTATAGTGGCCTCATATTATTGAATTGTTTGCAGGCTGCTGTTCTCGAAAGGATCCTTGTCAATACACAGTGTGGTAACCATCACCAGCTACTGTGGCCATACCTAGAGCTTGTGCGAGGCACAAATGGGGTCTCATGACAACACTACTCTTTTTGCTTGCTCTACCATTATGGCATATGGATTCAGGCCTTGTCACGCCAGCTATGCTCGAGTCGACCCAAGACACTTCACCACTGAACGGCGACACTCGTCCTATCGATCAACGCCTTTCGCATGTTCCGGAGAATCTACGGTCATACTTACTTGACCTCGACAACATTGCTCCTCAAGAGATTCAGCCAGACCGTGATCTGCATGGTTTCTCATGTTTCAGCCGGCATCGGCAAGCTACAGATCTCAGTGTCACCGCCGCGTACGGCACTTGTCACTATAATGAACAAGAACTGTCTTCGTTCCCTCGAAGAGATGATCTCTTTTGAACCTGTCTGTCAGATCGACGCATAAAAATTCTTGCTGCGTCTACCACGTGCGCGATCGACGTCGTCGTAGCAGAGCCGTGGCCCGTCGGCCGAAAAGATGGCAATACCGCTACAACCTGCCGTTCAATCGGTTCTGACGGCTGCAGACACTATAATGCTGATGCAGACTGGGTCCGTGAACCTCTTCACGTCGAGGTCATTCAGCCCCTGAGGGACGCCTGGCAGCAGTTTGTCAAACACTCATTAATACCGTGGGAAGCCGTCAAACACGAATCCAATGGTCGTGGCATAGTCATCATCGGTGGGGGAACACCCAGTGTAAAGCGCATCAAAGTGGATGGGATAGAGGGAAGCAAGGTGATCTACTGCGGCCACACCTTTGGTCAGGCGTATCCTGATCATGAAGACGGTGATGGTGGCAGCGGGATTGCCTTTCTCCATGGCGGCGCCTTGAAGACGATGAGCGCGCCTCTCTTGAGTCGTTTACTCAAGTTGAATGGAGGCATCTTCACACACTTCAAGCGTGTATCTGCAACGAGTCTTGAAGATTGGACAAGAGTAGAGCGTGGTGTTGCCATCGAGCTCTGGAGCGCTGGATTCTACTACAACTTCACCCAAGATTACGATTCAAGCGATTTGATCATGTGACAATCTGCTACTCATCGCGCTTCTTTATGCTCTGGCCGACTTCCTTGCACAATCGCCCATAAGGCTCATCTATATACGTGTTAGCCCACTGGGCAATAACAAGCTTCACGCCAAAAGTGCTGATATCAACGACAGCTCGTCGCAGAGTTAAATGGTGTGAGCCCCAGTCCGTCACTTGCAATGAACTGTCGTACCACATGTGCGGTGACATGATAGTACTCTTCTCAACAACCGCTTCCAGCAATTTCAAACGAACACAGAGAGCGGCATATGAATGGCATAAAACATGAAGCTGGTACTGACGAGGTACTCGATGAGGGAGGGCGTTAGAGCATGCTGATTTGCGGCTCGTACATTACCGAACCTTCGAAGAATTCTAAGCTGTCATGACAACTAAAAATCCAACCAGTAACCAGTTTCAAGAGCTAAGTCCAGCATCGCGCAGACCCCATTGCTTCATCCACAACTCCATCCACTGACCATCGACAGGTTCAAGGCTTGCCAATGTCTCGCTCATCTCTTGAGCATTGATTGTTGAGAACTTTGGCTTCAAGCCATGCCTATTCTCCTCGAAAAAGTCAAGTAACTTGACAGCAGGGTTCGCCTCTGTATGCTCGCCATCAGCAGAGGCTTGCAAATCAGAGAGCCATTCTTCATAAGCAACAACTCGTAACTGCTTGTCAAGTGAGCTCTGTATATGCGGCAGGATATCTTCCCAATTGGCTTCGTGAGGGTTGACGAGATGTACAAATTGTGTTTTTCTTTCATCAGAAACCATTGGCGTGTCTCGGTCTGTTCTGTCGGGGTTCTCAAGCAAGATCTCTACGACCGCTTTTGCGAGGATGTCGACAGGAATCCAGTCCATGCGGCCCATTGATCCAAGGCTGGCAGGAAGTTCGCTTAGGTACATGGACGTCTTGATCAAGCTCGGGAACCACTCAGCGTCATTCCAACGACCTTGTTGATGTTTTACTGGTCCAGTGATCTGTCCGACACGGCAGATCGTGGATGGCACATGGTACTTCTTGCTTGCGGAGTCAAGAAGCATCTCAGACACTTGCTTTGACTGGGCATATCCCATACCTTCCGAGAATGACAGATTCTCGAGCATCTTCTCAGGCACGCACTCTTCGGTCTTATCAGACCACCGGTTAGCTGCTCCAACGCTAGAGATGAACTGAATCTGTGGTTGGTGCGCACATTCCATCGAGAAGGCAATCAAGTTCCTACATCCCCAGATCTGGTCTTCAAATGCTGTGACGGGTAGGTTGAAGTTTACAGACCAGGCATTGTGGATTATATGTGTAGCTCGCTCGCTCAGGCTTCTGTATGTATCTTCTGACAGTCCAAAACAGGGCTTGTCAAGATCTACCTGCTCAAATTCGGCTCGTGTAAAGTCGATGTTGAGGCCCTTTTCAGCATTGATCCTCTTTTGCTTTTCGCTGTCAGAGCCTGCTCGGTTGAGACAGGTCACCGTGATGTTTGGATCCTTGAGAAGCACATCCAAGACGTAGCTGCCCAATCCGCCAGTTGAGCCTGTCAGTAAGACGTGCGTCGCTCGTGACGGGGCAGACGTTCCACTGGATGAAGTGCCAACGCTCTCAAGAGAATCCAGACACTCGTTGAGAATCCTTTTCATCTCGGCTCCCGCATGCTTTGAACTCTGGTTTTGCACGCCTTCTCCATTTTTGTACTTTGTAAGTGCTTGAGCGATCTTGTCGATGGTCGGGTTGTTGTATATCATCGTCTTCAACGCTGAGCTGCTTGTTCCATTGTTCAGACTCGACTGAAAGGCTTTGGAAAGTCTGAGAGTCTGCAACGAGTCAAGGCCATGAGTGAAGAGACTTTCGTCCTGTTTGATCTGCTCAGCATTGCGCAACCCTACTGCGGACAAGGTTTTGGCAATGCCGACACAAAGAGCATTCATATTGTCAAAGTCTAGATCGTGTGCAAGTGGACTTGACTCTGCATCTTCATATACCTTTTCGATTTCTTCTTCGAGTTTTTGAGCTGTTGGTCTTCTCTGCACAGTGCCCTTAGTACTTCTCAAGAAGGCTTCGGGATTTTCCAAAATCTTGGTGTGGGCTTGATCAACTTTTGCATGGCCAGGCAGAACTTCGTTAGCTTTCGAGACAAGTTCCCAGATAGAGTCTTTTCTCTGCTTCTCGTCAAGCTCGGCGAGTTTCGGTGTGGGCTCGATCAAGACCGCCGGCTGTTCTTTGGAAGCACCGACTATGATTGCCGCCTTGACTTCAGGATGGGATGAGATAATCTGCTCAGCTTCGATTGGGTTGAACTTTTCACCATTGGCCAATACCACAATGTCGTCTGCTCGACCTTGATACAGCCACAGACCTTGCTTCGTTGGATGCGGTGAGTAAAGATCCTTCATAGGGTACTCCTGGAGCTCTGGGAATGTCCTGAATGGTGCAAAGTAGAGTCCATCCTCGGGCTGCCGGATGAAGACCAGCTCATACAGATTGCCAGAATGTTGGCGAAATTCGAGACCAAGTGCAGGGTGAAATTCATGGTATTGCCAGTCTTCGGAGTCTGCTGGAGTGAGCTCAGGTAGATTGTTAGTCTCGGTAGATCCAAGGAGATTGTAGACGTTGGTGTATTTGGATAGAGTATTGCCTGACTTGGCAGACAAAGGACCACCTCCGAATGAAACACTAGACCAAGAAGATAATCTTTCTAGTGCTGCTTTTGATTCAGCCACCTCTTCAAGGATGATCGGTGGCATTACGGCAGCCTCCGTCAGATTTTTTTCAAGTATGAGCTGTGCTATTTCAAGTGTCGGGATCTTGTCCGGAGGGCCGAAGATAAGTTTTGTTCCTTGGAATATGGAAAAGCCGAAGAAGTCAATGCCGGCAGCCTTGTTTTTGTCAGTATACAGTATGAATCGAATCCTATTCATCTTACATGGAATGGCGGCAGAGCTGTGTACATTTTGATGCCTCTATAATGCCGTGAGGTGACGTATCTGCCAAAGACAGGCGGTAGTAGCTGCTGAGCGTCCTTGGATGCCATCAGACCATGCGTGATTGTTACCGGCTTGGGTAGGCCTGTCGACCCTGAAGTATGCAGAAGCAGAAAAGGTTCCCCAACAACTTCTGAGTATATCTTGTTATATGGGTATGGAGCGACCTCAGTGACATCGAGAAGGTCTTCAAGGGATGGAATATCCAGGAATCGAACAGACGTGTTCTCGAGGATGCTGTTGACGAGAGAATTTCGAACTCCAATGAGAGTATGACATTGTGTCTTTTCTAAAAGCGATACGTGGGCGGCAATTTGATTCCGGGGTGATGAGAAAAGTGCCTTGATAGTTGTAAGCTTGCAAGCTCATCCGACAGGATGCCAAACTTACCTTGAACCCAGCCTTACAGGCCGCAACAGAAAACACGAAATAGCGGATGTCTGAGGGGCCGACATAACACAGAGTCTCTAGACGCTCTTCACGTCCCAGTCTCTCTGTCAACCACCATGCTAATCGGTTGATGGAGTTTGAAAGGGTTTTCCATGTGATGTTTATCAAGTCGCCTTGGGCAAGTGCTTCCAAAGTTGAAGGATACGCTGCCCATATTTCATCCGGATGGCATCTAGCCCACTCATCAATAACATTTGGCACAAGCCTCTGTCCAATAGACATGATCGAGAAAAAGTGGTAAGAGATCCTTAGCTAGGCGAAGGGATATAGGCAACATCGATATAGGATATCGCTGAGTTTTTCGACCGAGTCGAGCATATATACGTAGAGCCCATGATCGAACGAAGATCTCATTCTTGACACGAGCTAACTGCCGATATCGACGAAAATAAGTGCCTATCTTGACTGATATTACATTTTTCTTTTGTCTGTCGTATGGTGTTGAGCTCTCACGATTTACGGAGTCGAATGCAATGGCTTGAAAGAAGTATAGGAGTTTCAACAAACATGTGAAGACCTAAGAAGTATGAAACTTTGTCGATCTGTGTGGGTCTTTGTCACGACTCGATATCTCATTGGGTTCAACGATGACGGGTATCTCGGTATTTCCAATCAAGAGCTTCCAGATCATTGGAGTACAAGAGTCACTCCTGTTTACGTCTGTGTGATATCGCAGCCACTAGAATTGTGGTGCATTATGTATTTGTGTGATCATTGATGTTGAGGTGTCTGTAAAAGAGTTGACGTACGAAGAAGGTTGTGTTGTTGAAGACAAGGTCAGCTCTAGCGAGCCCTGATTCTGTGCACGTGCCAGAAGCAGCCACGGGCGGGCCGAGACGATCTGTAGATCATGCATGTACCTGTTTGGGAAAACGCAGATCTACCAACCAACCATCGAGTCATAACCCAGATCTAAAGCTTGTTCTTCCAAAGTCACACCGAGCCTCAACCTCAACAATCTCTGTTCTTCGTCTTTCTTTCGCACAACCTGAGCAAAGTGTCGAGGGTTGCTGCTACTCCAACACTGGAAAAAGCATGAAGCTGGTCGATCATGCGGCTACCTTGCGGTGGTGGGCAGACTGGGACATGCAAGTTACTTTGTTTTCGTCACACCCAAGGTCTTGGTTCTTCAAGTGACACCCTGCACCTGTAAGGCGCAAGTACATAAGCTCAAAAAGAATTCTGCAAGGCTAAGGTCACGACAACCGCATTCCAAGCCTCAACCTATCAAGTACATCCAGAGCTTGCACACACGCAGTACACTGTACGCCGGGGCAGCGAGTCTTGAGGACGATATTTACACGTACGTCGATGGCATCTTCAAGAGATCTGACGTATCTCATCTTTGAAGGGTTTGGCGTACCTTATCTCAAAAGGGTCCACGCACAGATCCGAACTTCGGTGATGCACGGTCGGTCCATCGGAAGAACGGTGCTACCTTGATCGAACAAGCAAGTGCTTCAACAAGGCATAAGTGGTGATCATGGACGATCTTTTACACCGTCTGCAAACTTGAATGATCTCTAGTTGTTCCCACTACCTTGTGTCAGAGCGGGGTCATAGCTCTTGATGATTCAGTTCTTAGCCATATCTGACCTCAAGGTATCATTGGGGTTCCTTTTTTCTCCTTTCTGTACTCAGTTCTCCTTTCTCTTTCTCTGATTCCAGTTGTTCCGTACTCAACTTCGACAAAGATGTCGTCGACCGACAGCATGAAGTCCCATCCCCAATCCCCAGAAGGGGACATCGAAAAGAAACTCTCGCACGACCCAAACACTCCTCCCACCGACCATGCACCACTACCCTTCTCGGCCATCCACGAAATCTTCTTCATCTTCATCATCTGCTTGTCACAATTCCTCGCTCTCGCCGGTCTGGCTCAATCAATAGCACCTCTACACATAATCGGTGACAGCTTTGGTATCAGCAACCCAGGAGAACTGTCTTGGTACCCTGCTGCCTTCTCTTTGACAGTTGGAACCTTTATCTTACCAGCAGGAAGACTGGGAGATATGTATGGACACAAGAAACTCTACATTATCGGTTTGGGCTGGTATGCACTGTGGAGCATGGTAGCTGGTTTGTCTGTTTACTCAGGCGACATTCTGTTCTCTGTCGCTCGTGTATTTCAAGGTATAGGCCCTGCGATTATGGTGCCTAATGCTCTTGCTATTGTGGGAAGGACATATCCGCCGTGTGACAAGAAGAATCTCATCTTTGCTTTGTTTGGAGCTGCCGCACCTACGGGCTGGGTGGTTGGTGCTGTGTTCTCGTCCATCTTTGCTCAATTGGCTTGGTGGCCTTGGGCTTTCTGGGCACTGGCCATTGCTTGTGTCGTTGCAGCTATTGCCGCCCAATTCATCATTCCCACCGACGAACTCGACCATGATGGTGCTGTCAAGTTCGATTTTCTTGGTTGTGTTACAGGAGTCACAGGATTGGTTCTCTTCAACTTTGCTTGGAATCAGGCTGCTGTGGTGGGATGGGCTACCGTCTACAACTACGTTTTGTTGATTGTTGGAATCTTGTTCCTTGTAGTTTTCGTCTGGGTGGAGATGAAGGTGGCTGATCAACCACTTGTGCCACTGAAAGCTTTGAGAAAAGAATCTATTCTCGCTCTTGCTGTCATCGCAGCTGGATGGGGCTCTTTCGGCGTCTGGGTGTAAGTAATCACCTCCTTACCATTGTATCCAGCTCCTTACTGACCTTCTCTACAGCTACTACCTCTGGAACTTCATCGAAGTAGTCAGAAACTACTCCGCCCTCGCTGCCTGCGCCCAAAACGCTCCCGTCGCTGTATCCGGCCTCCTCGCCTCCGTGGCAACAGGAATCCTCCTCTCCAAAACCAAAGTCAGCAATGTGCTCCTAATCGCCACCCTCTGTTTCCTCATCGGCCAAATCCTCATCGCCACCGCACCAGTGCAACAAACCTACTGGGCACAAACCTTTGTTTCTATAATCATCATGCCTTGGGGAATGGACATGAGTTTTCCTAGCGGCACAATTATCTTGAGCAATACGACGGCTAAAGAACATCAAGGTGTAGCTGCGAGTTTGGTGAATACGGTTGTGAATTATAGTATTTCCATTGCGTTGGGAATAGCAGGAACGGTGGATAGAAATGTTAATCAAGGTGGGAAGAATGTTTTGAAGGGGTATAGGGGTGCGTGGTATTTTGGGATTGGACTTGATGGAGTGGCTGTTCTTATTGCCTTATACTTTGTATGGAGGATGAGGGGTTGATAGCAAAAGCTTTCAAGTCTCGAGCATGAACCCAACGCCATTTTGCGTGTTTCTTTGTCTACTTTCCAGAAGTTTCTCACGGTTGAGACCTACTTGATTCAGCGGACAAATCATGAGCTCGTACACTCACGAGGCTTGTAAAGCACAGAACAATATTCCCGCTCTTCAGAAAAGGATTGTAGATTTCGTTGTTATACCACGACAATCTTTGACGTACAGGGAAGACAATAGCCAGTCGAGCCGAGAAATCTCTCGGCTCATGTAGTTGTACCATGTGGCTGGAACCCGAGAATCCACTAATCTAGGTACTATACTAAAACTAAGTTTTCTGAGACAAAAACATGTTCCAGAATCTATCAAGTATAAAAATAGTTTTGAATCACTCTTGCATATGTGAGGACTTCTCGGGAGAATTCGGATGTGTTTGGTGTCTAAAATTCATAAAATTCATTCTCTCTGTTTTTTTTTTGGTACAAAATGACAAGTCGAGTATCGTAGATCGACTAAATCGTGAGAGACGTTCTCATAGCATATCTTCCCGTGCTTTCTATTCGATCATCCTTACGAAGAAGCAGCAGAGCCAGTGTACTGCGAACAGCAAGAAGCAACCTTGTTCACACCGCTGGCATCAAGAACTCCATTGCGGGCGCAAGTGTACTTGGCCTGCAAACAAGCATCCTGAGCCTGGGCAGACTGACCAGCCGCACAAGCGCCAGCAGCAGCACTCAATTCGTTGGTGCAGTAAGCAGCATTCTGCTTGCATTGGGGGTCAACATTGTCGGCTGCAGTGCTGAGACCATAGAGCACGTTGCTGACGCCGTTGGTGACGGAACCAACGATACCACCAGTGACGCTGTTGATGATGCTTTCGACGTCGGAGGGAAGGTCGGCCTGGGAGAGGATGTCGCTGGCCGCAGCGAGAACATTCTCAACGTTGCCGCCCACATCTTGAAGGTACAATTAGCAAGATGTCAAAAATCGTATGTGCGGTTTACGTACTGCCAGACTGGTAGTCGAGGAAGCCGGCGAGGGGCTGGAGGAGACCGCCACAGACGAGGTCTGATGAGTCTGAGCTTGAACGTCTCTCGGCGGGTGAAGCCAAGGTCATGCCAGCGAGGGCAGCGGTAATGAGAGTGGTGAAGGAGACCATTTCGGAGTTGTGGATGGATGTAGATGTAGAGGATGAAGAATTGATGTGTAAAAGTCGAAGAGGACTTGTGTGTGTATGAAGATGAGAAAAGTGTTGTTGATGAGTGATAGTAGACGAGGTCTGCAACCTCTTTATATACCTTTGAGTGTTGCTACTCAAGCAGCAATTTCTTTGATTGCCTTGCTGTTCTCCTCGCGGTTCACTGAATGGAGTTCATGTATGTGCTGTCATCAAGGTGGACTCTGCTAACGACAAAGATGCATAGATGAGCAGAAGATCTTGTCTGTTAAGAGGAAAGATGGTATGCGATCAACATCAGATCAACAAGGGAGTCTCTACAGCCAGCATCCAAAATGATCAATTCAGCCACAGAGTCAGAAGTGATAGACAGGAGGGCAGGAAAGCATTAGCCTTATTCGTCATTGCCATGACAGACTATTCAGGGTCCTTCTAGATTAGGTGAGCGCAATGTGGGTTTAAAGTTGGAGCAATGTCGATCATAGGGTTGTGCGGAGGACAGTCCTGCAGATCATCACCACGTGCTGGGATATACGCACATGCTGTCGCCAAACCTCAAACCCACGACTCACACAACCTTCTCGATACGAGCCGCACTGACACGGTAACATCAAATTCGTTCGAAGTATCATTACTGCATAGGAAGTACATTGCAAATCTTTACACATCGGAGAAGAATTTGACAAGATCTACAAGCAGCCAAGCACCAAGAGGAGCCAACTGAGTCTTGATAGAGACAAGCACACCCACCCAACACCACCAGAAGATCTTCCGGATATCCAAGCCTCCGAGACCCGTGCTGCGGAAGAGGTGTCGAAATGTGAACATAAGATCTTCGGTAACTTCTTCACTCGAGTCATTGGGGCTCTCACCACGAAAAGGTTGACATGCAAGTCATTGTCCTGACTTTCCAACCTTATGGGATAAGCTTAGTGATGCTTAGCCACCACCACCATCATCATGCACACTGGCGCTTCGACCTCGACGTTGGAATCAACCAACGGACGGACATGTCTAATCTTTAGTCCCGTTGCGGACCTTGCACAAGCATTCGGAACTCAAGTCACTAGAACAGCAGATAAAGTAATGCAAAATAATGTATTGATTCAATCTAGTTATGCGACTCAGTGGCCGAGGAGGTTTGATGTAAGTGGGAAGCAGCCAAGCTTTCTGTGTGGCTCTTCTTGGTTGTCAGATGCTGGCGATGTGGCTTGGAAGGACATCTCTGCTGGCCCTGGTTACAATGGGCTGTCAGCGGGGCGAAGGCAGTTCGCCATCTGATGTAGCTTCAGAAAGGTGCCTTAGAGACGCTGGAAGCCGCTTGGTTTGGCTCTGCAACTCGTCTCGACGCCTTTGCTTGGCTCTGGACGGCAGGGCTCGGCACGGCTCGCCATCTGCTCATCAACGCGGACGGTCTCGTTGGACGTGGTTCGGTTTGAGGTTCCGTACCATGGCGATGCCGGCCTGCGAAGATCGATGGTCCGGATCAGCCGTGTTTGGACTTGTCGAGATGCAGATCCTCGATCTGTCGCTGTGCCGGAGGTAGGATAAGTGACCATCAAGGTGCAAGGCGCCCAATTAATCATCCAACAACTTCTTGACGCGCTCGATTCTTGTCAAGGCATTTTCCACCATTTCCAGTCTCTTCTGGCCTAGTCTGTCTCTCTCCTCGAGCACTTTCAACCTCTCTTCCAGCTTTGCCTTTTCCTTTCTTTCCTTGGCGACCATTTCATTTGCCTGCTCGAACAGTGTGGCAGACAAGTCCTCCAACTCCGCTTCCAGGTCTTTGTGCTTCTTCTCTGCAGCAACACGACGAGAAGTCTCGGCAGCGAGGGCAGCTTGAAGTTCAGAGACTGTAGGGGAAGAAGGAGCAGCAGGTGCCATAGGAGAAGCTTTTGGAGGCGTCTTGGGAAGTGGTTTTGTGGCGTTTGTGAGAGACGATGTGCGCGTCAAGAAGCTGAACTTGCCAACAGAAGCAACAGAAGAGTTGCGACTGAGCGAAGTCGGGGGAGCAGGGTAAGGGTGTACAGAGATAAAATCAAGAGCCGAGTCGTTGCGAGGGTTCTGACTGGCTTTGAGATCTCGAATCTCTTCTTCGTAGTTGGCGATGCGGTCGGCTGTTGAGGTGGAAAGTCAGTCCAAGGAGAAGAGGTAGAAAGGTGGGAGGATGAGGTGAGATGTACATATGCATATGCATCGAGAGGTGTCACACAGGCAGGGATAACAGCCAAACTCACCAGCTTCAGCACCTTTGCGCGTCAGGCTTTCGACTTGGGCTTCGAGTGTCGCGACGCGGTTGTCGCTCTCTGCCGACAATTCATATCTCGTCGGTTCTGGCAGTTCAAAGGGAGGAAAAGGCGTCGTATCGGCCGCCGGGTTTGTTGATGTTGTGGTTCTTGGGATTGTTGTTGATGATGATCTCGCGGGTGCAGGCAGAGACGCTGGTGTTACATTCTTTGGTTTTCTTGGTGGGGAGCCAAGATTCATAGCCAGCTTGTCGCGTGTCAGCGTGTAGTTGAAGCCTCTCTCGCTTTCTAGAATCATTTTGAGACGTGTAAGTATCGCGAGACGTGTAGCTGTTGGAACGACGTGTTTTTGTACAAGATATGCTGTGCAAGAAGATGTGTGTAGTAGGAAAAGAGAAGGAGGATGCGAACCGAAAGGTACCAGGGGCAGAGAACAAGTTTGTGCCTGCCCGTTTCCTGTGGTTTCTTCCACCGAACCCCCTGCGCGGTTTTTCTCTCTGCCCGCGTGCGCTCTGCTCTCCTGGTTTCGAAAGACTGTTATAACGGCTGCTCAGGGGGTTTAACGGTCTGCGGTCATGTTTGCGGCAACAAAGGCGGTCAGCGTGCCGTTCCGTGTGGGGGTTGAGACTGTGACCCTGGTTATCTCCCTGGTAAATACCTTGATGTTTCTATTCTTGCCTTTTGCATGTCAACGACAATGACATCAAATATGCATGCTGCGTATGTGTCGAAGCCCGAGTTGGCTGATTGCTGTTTCATAGAACAACTAGTTGCAAGTCGCTCCACAGTATGATCACGTCAGTGACCCAAGGAATCGATCCTTCTGTTGGAAACACGCAAACTATGAATTCCTGCTTCTCTCAAGTGTGTTTTGAGTTATCAAGTGATCTAAAAGACAAAAAGTGAATACACTAAGCAATAGAAATGTATATACAGGATCGCAACCATATATAGACAAGAGATCGAAGAAGACCACAAGCCAGAAAAAACCAATGCCGTTGCTTTTGCCTTTGAAAATGTCGGAGTAGATCTCCGCTATGATAACTTTGCAAAAAAAGAAAAAGAGGGGGTATCTGAGAGAAGTAATCTAGCAAGTCCCAAAAAATGTAAGAACCCTAATCGCACCGCACCATATTCTCCGTGTGTATGCCGGACCTACAGATAGATCTTCGTGCATCCATAAACGCCGTAAAACTCCTCGTGAAGGCCGTAGGGACTTGTATGTCAAGTCGGTCTCGGCGTTCCATGCTCGTCGTCATCGTCTCGATCTTGTGCTGCTTCCTCGCCAGATGCTGATGTGTCCCTGGTAGCTGAAGCTGTGCCTGTTGCGGGACCTTGTCGAGGTGTCTCATTATTTCCTGACCGATTGTCTACCACATCATTGACGACATTGTTATCACCTTGACTACCAGCAGTTGTGGAGCTGGCCCACGTCACATGATGCGAACTGTTCGAGTCTCGCACGGTGTTGCGTTGCGAGTTAGACGGCGTCTCGTTGCTGCTAAGATCGCTGTTCGTGTGCTTGAGCACTTGTGGACTCCATGCTGCCGCTCCTCGGGTAGGAGCTGGGATTATAGTATAAGGCAAGTCGACGTCGTTCACCTTTTCTTGCTTCCTCTCGCGGTACTTTTCGCCCTGCTCAGCTGCAATGGCCCCAATTCTACCCTTGATATCCCACTTTGAGTATGAGTGGGCCGGAAGGGTGCGAGCGTCGTTTTTGTCTCGAGCTGCTCTGACTTCTGCAGGTGGGCTCATCCGTTTTCTCTTGAACGGATTCTGCATTGCATTCCGAAGTGCATTGCTCGTGTGCCTCAGTCGTGACATAGCGTCCGGTATAGTTCCACTATCTTCTCGCGTTGCATTTGATGTCTGGGCTTCTAGATCGTCAACTTGTGAGTGCTCGGGTATATCCTCTGTCCGCCTTCGCACAGGCTCTGGTTCTTGCGACTCCCCATAATTGATGACATAGACGGTCGAAGCAGCACTAGTTGTATTCGTCCTGTCAGGTGGCGAAATCCGTGGAGGTGGAGGTGTTTGGTTAGTGGTTTGTGTAGGCGATGTTTCTGGACGGGGCAAGGACCCAAAGGTGATTGTTCTGTTTTCGGAATGTGCTCTTCCGAGAGGTAGGTGGGTCTTCCGACGAGGAATTGCTTTTCGCCTCCTGGCTACCGAGTCTTGTTGCGAGCCAGATTTGTGTGCCGAGCCCCCGGAGCTGCTGCTGCCACTGCCTGCCGGTCGATAACTATCTCGAGGTTTTCGAGTATATGTCATGTTGTCGCCGGGAGTCATGTCGATCATCTCATCACCGTCGAAAACTTCGCGTCCGAGAATGCCATCTTTCTTTTCATCTCGTTCCAAGGCTTCTATTCGTTCGACCCACTCCCAAACAACGACACTAGAAGCAGCAGCACCAACCCATCGAAAATAGTCACCCCAGGCAGCGACATCTGGCTGGGCGACATCGGTAATAAAGAAGGCTACAGGTGTTAGTATAGCGATATGTGAAAGAAGAGCGACAATAAAGATGCTCTTCATCTTGAGATGGAAATAGGCGTAGCGACGTTTGGTGAGACCGTAAAAAATGACCCAGGCGGCGTAGAGAAGACCAACAGCCAATTCGAAAAGATAACTAAGGGCTGGGATAGCGTCCACAAAATGACGAGGGCGATTAAAGCTGTCGACCAGGAAACTGTTGAGACAGGAGAAGATTGTATCCAGCACGATGAGAGCGAAACCGACCCATTTAATGACAACCTTTTCTTTATGCCGTGGGAACAGTCGTATGAGCGTTTGAACTTGAGCGAGCCAGAGAAAGACATCGGATATGACACGTGTGACTCGTACTTCCATGCTTCCCTCGACCTTGGTGTGCATAGCATCTCCATCCATGTATCCGACAGCATATTGTTCTTGAGCAACTTTGAATGTGTCGGCTGTGGCGATGGTCAAGGCAATAGCGGTTAAAAGAGCTGCGACCTTCTGAAGCCAGGGTCGTGAGCCCACGCCGGGTCCGGAAGTACCGCCAGTTGCGCCACCGATAAGACCTCTTCCAGAAGCAAAGTTTGTGAGACCGAATCCAGGAGAGAAAGACCGCGAGTTGATCAACAGCATGACAACCAAGACCCAGGCTAGTGAGGTGGCGCAAGCGACGACAAATGTCTGAGGGATGGTCGAGGCATAGAAAGGGCCCGAGAGGTCGGCGACGCTAGATGGGTCATTGCTGGTTCCAGGAGTTTCGTAGCCGGGTGTGCAAGCGGGCGAGAATACTACGTTGGCAGTGAGAGTAACGATGTTATCTTCGGAAAAGCTAATGACACCGTCGGAAGGGAGTGTGTATGGTGTGCATGTCTGGCAGCCGTAAGGTCAGCGAGTGCGCGCGTGAGCGGATATTCTCGACATACGGCAGTCATAATCGACGACGTGGTGGTCGGCAGCCCCCATAACTGTCGAGCAACATGCCGCGACATGCCCGAGGGCTAGGTGTCGCGTCCAGAGCAACGACTACAAGGACAGCGTGGGGTGTGGGTGGGCGTGGATGCGGATGCGCAACACACGGGGCCGGCGGCCGGGGAAGTTTCGATGCGACGCGCGACGTGCGACGGAGGGGATGACGAGTGGCGGTGTGGATAAGCGATCGAGGGTGTGTTTGATGTCTAGGATGGCCGGGAGTGCGTCCTCTCTCCTCTGAAAAACATGTCGCGCAGGCTGAGGCAAGGCGTAATGACAGAACCGACGGGGAAACAGCGACGACGACGGTCTCGACAGGCTGGGCAGTGTGGGCAGTGAGATGGCGAGTCGCTCCTTCCTCTTGCCCACTTCTTGGCGAAATCTTGAGTAGCGGGAACGCTGAGTCTGCACGAGCCATGTCACGCCAATTCCTTTTCAGGTTCGCTCTTGCCGAGTCCCCCAGCCTCGGAGCCTCAGTCCTGACAACTCCGCCTCGTTCTTACCCTGTTCGAGCACGAGTACCTTTACTCTATCCGAGGTTGATATCATTCTTGTTCTTGTCCTTATTTCTGTCCTGTAGACAACTAATCCTCATCTTCCCTTCACATTCCGTTCAGACATGTCGACCGAGATCAAAAGCCTAGAGGGGCTCCACAACCTGCATGTCAAACGCAATGTCACCCCAACTTCTTCTGGGTCCACTATCGTGAGCTACGCTAAGGACCTGGGGGAAGGTCCTGTCTTGTGGCTCGTCCATGGTTACCCTCAGTCTGCCTACATGTATGCCTGGCCTGAATTTGCCTCATGCTTCCTCTCGTGTTGCTGACTTTCAAATTTAGTTGGCGTCATGTGCGATCCTACCCACTGTGCGTCTCGTCATCTTTGTTAATATAGTCATCAGATTGTCCCTCAACTGCAGGACAAAATCTCCCTGTTCGTTCCTGAGGTGAGTAACTCATCTCCACTCCCTCCGCATTTACCCGACGACTGCTGATCCTACTTCCGAAAAAGCTGCCGGGCTACGGCCTCAGTACACTCGAAGGCAAGGCCGGAGTCTCCGCCGTCGGCGCCGCTCTACTTGAAGCGAGCCATAAACTATTTCCCGACCGTCCTATCATTTTAGCCGGACACGATCGCGGTGCTCGCGTCTGCCATCGCCTTGCTGTCTCCAATGCTCACCCACCCCAAGATGATTCTGCCAAACTACACTCTTATAAACTTCTAGGCACTGTCCTGCTTGACATTGTACCTACTCTAGTCCAGTGGCAATCTTTTGCCAACCCATTGGCTAGCGTTGGTTACTTCCACTGGCCATTGTTGGCATCTCCCGTCGCCGCAGACATGATTGAAGCCTTTGGTGCTGCCAAATGGGTACATCTCGGTCTCGATCGCATCTGTGGAGACAACGCCGAAGGTCGCAAAGCGATGCAGTCAGACGACGCTTGGGAAGTATACAAGACTCTGCTCTCGAAGCGTGAGGCCATTGAAGGTTCATGTGCCGATTATGCAAGCGGCTGTTTCGATGAGCCTCCTCTCCAAGAGGCTGATCAGCGTGAGGGCCGCAAGATCCAGAGTCCTGCGCTTGTCATGTGGAGTAAGGCTAGATTGGGCAAAATGCATGGTGGTGATCTTGGATCCATCTGGAGCGATTGGGTTCAAGATGCCTCCTTGCTGACCGCCGAGGGCCTTGGTGACGATGTCGGACATTATCTGCCTGAGGAGGCAAGCACCGTCATCGGAGCAGCCATCAAGGACTTTGTCGAGAAGGTCACAAAGTAATTGTATATAATCATGATCAACGGCCACATTTACGACTTGCCCTTTTGGTTTCTAGCCAGCCAGTTTCGTTCTTCCACTTTGGCCACACGTTCCTTCCATTTTTCCTGGTCTGCCCTACTCTTTGCGCGTCCATTGATCATTGCTGCTTCCTTCTCAGTCAGAATTGTCACTTCAGCTGAGTGTCTAGATCAGAAAGACAGCCGCATGCAACACACCACACACGAGCCAACTATAACCAACGCAGCGCTCAGTTCTTCTTCACGAGAGAGATATAACACCATCACTGCTAACGCAATATTTCTCTAGTCCAATATGATTGCCATGGCCCAGACTTCGAAACTCACCATTCGAACAAGCAGAAAGTCTAATATCGAAAGAGGAAGCAACCTCTCCAGTTCCCAAAGGGACTCTAAGGGTTAGCGAGACCTTATGACACAGCACAAGCACACACTCAGAAAAGATGATGTCAACTGAAATGGCAAAAATTGGACGTACAGAAAAAGGGACATCTTGCATAGCAAGACACCAATAAAGAAGCGAAGAAAAGCATATTTACAAGTAGCACACGAAAAAACGAACAGATCCACCCAGCCACCCAAAAAGTCCTTCCACCAGACCTTTTGACCCTCCCATTCCCTCAGTAAAAACTCCTCTTATGAAAACATAGAAAGCCTCTCCATACTTTACATTGATCTACCCCTTGCCACCATGCGGCAATTTGTTGAGCAACTTCTGTCCTCCGAGCAAAAGTCTAGACTTGAAGCCTTCATCGTCCGTTCCATCTGACTGTGCACTAGCTGTTCCATTCTTGTGTTCTGAGCCCATGGCAGAAGAATGGTTGGACGCGCTAGTGCCTGGTCTCAATCGTCCAAACAAGCCCTTCTTCTCGCTGCCAATACTCGTGCTCCTGGCCCTTGACTCTTCAGACTTCCTGTGAGGTGTGTGGAGAGAAGAGGCATTGGTGTACGTGCGAGACATATGTGAGTAGCCAGTTTGGGGACGAGGGCGAGGAGGAGGCACGGGTCCACCTTCAGTCTCTAGCGATCTGGTGAGTGAAGGAGTGATGCTCTTGGTTCTGGTCGCAAACAAACTGTTGGGCGAGGACTCCATATGGTGGTCATCGAACACGGAAGGACGGCCAGAAGTGAACGACGGACGAGCAGGAGTATCGTCTTCGTCTTCTGCTTCGTCTTCTTCTTCGACAATGCTCGAGGTGGTGATTGGTGTGCTTTCTCCACTGTTACGCACGCCCTCTGTTTCGTTGTTGATGTGCATAGTGCTGAGATTTGCTATCTCTCGAAGCTTGCTGGCGGCAGCTTGGCGTGAGGGTCGATGGTGATGGAACTTGTTGCCTACGATGGCACCAGCATGTGAGATCAGAGCCTTGATAAGATCCTTCTTGATTTGCAGAGCCAAGTCGAGGTTTGACCATGTCTTGTTTCGATACTCAAGCGTTGGCATGCGGAACACGAGATCATGTACATCTTCAAGGTTTCGCTTGCCTTGTCCCTTGTAGCTGAGGCAGAGAACCATGCTAGGGACTTTGAAGAATGCCAAAGTCATGTAGTTAGAAGCACGAGACAGCATGAGTGAGAGATCGTCGTTCTTGTCGTCTTTGTCCGATTTGCCTTTCTTGTTGGACTTCTTCTTGGACATCTCTGATTCGGCAAGAGAATTTGTCTCTGACGATCGCTGTGAGGGCGACCGGCTGACAAGGCTGGAACTCGATGCAGTGTTGTTGTTCTGTTTCTTGGCGATGCTACTCGATGACTTGTCTGAATGGCTGAAGGGGTTCCAATGAAGATTGTGTAAAGACGCAGTTGAATGGCTGATGCCAAGGCCCTTGTGCTTGCCATTCTTGACTGGTACCTTTCCTTCTGGCAGTTTGAGAGTTGGCTGGAGTCTGTGTCCGAGTTCACCTGCTCCAGTGCCCACTCCTTGGAGTCTGTGTCCACTACTGCTTTCATCCTGTGGTAGGTTGTCTTTCTTTTCGTCCGAATCTTCCTCGTCGTCCTCTGGCACGGCCATATTACGAACCATGAAGGGTGAGAAGCCACCACCTTCAAACGCATTACCTCCAACGCCCGGGAAGAGGTACTCGAACAGTTTCTTAGCGATCTCGCGTTCGAGCTGGACTCGCAGAGGCATGACATTGACTTCAAAGTAGTCGACGACAGGAATACCTGCAATGGCCTCAAGCATCAGCCACTGTACACGCAACATCTTCATGTCCTTTTGCTTGGTATAACCCCTAGCTGGGTCAATGTATGGCGCAATGATTTCTGGATATACCGCGTTTGGCAGCAGATTGAAACCGTTGATCCTGCCAATCTCCACGCAGCTGTAGTTCGAGCCATCATTATTGTCGGTACGGTCGAAAAGACCATCCTTGAGCTGGAACTCGAGGAGTGACTCATTCTCACCACGAATGAGATGCCAAGCAATCTCTTTTGAGGAGATGAGCCATCTCAGTAGGCCAGGCGACTCTTCTTGATTGCGGTCCTCAACTCTGCTCTGAGAAGTCGTGATGGCCTTCATCATGAAGAACAGTTCATCCTCGCAGGCAGCTAGATCTGCATCAAGAGCAATTCTGTCCTTCCATCCTTGACGATCCAAGAATTTCTCATTGACCTGGAAGTGCATCTTAATATCTTCAAGCTGTCGAATTCGAGCTTGCAGCATCTCTACCATCTCGGGTGCACCTCTCAGATCGCTGAAGTCCGAAGCCAGCATGATCTTTTCGAGTCTTTCGCTGCGAGTCTTCTCCAAAGGCTCACTATACAGTAACAAGTCCAGCACGATGATGTACATGGCAAAGTACTGATTAGAGTCGCAGATGGCCCGGAAGTGAGGGAACTCGATATAGATGTGGTCCATGCGAGGGTCTGAGGCATCTGGACTTTGACCCTTGTCCCCGTCTCCACCACTGACATCGTCATTGTACTTCAGGCGCAGGTTGTTGTATTTATCGTAGCGCAAACTTGCCGAGGTACGATGAACGACTCTTGAGAAACCGTATGGGTTGACCTGGAATTCGAACATGACTTCCAAGGGTACCCAAGGCGGCCAGTACTCCCCAGCTTTGCCACCATAGCGATTGCCAGAGTACATGTGGAGGTAATCGGTTGAGAAAGTCTTCGTGCTGGCGACGAAGACCTGCATGCTGTCCATCGCGGCAGTGAAGCGCGTTTGCACCAGTCCACTGATCTCATCCATAACTCTTTCCTTGTCCATGATCTGAACCACTCTGAGTTGCATACCTTTCGCAGCAACCAGCATGACAGACTTTGGATTCTTCTCGCTCTGTAGCTGAATCTGTGGAGCGATGAGGCGGAAGTGATAGGTGTTCTGCGGTGTGTACTCGGTTGAAATGCCTTCTCCGCCGCCTTCCTTGCCGGCCGTCCTAGTGCTCTCCTGTGTTTCAGGGTCGTCGGCATTGACAAATTGTCTTCCGTCGTTTAGAAGCTGGTCGATCCTATCTTGTACCGCCATTTCTTCTTCTTGATTCGGTGTTTGGGGCAGGAAAGATGTATCGCTGCTGACAGTGCTGTTGTTGCGATTATCCTGTGCTTTTGGGCTTGATTTCTTCTGTTCTTCAAGAATATCCAGAATGAACTTGACAGCTCTTCTAGACATGTAGTAAACGAAACCGCGTCTTTGACTGACTTGATGGACGTAGCGTAGAATAATGTTTCGCAGGGAGTTGTTCCATTTAATTTGAGCATTGTGCACAACAAATCTGTTGTTGAAATCGCTCGTGTAGTCTGCAATCGGATTCGCATCTTCCTTTGGCAGATTCTCCTTCTCGGCATCTCTGTCGGGCAGTTCATCTGTATCGATCTCTGCAGCGATAGACGGATCTTCTTGTTGCAGTTTGTCAACAAGCACGTCCAGCAGCTCACACAAGAATTCATGTTTCTTCTGCAATGCTTCGGTGTGGTTCTTTAAAGCTCGAAGTCGCTCGTTAAGCTGTTCATCGCCTTCGTGCGTTCTAACAACCTTGACTTCTTGCTCTCCAACCGCGCGTTCATTGTGGGCCAGCTGCTCTTCAATACGATGAATGCGGGATTCGATAAGGTCAGCCTGGACTCGGCGCGGGTCGTTTCGTTTGGACATCACGCAATAATGAGTGGGCTCGTCGCCGAAGATACTGGTTCTTGTCGTATCTCCCGAGACCGAATCACCATGATCTGTCTGCCTGAAATATGTGAAGCGAGGTGCGAAGGCGAGTGGAAGAATCTTTGTCGCAGGGTTTGTCTCTGCTGGCAATATCCAGTCAAGCTCGACGAAGTCATCCATATCAATCCAAGTCAAGTCATTGTCAGGTATAGTAAACTTGGACATGTCGACGTGGGTAACATTGCTTGTATGGTAGGAAGCCAGTGTAGCCTCATCAGCTCGATCAAGGTCGGCTGTATTCGTTCCTTTGATAGATGCAGATACTGCTCGGATATCAGCTGAGATGAAATCGAGTTGACATTGGTTGATCTTCATTGCAGTCGTTCGCTTTGCCTTCTTTTCACCAGTTGCTGGAAGTTCAAAGGTTTCCCTACGTTGATGAAGATCCAACATGAAGCTATCAAGTTTCATCTTCAGACCTGTGGCAGAGACGACATCATTCTGATAATCTTCAGCGTCTTTGTGCTTGTAGAGGTGACTGATGAAAAGAGGCGAGAAGAGTAGATTGTACTTGATTGTGCCAAGATGGCGACCAAACTTCTTGCTCGACTTTTCCATGCTGCCCCAAAGAGGACCTTGTCGGACGGGGAGTGACATGACTCCAGAAAACAGTGACCACCAGTTGTAGAAATGCGTAAAGAAGCGAGGAGTGAGATGGACAGAGTTGTAGTTCTTTGATGGTTGAAGGTTGGCAACATTCCAGTCACGATCCTGCGGTGCAGAGATGGCGATAGATCCATGAATCCAGTGGCTTCTGAAGTCTTTGAATGCATCGTATGTTTCTCCTGGTGGTGCTTTCGCATAATCAGGATGTCTGAGCTTGACTTTGTAGTGAGGACAGAAGTCAAAGCTTCGCTTGTCGTTTTTGACTTCGCGTTCGAATGTCAGGCCGGCCATCCATTGCACATTTCCAGACAATTTCATGACAACCTTCTTGAAGGCAGCCGTAGCTTTTCTGCTGTTCGTGCTGCTTGACCCACTCTGTGAGTCCGTTCCTTCGTCTTCGCTGATCTGTCGGGCATAGTAATTGTAATCAGGTATAGCCAAAACATAGTCACCGCTATCGACAGTCATGAACTTGCGAGGGTCATCGTCCTGGGCAATTCTCCAGCGAACCTGGTTCCTCCAGACCATGACGAATCCAGCTCCTAGACCGGTAACAACATAAGGATCGCGAGAACCCTTGAGACAGAGATGAACGTCACCGTCGCCTTTCCAATTGATGTCGAGTCGTGAATGGAAACTGAGTCTGATCTTGTCCCAGAAGCCAACTCTGTCGGATGGGTCCATAGGTGGCTTCGTGAAGTTCTCAATGACCTGCATCATGTCTTGAATGGCAGGTTGATATGAAGTTCCCCAGGTGATTCGTGTAGGTGAGCTTGTATTGATGTCGATCTTCATGTCTGAGTATGTCTTCACAGCCGATATGGTTCTACGCACATCGATGGAGAAGTTTTTCTCTTTGTCGTCTTTGCCAAACTTGTGTTTGGGTACCACAACTACATTGATGTGGCGTTGAGACTCTATACCCTGGAACTCCTCGGCAATGACAAAGTCTGTGCTCAGAGACAGACTAGCAAGCCGGGGCGACTGACCAGGACGGATTGCAGGAACGTGGAGAAGAGGTAGGGGGTAGTCCCTTAGCATGACTCTAGCCTCGCCCATAGTAACCTTCAAGTTCATAGGTACAAGAAGGCCATATTTCATGTCCAAAGGCATGCCCTTGCCAATGTCGTGTAAGAAGTGTGGATATTGGTCAAGTTCAAAAGAAGGCTTGTCGATGATAACACCCACGTCGCTGATGATGGCAGCCATCAAAGCAGGCCGCTGCGGTATAGCCATCACGTTCTCAGATTGTTCGAACTCGTCCGGTAGGTCATTCATGCCCCACAAGATGCCACGTAACTCCTTGATGGCATGACTCTGTGAATTCATGGCTCGATCGATGCGCTTCTTCCAGCTCTCAGCATTGAATTCCTGCAGCTTGGCATGGGCTTTCTCAACAGTACGAGTGTTTGCGCCATTGAAATCAGCCCTGCCCTCCGTGTTGTATCGAAGCCTGCGACCGCGACCTCTGCCACGACGCTTCTCAGAAGAAGACTCTTCGTCCTCTTCACGCAGTGTGTGAATTGAATGAGCACTCTTGCTCCTTCTGTGGTGTGATGTTGCAGGACGAGACGAGCTGCGTCTACGAGATGGCGGTGGTTGTTGTGAGTTGGCGCGCACGCGTGAACCTCTTCTCTGGCGTTGTGATTCTGCGTTCTTGACCTTGAGTCTGAAGGCTTCTTCACGTGCGAGACGCTGCTGCTGCTCGATCAGACCCGCTCTGTAGATTGTGCCGAGCTTCCATTCGAATCCACTGTCCTCAATTTCGAAAAGCAGCAATTGGGCGCGAACAGATATCCTTGGGATTTTCTTTGGTCCTTCAGGATGCTTTGCCAGGATGTATTCAAGTGTTCCGGTACTGAAATGATGGTGTAGTTGCTCAACAGACTTGACTGTGTTGACTATGTTGTCAAAAATCGTATGTAGAACCATGCCGTGTGGAACACCGATACGAATTACATCTGTCGTGAAGTCTAGAGATTTTGCGATTTCGGTCTTCTGGGCGGTCTTCATTTTCATCTCGCGAAGGTCAAACCGAAGATTCTTGACACTGACGATACGACTCCAGACGTGTTTCATGTTAGGAGTACCCGCAAGCAATCTTACAACCTTGAGTCGCGCAAATGGCGTAGCCCATCTATGACGGCCACAATCGGCTCCAAAGATCTGTATCATCAATGGCGGATCTGCAGGCATTTCCGCCTTCACTTGAATGAGGTTCGCCTTGAAGTCAATTGTGGTCACTTCGCTCATCAAGATCTGGTCGTATTTGGAATCGTCTCGGGTCTTGACAGTCGAGCTAGGTTGATGCTTCTTGCGTTCCTCGTCCAGATGATGAGGTCCCAACGACAGGAACATTCTTCGGAAAGTCAATACTGCTACACCAATTGAGAAGTGCTTGTAGAGTGAGTATTCCACCTGGAGACTCTTGGCATGCGAGTTGATGTGGAAGAGTGGTCCTTGTATGTCGCTTGATGTTGAGAATGCCACCTCAAATTTAGGCAAGTTGATGAACGGATCTGCAGTCGAATCCTCGACAGCGTCAATGATGTGACCCTCCAAGCCTTGAATGTGTACCGCCAATCTTCGTCCATCAGTTGGTAATGTTTGTTTCTTTCTTGGAGCCTCTGGCGTTGTTGATCGATCATTTCTTTCGCGTGAGAACGATCTACTGAGTGATCTGCGGCGTGGTACAGGAACGTAGACGTCTTCGCGGTGCGCCTTGTACTCGGCTGACCATGATTCGAGCTGCAAAGCAAATCCGCGAGCATACTTGGAAACAGCTTGATCCACACCTGCAAGCTCGACGTTGAAATCGGCACCCTGAATGCTCACATGTTGTAGCCAATCTGGAATTTGGCGAAGGAAGCTTGGCTTTTTCACGACTGTCGACCCACTGTTCGCGTCTGTTTCGCGACGAGCAGCCTTGACAATCTGGCGAATACCTTCAGAAATCTCCGTTCGTACCAAGAAGACCGAGAATGTCTGGAATCTACCATAGACGAGGACTTCGGGTTGTGGTAGTACATTGACGTCAACCTTGACCTCAATGGTCTCAGTCTGCAAGAGGTCATGCTTTTGGCCAGCATTTGTCTGGTAGTATAGCTGGCTCGAAGTCTGTCTGTAATGTAAGTGCAAGCCGTACTTGATTGCAGACTCCGTCGAGGAATGTTGCGAGTCGATATCCAAAGACATGGTCGAGGTCGACAAAATGAGCAGATCATACTCGACGTCTCCAGTGTATGCTGGACTCAACGGAGGAAGCGAAACCCTAACGACAGGTTCCTGGATAGCAATCTTGACGATGGCTTTTGGCAGGAGTCGAGTTAAGAAGCCGCGACCCGTCAACAAAGAAGTTTTGGATGTCTTGTTGGATTCTTGCCGTACTTTGGCAATAGCTAGCAGGAGCGGCAAGTGCTTTGGATCCAGGTCAACAGATGGCGAAGTGCACACAAGGTTGGCAAACAGAATGTTACTGTTACGCTCTCGCACGTTAGTGGCATCATCTGGTTTTTGTATGGTCTTTGACGGAAGCGTAGTCTTGACAGTGGCAGTTATCATGGGCACATAGAGCATACGCTCAGGATGATCGTGGCCATCGTCGACACCAGCCGAGATGGAAATGGCTGTGAGCAGGGCTTGGTGAGCAACGTCTGTTGGTGAGAAATACATGCGATGTGCCGGACTCCTTGAATCGAGCCGCAAAAGATCCAGTCCCAATTCTTTCATGGCCATGTTGAAGTAGACATGTTGACCAGAGGTAGGCAAAGATCTGATGCGCCTGGAAAGACCCAAGAAGCCAATAGCCAATTGGAATTCCTGTATACCCTTGAGCACGGATCCAAGAAATTCTCTCGACTCTTCCACGGCTTCCATAAGCTTTTCCTCGCGGTCCTGAATGTCCTGGGGCTCCTTGAGCACATCGTTAATGGCGATTTTGGGAGCTTGTACAGATGCCGAGTCGCGGGTCTCGTGTTTTGTAATTCCGCGAATTTGGTGCAGCTTCTCATTCGCATCCAGTATATCGTCGTACGGAATATCGAGGCGACCTAGCTTCAAAGCGATTGAAGCATCGCGCAAACCCTCGAGATGCGGATGTAGGAAGCCATGCACACTCAGAGACAAGCCATCCAAGATTTCGGAGGATTCTTTTCCCTCGGGCGTGAACAGTATGGATCGGATGGTGCTCTTCCACTCGGCGGGGGTGTGAGATGAAGCCTTTGTCTGATCGTGTTGGAACAAGCGACTGCGATCGACCATCTTTGCTCTCGTGTCGACAGCCAGGGTAATGCGCTCGACAGTGATTGTTCCCACCTCTTTGATAATGACACTACTGGTGTCGGCGACCAAATCGACCAGACACAGGTATCTTATCTTGGTATGCAATCTCTTGATCTTGTCCTTGACTTCGGTCAACTTCTTCCACTGTGATGCGCCATCTTTCTGCGAGGGAGTCTTTTCTTCGGTCTCTACGTTCTTGGCCGAGTTTTGTAATGCGCGAAGGTCTACGACGACCTGAGGTTCGGTCACATACAGACTGATCCATGTTGGTTGCGCAAAGGTGGGTCGGTGGAGAGACAGGCCGATGCCTCGAACGTATATCTTTATGCCATCCTTGGGTGAGAATGCGACGCGACGGAGACCAGAGTAGCCGATGCGCTGGATGCTAATGCCCGTCAAGATGCGCAGGAGAGCGAACAGGACAAATGACGAGAGGTAGGCGAGTACCAGAACACCACCGACGAAGGACGCAGTGGGCAGCGGCATGCTGACTGGGTATTAAAGATTAAGAGTTACACGGTTTCCAGTGGATCGTGACTATCGCAGTACGCGATTCAGGTCCAGAGTCGCAATGGTAGACGGAAGTGCTGAAGCAGACGGTAGCATCTTCAAGACATGCCCATCGCTCTGGTTCGAGAAGCAGTACGTCGATGTCGCGTAGGGATCCAGCAAAGAGAATGGTCGAAGGATTGGCAGCGGCTCACACGAGCTCAAGGAGTTGTGGTCAAGGGTGGCTGCGCATCAATTTCGCCGATTGCCTTGACATCATTTGTAATGTTTAAAGAGCCTCAAATTGTGACCATCGATCCGGGGTTGCCGGGGCCCTTTACGACTTGTGGCCCTCGTTCATGCTAGAGACCATCATAATCGAGTCACCGAGTCTTGTGTGCTGAAGAGAAGGTACATGATGGACCACAAACAATAGCTAACATCTAGAAAGAGCGACGCGCAGCTTCCCATTCTTGATATGTTTGACAAGCACGCTCATCTCTTCTTGTTCCTGTCTGCTCTATCGGCTCGTGCGGGAGCTTGCAGCACGATACTTTCAACAAAACGGTTGTGTATTGTACGACCGAATGGGAACGGCAATTCTTGTCAACACACTTGTACAGCTTCACGGAGCCTAGCGGAATACTTTGCAGAGTAACTATGAGTGTGGAACCAAGCACCATTGGGGTACAATCAGTAAATGACATAGGTGTTCTCGACTCGCGAGTGATCAAGACGTTGAGAACGTTGCCAGGCTTCGAGATGATGGTATCAACATGCCAAGAGGTAGCAGGGTCGTACTCCCACCAACCTCCCCCAACGTCAAATTCGATACGATCGGCGATAGGGAGGTCAATTGGGACATCTCAGGACTGAAGGTTACTCACCATGGTATTCTTCATTATATTAGTTGTTGTCATGATATTCCGTCCTTTGATCGTTGAGCAATGCTGCTTGGGAGATTTTATCCATGCTTAGCCCGAGAACTGACTTAGGAACATCACAATCGCAACACTGTCTCCGTTCTGTCGGCGAAAGATGGTAATACAAACAGAAGACAGTGATTTAAGTGTCTTGATTCCACTGAAATGTCTCATAGAGCTCACAATGATGTCTAAGTCAAGTGTTGTTGTTGTTGTTGGTGGTATCTCATTTGCGTTCTTGATGCTCTAAATACCCATGACCTTTATGGCCCGTGCCCTATGTAGAACGCCTTGATGATGCATGGCCCAGCCTTTAACTCCAGCAAACCCATGCAATTCGTGTCATCGTTGTCTAGAAGATCAGCTTCTATTCTTCCATAGCCTCCTGCATCTTCACCTCGACTCCATTACCATCTCCAAGGCTCGTGGTCTGTGGAGGAGCCGAGAAGACCTTCTCCTTGACCTGAGCAGCCAACAGACCAGTCTTTTCCTCGTTGGCGATCTTGTCCGCGGCAGAGACTACCTTGTCCATGGCAGCATCGCCTTTGGCACCTGGGCGCATGGACATTGAACCTCTGTGCTTGGCATTCTGGGTGACTTGATTGATCTTGCCTGCCAGATCTTCGATTTGCTTGGTGCCGTACTCGCGATTGGTGGACAGAGGTGAAGAGGACAAAGTCTGGACCCAGTACTTGTTCCATAGAGCTTCCAGCAATGTGTTGTCGAGTGATGACTTGAAGTGAGTGACTTCGAGCGAATAATACTTGTTTGCGTGAGCACCAAAGTCGGCAGCTTTAGCGAGAGGAACAGCAGCCATGCCTTCGCCAGCAGATTCAGAACCAGCAGGGACGTGGCCTTCGGGATAAGTTCTGAAAGCGCCAATCTCGACCTTGCCGGAGCTGACGGTGCGGTCTGGGTCGATGACAACGGCGACGAAAGGATCGGAGAAGGTTTGCTGGGTGAATTGAGTCGAAACATCGATACCACTGAGCCAGCAGCCGTAGCCAGGATGGCTGTGGTACCAGCCGACGGCGTTTTCCAGTTGACCGGCTTGACGTGAACGGTCGAGGTATTTGACCATGTACTCGTTGGCTTCGTCTTGAGCGTTGACTCTGGTCTCTGTTCCTTCGACAGGCAGGCGGAGGGCGTCGGTGACAACAAAGGTCTCGTGGAGGACGTAGCCGATCATGAGGCCCATGACTTCAATGCTGCCACCGGAGCGGGCGTGCATGACCATCTTGGTGAGGGCGACCGAGGAAATCTGGACATGCTTGAAGTGGTTGGGGTCTGCGCGCCATGGCTTCTTGTTGTTGATGTCCTTTTGCTGTTCGACCGAGTAGGCGTATGGTTGATCACGAGTGGCGTCTGTAAGGTTGACGGCGTTATCCAGCTCTGTGAAGTGCTGTCAGCATTTGGGTATACTGATAGAAGAGAGTGTAAACCCACCCCACGTCTTCCTTGGGCCGTCCATTGTGTCGTGTGTGTTGTGTGAAAAGCAGTGATGGAGGACGGTGAAGCAGCTGGATGCGATTGACGTAAAGACGGCCAAGCTCCAGGCAGCAGATGCGCGGGGTCGGAGATGTGGTGGATTCAGCCCCGACCAAATATTCGATTGCGGCAAGTGAATGTGAATGCTGCTTCCTTGTTGGCAGACACCGAGAATGTCGCGACTGCTCAATGTCCTGCCCCGACGACCGCAAGGGACGGCCTCCGTCTGCAAATCATGCTCTGATCGACTGAGCCCTCCGGCTATCCGTCACTTCTCAATTTCCTCCGGCGCATTCACAAAGACACTTCAGAGACCACATGCCATTTCGACTGCTTCGTCAAGGTTCTTCTCTACCACCGCCGTTCACCTCGCCAAAGGACACTCGAACCGCGAATTGCTCCCTTCTGCGCCTGCACGAACACGTTTCGCCCCGTCTCCTACTGGCTACCTTCATCTCGGATCACTACGCACCGCTCTCTTCAACTATTTGCTCGCCAAACGAACCGGAGGTCAATTCCTGCTCAGAATAGAAGACACGGATCAGGTGAGCATCGCACCGTCAGACCTACAACACTCAAGAGCTGATGGGAGAAGAAAAGACTGGTTCCTGATGCCGAGCAAAGGCTGTGTGACGACTTGAAGTGGGCTGGCGTTCAATGGGACGAAGGTCCGCAAGTTGGCGGTCCATACGGTCCTTACAAGCAGTCCGAAAGAACCCCACTGTACCAGAAACATGCCCAGGAACTCGTCAACTCCAAGGCCGCCTTTCGGTGCTTCTGCAGCTCTACCGCTCAAGCTCCTGTCGACGTTGACGCCTCACTAGTTGGCTCTGCCATTGGTGGCTGCCATAGCGACTGTGCCAGCATTCCTCTAGAAGAATCAGCTGAAAGAGCACGCTCCGAGAAACACGCTATCCGCTTCGGCAAGCCCGACAAGGCCCCCAGCTGGTCTGATCTTGTCTATGGCAAAGTCTCACTCGAATCCAAGAAGACACTACCACAAAGAGCTGCCGTCGAAGGTGTCATTCTTCTCAAGGGTGATGGAACGCCGACATACCACCTCGCAAATGTCATTGACGATCACTACATGAAGATTACCCACGTCATTCGTGGCACTGAATGGATGTCGTCAACACCGCTACACGCCGCGTTGTACAACGCTTTTGGCTGGACGCCCCCCGCCTTCGCCCATGTTGGACTCCTCACCGACAAGGACCAAGCAAAACTCTCAAAACGCAACTTCGACACCGATATTGGAGCTCTCAAGACGAAACATGGTATTTTGCCAGAGAGTTTGGCCAACTTCCTTTCCTTGTTGGGCTGGCGCAACCCTACTCGTGACGATGTCTTGGAAATGAACAAACTGGTCGAACTCTTCGACTTGAAATTCACCAAAGGCAACTCGATTGTTTCGTTTGACAAGTTGTGGTATCTACAGAAGAATCATGCGAAGATCATCATCGAACGTGCCATGCAATCTTCAACGTCAGATCCATCTTTTGAGACTTTGGTCGGTCTGATTGAGTCATCCGCAAGAACCGCCTACCCACAATCGGAAGCAGCATCTGGAAGCCTGGATTTGAAAACACACATCATGAACATCCTCTTTATCGACTCAAAAACATACGAGAACCCAACTTCATACGTCGAGCGAAATGCCTACTTCTTCACCACTCTGCCACCAATTTCTCCCTCAACTGAAAGTTCGATCTCAACATCAGACCTCCACGACGCAGCCTTGGAATTGATGTCTAAAATAAACACCTCCAGTGTTTCACTGAATACATCCACAGACTATGCGCAAGTAAAGCAACGACTGGATAGCGCAGTAGAAGAGTACTCTCGAGCTATTGGAGACGTATGTCAAGCTCGCTCAACATCAGATGGGCAAGTGGATAAGGAAAGATCAAAGGAATGGAGCAAAGCACTTCATCGTTATTTGCGAGAGAAGCTCTGCTTTGGCCGGCCAGGTCCTGGAAGCTCACAAGTCATGGCTGTGCTCGGGTATGAGGAGTGTATGAAAAGACTTGAGATGTAAGACGATGCTACTTCCTAACCTTATCATCTGTAAATATAGATTCTGTATTATTACGCTACTTCTTGAACACTTTTGCTCAATTCGAGGTCACTGGTCATTTTTTTTGGAAGGTGCCGCCGTGCTATCAGCCGTTCAGGGTCATACCTTCCCCCTTGTCAAATCCTTTGACACACCGTCATCTCCACCACCATACTTATCATCCATATCGTATCTTTTGCTTGGTATCTATCTACTCTATCAAGTGATGTCGTCTCAAACCCGGATACGGACCGTGATCCGTGCCATCTATCTTGTCCTTTCGCCCAGATCCGTGCGCCGACAACGGCTTGTACATCCTTGTACCTTGCATCAGCTTGCATGCGTATGCATAACCCCGCAAAGACCTGCCAAATGGGTCATCAATGAGCACAATTCCACTGCGAAACCGGTACAATTTTGCAGTCGAGCGGCAACTTCGCGTCAAAAAAGTCTTGGAGCCTCAAGGGCTTGATAGGAGTCACAATCGATCTCAATTCCACACCCGGCTCTGCAGCATACAAAGTGTCACTTGTCTTCCGGACTTGTTTTCAATCCACTCCCATCTGGTTTTTATTCTCTAACATACTATCTTGCATATCCGCGGACTCCGAACCTTTTTCTCTGGCTCAACAAACACACATCTCATACCATTACATATCACAGGTCGACAGCAACAATGGGCTACACACGTGAAGAACTCCCCATTCACACGAAGAGCACCTCGCTCTTTCACAATGTGGAAACCATGCCTGGCGATCCTATCTTTGGACTGATGGCGCTTTATGCAAAGGATCCTGCTGAGAAGAAGGCTTCTCTTACTATTGGTGTTTATAGAGATGAGGAGGGCAAGCCTTGGGTTTTGCCTACCGTCAAGAAGGTCGAGAAGATGATCGCAGAAGACGTGGCCACAAACCACGAATATCTGCCCATGGAAGGTCTCTTGCCCTTTGTCGAATCAGCGCGCGACCTCCTCTTTGGAAACCCTTCCCCCTCTCTCACTTCTCGCATTGGCTCTCTCCAAACCATTTCTGGAACTGGTGCTGTCCACTTGGGAGCTCGTTTCTTGAATGACACTCTATCACCAAAGCGTATATGGGTTTCTGATCCTACTTGGGGCAACCACCATGCCATCTTTGATGTTGCCGCTCCCAATGTCGAGCAAAAGATGTACCCTTACTACGACTCTGCAACATGCAGTCTCAACTTTACTGGTATGATGGAAACGCTCGAACGTGATGCTCAACCTGGAGACTTGATCTTGCTTCACGCTTGTGCACACAACCCCACTGGCATCGACCCTACCAAGGAACAATGGGAGAAGATTGCCGACCTCTGCGAGCGCAAACATCTCTTCCCCTTCTTCGACTCTGCATACCAAGGATTTGCTTCTGGAGATGTTGACGAAGATGCCTGGGCAGTACGCCACTTTGTCTCCCGCGGCACCCTCGAACTTGTCGTTGCGCAATCCTTCTCCAAGAACTTTGGTTTGTATGGCCAACGTGTTGGTGCTTTCCACATTGTTGCTGCAGACCAAGAGTCCAAAGACAAAGCACTGAGTCTCCTGATCCATCTCCAACGCGCCGAAATCTCCAACCCTCCTGTTTACGGTGCCAGAATTGTTGCCTTTATCCTCCGCAACGAAGAACTCAAGAGGGAATGGGAGCAAGACTTGTTGATCATGAGTGGACGTATCAAGGCCATGCGAGCAGCTCTTTACGGCGAGTTGCAAGCTCTGCAAACACCAGGTAACTGGGAACATATCGTTAACCAGAATGGTATGTTTTCGTACACTGGATTGTCTGAGAAGCAGGTCTTGGCACTCAGAAAGGAACACATCTACCTCTTGACTTCGGGCAGAGCGTCGATCTCGGGATTGAACAGCGAGAATGTCAAGATGGTGGCACAGGCTATTGATAAGGTTGTCAGAGAGTCTGGAGACGCTCCTGCTCCTGCTGCTTAGAAGGTTGAAGTCGGAAAGAGATGGATGTTTATATGAAGATGGAAACAGGATTTTCAATGGTGTTTCTAGGCTGGATTCTAGATATAAAGGGTTTATAGTTGCTTCAATGCACAAAATAGATTGATTCAAGTTGCAGCTTCATGGTCGATGAATTATGCACAGATGGGTTATGCTCTTGAACAAAGATGTGCAAGTTGTGCGGAATGATGCGGCTCTCCGCAAAAAACTCACATGCGGAGGGTTGCGCATTGTGACGCGCATGAAAGTGAAAGACATTGTCGAGCTGTGAATCGCTTTTCTGCAGTCACTCTTCCACAACAACCACACCTCGCATTCTTGTCAGGCATCTTACACGCCAACCGATCAGTTTCCTCTATACCTGATCATTCAGGCATAATACGGCAACCAGTAAATCTCACCCCTTCCCTACAATCCAAAAGAAAAAAAAGAGCGGAAAAGTCAGATAAGCAAAACGCACGAAAGCAACAAAGACTAACACTCTTCTCTTCCCAGTGTCGGCTGAAATCGACCTCTACGAGATCCTCGAAATCTCGCGCTCAGCCTCAAAAACAGACATCAAAAAAGCCTACCACAAAGCCGCGCGCATACACCATCCGGACAAGGTCCCAGAAGACCAACGCGCAGCAGCAGACGACCGCTTCAAAGACATTCAACAAGCCTATGAAATCCTCTCCGATGACAGCACACGCGAAATGTACGATATGCACGGAATGGCTGCTTTCGAAAAGGGAAACCCTGGAGCTGGCGGTGCTGGTCCCGATCTAGACGATATTCTGGCACAGATGTTTGGGCAAGGCATGGGTGGAATGGGTGGAGGTTTTGAGGGTATGGGGGGAATGCCGGGTATGGGAGGAATGGATGGCAGAGGTGGACCCAGAAAGAGCAAGAATGAAGTTCAAGAGTATGAAGTCACGTTGGAGGAACTGTACAAAGGCAAAACCACTCGTTTCGCCAGCACCAAAAACGTCATTTGTACAAATTGCGAGGGTAGTGGTGGTAAGGCGAATGCAAAGCCAAAGAAATGTGGTACTTGCGATGGCAGAGGTGAGTTTCTTTCCCTTTCCCTTTTTTTGCTAAGCTTCTCATACTAACCTCGAATCTCAGGCTCAAAAGTCGCTCTCCGCCCCGTCGGTCCCGGTCTCGTAACCCAAGAAACCGTTCCCTGCAGCACCTGCTCTGGCCGCGGCTCCTACTTCCCCGACGACAAAAAATGCAAAAAATGCAAAGGCGCACGCACAACCTCGCAACGCAAAATCCTCGAACTCTACATCCCACCAGGTTCGCGCCAAGGCGATAAGATTGTGCTTTCAGGAGAGGCAGATCAAGTCCCCGATCAAGAACCCGGCGATATCATTTTTGAACTTGTGGAGGCACCGCATGACACTTTTGCGAGGGCGGGTGCGGATTTGCAGGCAGTGTTGAAGATTAGTCTGCAAGAGGCGTTGACGGGCTTTGAGAGAGTGGTGTTGAAGCATTTGGATGGCAGAGGCATTTCCATGCATGTCTCTCAACCGGCAGGACGTATTCTTCGCCCCGGCGAGATTTTGAAGATTGCTGGGGAGGGCATGCCCATCAAGCGTTCAGATGCAAAGGGAGACTTGTACCTGATCGTCGATGTCGTGTTCCCCGAAGACGGCTGGCTCAAGGATGAAGCCGCGATTCAAAAGATTAGGGATGTGTTGCCAAAGACTGGTTCTGAAAATATCAAGGCCGAAGAGGTGGACGAGGTAGACTTTGAGGTTGTCAAGGATATGGACGACTTTGGCGCTGGTTCGGGAGACCCGAGGGCTGCCGAGTGGGAAGACGATTCCGAGGAAGAGGGCGAGGCTGCTCAGTGCGCGCAGCAATAGTCGCAAATGAATGATTGGAAGGAAGAAAAATGGAATTGCACATGCTGTACAAAAAGATTAAACGGCCAAGAAAAGGGCTATAGAAGAATTGGGACGAGACATGAGTACATTCCGCTCAACTTTGGACTTTGGAATCATATCAGGCGTACAAAGGGTGAAAAAGGCCTTGGGGTCTGGGCTTCTTTGTTGTTAGACTATCAAGACATTGCAATCCTCTCTGCTCAACATGTTCTCCTGAATCTCACGTTATCGAACTATTGCAATCACAGCAGAACGTCTGATATACACCACTCTTGGCATGACTGGAAGAAAGGGAAACACCCTAAGGTACATCTACGTCCGGGCTTGTCAATTTTCCCAACAACCATTGAATTGGAACTGCGAATTCTTCATCGATTCTTCGGTGGATGCGGACGAGATTCAATGGTTGTTGATTTCTCCTTTTGCTCGTTGCGGTCAGTGTTCAATCCCTTAGCTCGCCAATCGCGTTTCTGCCTTCAGAGCCTTTTCTTTGGCTCTTTTATCGCTGACATGCTGACATGCTGACATGACTTGTCTGCTTGAGATGGAGAGATTGTTAGGCGTTGTGCTTGATTTGAGAGTTTGGACTGGGCTGGTGTATGCATGTACTGACAAGCCAGCCTGAATCCATCGTCCCAAGCATTTCTATTGTTTACTCACGGCTCTGCGGTGGGGGCGGGAAGAATGCTTGGGACGAAATCTTTTTCTTTTTGCTTTGCTGTTGTGTTCAGATCGTTCGCTCGTCGTTTTGTTTCGCTCTGCATGGGTTGTCTTACCCAGGCGAGACTGCAGAGCTTGATGTGATGTTGGCTTGAGAGGTCGATCATGTAGCTGGCAACCTCGGATCCTCCAATCCCTCTTGTTACCCAGAATTTATTTAGTGTCCGGGCAGAGAATAATCCGTGATCGAATCCTGGAGACCTTCTCACTCCCAACCAGCCTCCCTATTTGCCCTATCAACCTCCGTGGTCATCCTCTCCATCCAACGCCTCACCAACTCGGCATTCTCCTCCTTCAGTTTCTCTTTGTCTCTTCCTACAGCATTCAACTCCATCGTCAATACCAACATCTCATCCTGCACTTCCTCAACCAGTTTTTTCTTTTCCTTCAGTTCCTCATCACGGTCTTTGAGTTTGCGCTCTGTGGAGGCTAGAAGTTTGTGGACATGAGCTAGTTGGGAAGATAAAGTGGTGTTGGTGGTTGTGAGGCTGCTTGTTGTGGTTTGGAGGGTCTGGAGTTGAGATGCGAGGGAAGAGCGGGCGGCTTGGGTGGTGCTGAGGTCTTGTCGCAGGCGAGTGATTTCGTCGTTATTTGGTGAGGCAGTGGATGTGGATGTAGGGTTTAAGGAGGTGGAAGTGATGGTCTTGCGGTCGGCGAGACGAGTGTCTGGTGCATCGTTAGTGAAGCTGATCAGAGGCAGAGATGAGAGTGAATACACACAGGCGTCAATGTATGCTTTATGGCTAGACTCGCGTCTGTCGCGGGCATCAAGAGCCGCGAGGTAACGCGTGCTCCAGTCGGCCATTTCACATTGTTGTTGTCTGTATAAATCACAATGAATGAGAGCCGGATGATGACGAGCAGTAGAGGTCCTGACATGTGACAGTGCCAAGCCTCGATACCGCACTCTTCGCCATTCCGGCCGTATTCGTACTTGGATATCCCTATAACCTTTGACTTTCTCGTATCTCCTCGAGTCTAAATCGTTCCAGCCTTATTTTGCACTTCAGGCACCCAGATAACTCTATTGCTGCTATCACAACTCTGACTGTTCAGAATCCGCAGGCTCACGAGGTAGGCTCGTGTGACGCAGAGGCCTCTTTCTTGAGCATCATCAGGGGCAAGACCATGCATCAATTTCAAGCCTAAGAAGTATGTGCCATGCCTCTTTCGATATTGTAAGTTCACGAGTCTTGGTGGGTTATCAAGGTAAGATATGTCATGGGCGAATCCTTCCGCGGTGGTTCACCGGTATGTACGCGTATGCCGGCACAGCCGCATGCCCGACCTTATTCCCTATAGCTAAGCCTTTCTATCTGCCTCCCTCTCCCCACTTTTCTTGATCTATATACTTACAGTCTTCGACCTTGGCTGCCTCCACTTCGTTCAAATTCCTCATCAGAACATAATCCTGTATAAGTCATCCAAAATGGGCAGACTATCCCACGAATCTTCCAGATCGTCTATCGACACCACCTCGAATGGTGAGGGCCTACCGCTGTACTCCGACATCACCGTCACCTCGCCTGGAGAGCTCACTGTACCTGCCGAGAAAGCAACGCCAGATGAGGTTCGCGAATTTCTCGTGAAGCTACTCGTCCAAAACAGAGGGCTCCACCAAGACCATGCAAGACGTGTTGCTTCGAAATGGACTCTAGGCACTGGTCGCGAGTTGATCAGTTATCCTCCTCTCCTCTACGCCGAGATCTTTGGTCTTGAGGATGCATGGATGGTCTACAAAGAAGCCAAAGTCTTCATCCGCACAGAAAAGAAGAAGGGAAAGCTGTCAGATGCGTGTAAGTAAAAGATGCGATCGACTCCCACAGTATACTGATATGTGATTGCCTTCGAACAGGGATCGCAGCTGGAATCATTGGTTCTATATTTGTCGTCGCAATGACGACGTTCTTCTTGACAGATTTTGATAAGCATGAGGTGCTCAAGGTCATGTCCTGCACGGTGAGCATCATGTCGGTCATGATCGGTTTCATTTTCTCGATGGTCGCCATCTTTGACAAGACGACCGAGGAAACAAAGGTCGAGGATGAGTTGAAAATCGGACTGGTCAAGAAGAGCAAGGACTAGACACACTCTTTTTACCCTCTTTGAATGGAAGTTGTTTGTTGTCGCTTGAACTGGTGTCTTTCTTGGCTTTTGTCATGGCGTTCGTTGGTCATGGTCTTGTGATGGCTTGTCGTAGAATTCCTGCCAAGCTGGAGATGTCTTGGTATACCACAAGTTCTCTCGTAAAGCATAACCGTTCTCCTTTCGCCATCGCTTAGACGTGATCGGCACGACCAAGTCGGCGTGCCCGAACAAGATCATCGCTGTCACTGGGATTCTAACAAGTTTCCATGTTTCGATCCAGGCAGAAAGGCGCCACGAAATCTTTGAAACTTCGACCAAGGCAACAAGGCGCAGTCAACACGAGGTCGGCGGTGTTACAGCTTCGAGACAATCTAAATTACAGAAACCAATTGCTGGTCCTGTAGACGGACACAGCATGGTATAGTACACGGTAAATTCTGAAACGCTGCCATCCTGGAGGATGGCTTGGTATTGGGATCTACACAAGTTCAGCTGAACGGCAGATGCAACACGACCGTTTGTCTGGGCAAAGGCACTGGGACCGAGCAACTGGTGGGAGAGATGTCTAAAGCTATAAGACTAGCATGAATGCCTTCTGACTCTATCGCGACAACCTATACAGAACGCCTAGCAATCACAAACTTATCAACTTGAATCAAGAACGCTTTCGATCGCCAGTCATGCGCGCCTTCAATACCGCCATCGTCTCCACACTGCTCGTGGCCATGTCCCAGAGGGCTTGGTCTCAAGATTGCGACCTCATCGACCAACAAGCTTGCTGCTACACCTCCGACGACAGCGGCAGCGACACAACTTACTGCTGCAACGGCTCAATCGTAGGCAACTTTGGCAGTGGCACTGGCGCATCAGCCCTCAACGATCTCATCTGCTGTCAAGACGATGGTCGCACAGGTCTCAGTGTCGGTTTGGACTTTACAACCTGTCGCGCTGGTTCTGCCACACCTTTGACCGCCAAGGGAACTGCAGCAAGCTCTGTTGCAGACGCTATCAAGAGTATCAGTGCTTCTAGGAGTGCTAGTAGGGAGTCGTTGTTCAGCTCGGCTTCTGCCTCGAGGGCAAGCGCTGCTGCTGCATCGGCTACAGTAACAAGTGCTGGGGCATCTAGTACAACCCGTCCGGCCATAGATACACGTACTGGCTCATCTGGTACTATGAGCTCGTCCAGTGGCCTGACTGCATCATCTTCTAGCAGTGTTTCGGGATCTGAGTCTGATTCTTCGTCTTCGGCTGCAGCAGCTGGTGCGACTTCTGATTCTTCTTCTGGCTCAACGACAGCTGCAACTTCTTCTTCTTCTGGCTCGGCGGCAGCGGTCTCTTCTTCTGCAACAAGCACTGGTGGTGTCGCTATGATGACCTTGGATGTCTGGAATGCTGCAATGGCTGGTGGCGCCGTCCTCGTCGCAGCTGTGCTGTAGCTTTGCGAGCACGAGTAGAATCTTTCGACTTTGGATTACAGTTGTGGTTTCTGCAATCAGTAAGAGGTGTCGACTTGTTTCATTCTGGGAGACCGTGCTGGCGTTGAGTGTTGAAGCTGACAGAGCTGAAGATTAGATTTCAGGTAGCCTGTAAATCATAGTTCTGACTTGGGGATAGTAATGTCATCTTCAGAGATTTTAGTGTCTACTCGTGCTGAAGATGGTAAATGGTATTGGCTTGAAAGCAGCGTCGCCCCTCAAGCCATGTGCCAAAAAATCTGCAACAATCTTTAGCCTGCGGAGAGGTCATTCATCTTGCAGCACGGGTCAATTGAGTTCTTAGAGGGTGAGAGATCCTACGAGGCAATCCCTCGTTAAGATGTGATGGTCAAGTGACACTGTAGCATGGATCTCGACAATAATGCGCTGACTCTGGCGTGACTTAACCAAAGTCTATCCTTAATTCGGAGAATTGATTTCGGAGAATTGATTGTGCCTGCAGCAATGTCTTCACTCTGCAGCTGGTGTGGTGGTGTTCGGTGGTGTTCGTATCCGCGGCCTGCAGTAAGCAGTACTGTACGTAGTGTACATGTGTACATATATGGCTGAGATAAGTAAGCGCTTACATCCACGGCCATATCAGGTAATGAGCCCTTGACTAGAACAGGGCCGACCTCGCTCTGTCTAGCGCAACAATGCGGCAACATCGACTTTGCCGTGTCTCGGCGTTGGAGATGAATAGATGCCAGCTGAGAAATCAGCGAAAGCAGACGAAGGAGGGTCGGCAAGAATGTTCTGCAGGATGCCGGGATCCTTCGCGAGAACATGTACCCCGCCATGTACCCCAGAACGAGCGGAGAAAGGAAGGGTCGGGATCTCGGGTCGTCCTTGGCATGCATCTCCTTTTGGATCTAAGTTCCGACCTCGTGTCATCTTTCGTGTCAACCTTTGACATGCGGAGCAGAACAGCGAATCTTTTCATCGACCTTTCACTCCGGACAGAGATCCATGGCGGACACAGTGGTATTGGACTCGGCTCGAGATACCCAACAGGTCCTCAGCCTTCGACACGTGCTTCGATAACGACCTTTGGGACCTAAAATTGTCCACATGCATATTATCGATAGAGCAATTCGGGGCTTCTAGCAAATCTATACTGACACCTGTTGTCATTCTATCTGGCTGAGAACCAACACTGGCATGCATCTTATGCTTGGAAGAGTGGAGAAGTGGCTGCATGTTGCATGAGAGCCACCACGACCAAACACACTACCGTGTTCTGCCATAAGAGCTAGACTTTTACTACCACTAACCTATGGCTCAGTATGATTTCGGTCGCCTTGAGGCCATCTCAGCTCGGTCTGGCCGCCTTGCCATGCCGGCCATGGAGACGAGCTATCCTGTAGAAGCTGAACATGCGAGAACACACTATCGAACCATGCTGAAGACTTCAGCTTCACGTCCATTCATGGTATATGGTCTGTTCTGTAGATCATTCTGGACTGCTGAGCGACAGGTATAAAGTGTGCCTCTGCCTCGTCGAAGGAGAACCATCCAACAACAACATCTCAATCACAACAGCCTTCTAGCAAGACTTCCTTCCGCTTCTCTTCGATCCGATATGCGCTCATTCGCCCTCGTCGCTGGCCTCGCAGCCCTTGCTGTAGCCTCTCCTACTCCTCAGATCTTTGATTCTGACCAGCTCGCTGACCTTCCTACCCCTCCTATCACTGATGTGTCCTCTGGAGCTGGCTCTGAAATCATTCCTCTGGACGTCAATGCTCTTGTAGCCGATGCTGTTTCCGACATCATCGCTGACCCAACTCCTGATCTTGACGCCAGTATTCCAGCTGCCATCAACACAACAACTCTTGAAAAACGTACTGCTGGTGATTGTGCGCCTCAGCCCTCGGGCCACGGTCCTCAAATCGTCCCCGATGACGTGAAAACGTTCCTGGGCTCCTCATCGCTCTCTGGCCCAGCTAAAGCTGCTCCCCAGTGGGTCAATGGCTTCCACCAGACTTTCCAGAACCTACAAGCCAGCGTCAGCGGTTGTAGTTACCAGGGCTACAAGACTTATCAGCAATACGATGTTGCTCAGGCTGCTGCTGATTGCAGGAGCATCGCTGGCTGTAAGGGATTCAACATCTTCTTCGAGCGCGATCCTTCTCAGGTATGTCTCGGGACCCATGCTTAGACAACAAAATGCTGACATATGAACCAGGACGCTGGATACAACTGCCCCAACCCATCATCGAGTAAGTTCCTTTGAAGGTATAAACACCATGACTAATGCTGGTGTCTTGTCTCAGCTTGCTCGAGAAGGTTTTGGGATGTGCCAACACTCCAAGATCCTTTCTCGTCTCGCAAAGCTGGGGTTATTCACCTCGCAAAGTCATGGGGTTGCCCACATAAAGCCTTTTTGCTAATTTTCGATAGCGACCGTGATCAAGGCATCTTTCTGGGGTAATTTGATCGGCCCCAATCTGGCTACCAACAAGGGTCAATACCGCGATCAATTCCAAGTTGTCATCGCTGGATCGAACGGCTACAACCTAGACGCATGCGAAACAGCTGTTCAAGGCTGGACTCAGACCCAGCTCGGCAGTTGCTCCATCAACGCACCTACCTCCTATTGCATGCCCGACAACAAGGATTCATACCTGACCGTCAAGACCTTCCCTGACGGCAACTTTGACAACTCGCGCTGCAAGGCTCAGTGCGATATCATCACCAAGCAGAGCCCTGATACCCCCTGCAACTTCTTCACCTCGTACATGCAGGTCAAGAACGGCCAGTGTGGTGTCCAGCAATGTGCCTTCTACAAGCGTGCCTGGGACAAGAGCTACTGCACCAACACTGGCGACCCCGTCAACAAGATCACTATCGCTTGGGCTTCGTCTTTCACCAACAACGCTTGTGATGGTACTGAATTCTGCAGCCTCACTCCTTACGACCTTACCACTGCTACTGCCCCGTAGATCCATTGTCTGGATGATGTTCGAGGGATGTTTCTGATGACTCCAAAGCTGTTGTTTTGATCTTTTCCTGTTTCTGCTTGCTTTTCTGTCTTGATGTTTCAGATGAGTTTTCCTTGAGTTTTGTTTTTGATTTTGTTACAAGTCCTTCCGTAAAGAAATTAGCAAAATGAAAGTTGATTGTTTTGAACAACCTTTTCAATTTCGAAAGCTCCGTGTTGACCATCTCTGATCCTTGGAATTTCTGCATCACATCAGAAGGCTCCTACAGCGCAGTTCCAATTGAGATGTGAGAGGAGATGTTTATACGCTATGCATGCATGTGTACAATTATCTGCTTAACCGATATGACTCTTTTGACAGATTGCAATACGGTGCAAGAGAGACTGTGTTATACTTAGTAAGTCAAGAAAGCCACTATAGCCAACAGCACACACCAAGCCTCTACTTCTGCACTCTCGACCTTGCAGCATCAGCCTGCAAGATCTCTGTAAGTTTATCTCTAGTAACACAATTCTCAAACTTGAAGCTAGCAGCCAGATCATCAAGTTCCTGTTCACTCTTTCCCTTGAACAACTCTGCAAACTCCAAACTCATGTAATCAGAAACCAAACACTCTCTGATGACTCTCTCGAACTGTCTTTCAATGTTCCAGTGGTGAGGATACTTGGAGTCGTGCAAGTGTTCAGGAATCATCTTCTTGATGTCGGCAAGGAAAGGATCGTAAGTTGATGAAACACCGGTTTTGTCTACGACACCCCAGAAATCTAGACCGAGTTTTTGCTTTTTGGCGACGAAGGATGCGATTAATTGCATGTATGGCGATGAGCGTGAGACGTGGACCATGCCTTGGTATCCGATGTCTTTGTATAGCCAGATAGTCCAATGGATCTGTGATTCGGCGTAGATGTTTAGTTGCTCCTTGAGTACGCCGAATCTGCTAATATTGGTCTTGTCGGCATCAGGATCGGCACTGGGGTCTGCATACACAGGCCCGAACTCGCCGTTCCAGAGCGGCACGTTGTGTTTGCGTGAGAACTCTGCTTTGCGGTTGAATTGACGGCGGAGCTTTGCGTTTTGCTCTTCAGTGCCGGTGTAGGGGTCTTGGCCTGGAATTGGGAAGCCCATGTTTGCGTAATCGTGGCAGGCGTAGACCGTGTTGGGCATGATTCGTGTGAAGTGGCTGAAGTCCATTGCATACGTGTTGCCGTCCACCCAGAGAATGTGGTCAGGATCCACCTCTCTGATAGCCTTTTCCATTCTATCATACCAGGCGACGAGACGAGTATGCTTAGGGTCTGCGGGCTCATTCAGAGGGTTGTAGCCTGCAATGACCGGGTTGCCGACATAGTGTTTGGCGATATGCACCCACAGATCGATCATCTGGTCTTGGAAGACTCTGAAGTCCCAGAAGAGAGCCTTGCCAATGCCACTATCGCAGTGCCAGTCTTGATTTTGACCACCAGGAACGGCATGAAGATCGAGAATAACGTATAGATTGTGACGGCCACAAATGTCCACAATGTTATCCAACAACTTGAAGCCCGAATCTTTGTACACAGATGGGTTGTCATCGTCGATGAAATGACGATAGTTGAAGGGAATACGAATGCAATTGAGGCCCTAGGTAAATCATGTCAGCACTTTCGCGCATAATCAATTGAATGTAGATGAAACTCACCAGACTTTGGAAGTATGCAGCATCTGCATCGGTGAAAAAGTAGTGAATCAAGCGGTCAAAGAAGAATTGGGCTTTCTCCTTGCCCAAGACCTCGGCCATGGCGGCTCTGTGCTCGTGTTCATGTCCCGGATAACCAGTAATGAAGTTCTCAAAGTTCAGGTGACCTCCCAACCCAGCGCCTTTCAAAATCACCTTGGAACCCGAAGCGTCAACAATGTCTGCGCCCTCAACGTGGAGCATCGAGCATGGTGGGTTAGAAAACTGAGCCGCGCTCTGGGTTGAAGTGGTATCAGTATCAGCGTGGGGAGCCATCTTCGGTGTAGTGGATGTGCAAGGCGCAGAAAATGGAGGGGTCAACAGGGACGTTGGCTGGTGATATATGCCACACGAGAGCAGCATAATTGCCTATATCTCGACAATGTTTCTTGGAATCATAACCCAGGACCCTTTTAGCCGCCAGGGTGTTTATCCAGCATGTGATGGTGGGGTAAATGTGATAAACCCCGCGTTCTGGCGGAGTGTCGGTCCGGGAAGCAGGAATGGTTTTAATCAGCACCTCACGACTCAGACAGTGAATCGACTAAGCCCGGATGTATCCGTTGTTGGTGTAGACTTCGAGTCCCATGAGCTGGACCCCTCAAGGAGGGTACCTGTAATCTCAAGCACATCACCTCTTGGAGAGTGGATTGCTTTGAGATCAACAGTGTTGTATGAGAAACCCGTCAGTCCTTTGCCATTGATGACTCTTGCAGGTAGTGCGGTCGGTAAAGGTTCGTCACTTTCATGGTTGCTGCATGATTTGAGCTTCTTGACTGCGGCAACGCAGAAGGGCTTGACGGCTGGCGCACATCCAGCGAAGATTCCAAAGAAGACCTCGAGACAACTACACAGTGCTCCCATACCAAGACCCCAAACTCGATCTTTTCTGTGAGTCCAGTAAGCCGTAAAAGGCACACGGATCACGGCGGCTATCGTAGCCAGTAGGCCAAGGCTCAATAGCAGCCATGCCATGATCTTCTTCTGACGGTCCATGCGTGAGTCCCAAAGGATGATGGCTGGGATAACAACGCTTATCAGATCAAGGATGGAGTTGATTGTCGTAAATATGTATACCAGGATCTTGAGAGTTGCGCCGTCAAAACAGCTTCCCTTCTTGGGATATCCAGGAAAATCGTAAAAATAACGCCAGTTGGCAGAATACGGCCTACAAATAGTCATCACGCTCGCAAAGCATCCGATGGCTGCAATTATGTTGATAGCGACCATGGTGTGAATGGCTTGTCGCATATGCTTTCCAGAAGCGAACCTGAGGAGGGTCAAACAGAGACTACACCTCAACGGACCAAGCACGATGGCGTAGAAGATGTCAAAGACACTGAGGTACTATGCATCTCTCAAATCAGCTACCTTCATCAGATTTTGCGCGAAACTGACCATTGACGCATCTATGATTTGATTTGGACTTAGTCGGTCGTCCCTGACGCCCAAGCCTTTTGAGACTGCTATTAGAGCGCACACGGTGCATGGTACGAAGAAAACCTGAGCCACAATCAATGATGAAATCATCAAAATACCTGTTCATCAACTCACCTCAGTTAGGACCATAGTCCAGTCATCCGATTGTAATGATTGTCTTCTTCGTCGTCCGATGATTCTCAACACTACCGCGAAGAGCGATAGTATCAAACAGACCAAGATCACGCCAAACAACCACAGATTGACTGCTTGTTGCATCTTGGATGGTGGTTGCAGAGGAAGAAGAAAATTTCCAAAGCCTTGTGTTTGGCATCGAAGGCGAGATGAATTTGGTACCTACGAACAGCTAGAGGTTTACACTCCATGATGTTGCGCTCGAGTAGGCCCGTCTCGTTCGAGATGAGCCCATAAGATGAATTCATTGTTGCCGTTGGTTGAGACGTTAGACGCCAGTCACGCCACCCTCGAAACGTGTCTCACCATTTCTCTGTTAGATTGTAACAAGCAATTGTATGCGTTGATGCGGGGTACCGACCATCCGAAAACCTAGAGGCTCTCTGCCTTTGATATGTTGGCAGTACGGCACGGCCGAGTCATGATCAGACTTGTTGTATCGCTGTAGTATAAGCCGTGCATGTGGTAGATCTCACAACAACGACGCAACGCAAAGCAAACCAAACCAGATACGGACGTATAACATGAGACTTGCGCGCAGGATTCGGGACGGCCGATTGTCTTATTGATCCCAGTTACCTAACTTGGCCATTGAAGCAGGAAACGCTGTCCAGTCACGTTCTCTTGTTGAGCCTCAAGGCTTGGAGAGCCTCAAATCACCAAACAGGCGCGTCCCGCCGACGCATTGTGCTCAGAGCGGAGAGCGGCTCCTCTAGCAAGGCAACACGGGCACTGTTTCGAAGGCATGCCAATTGCCGCATGATGCGATGTCGACGAAACTTTTTGTCTTTTGTCCTAATGTGGAAAGTCGGCGCATGGTGCTCCGGGACATGTCTGGAGAAGATGAGAGCCTCACCCACGATTCTGCCGCTAACTCGGTCCGAGGCTTGATACCTAACAAAAGAGTTGTTACACATCACAACGGAACAAGACAACCAATTGTCTTCCTGTCGCTTTTCGATCGTGGAGAATATCTATCTACCTAGAGAACCAATGGCTTTGTAGATGAACATAACAAGTGTTGTGACTTGTTTTCATTGATCTATGTAAAAGACCAATTGCATTTTATCACAATATAGATACTTACTACTAAGCTGTCTGTTCACAAACTATCATAGCCATGTTGTCCTGGCCACAATCTGATTGATTGATCGATAAAAGTTGGTGAGGGCGGCTCGTGCTCGGCAAAATATCTGGTTCCTGGCTTCGGTACTTCGGTCATTTACCCGCCGATTACCACAGCGGGGTCCCGCAGACATCACCTCTTAACCACTGCGATCTTGCCAGCAAGGTGCAGTGAGGGGTGGGAGGCTCTCGTATAACTTTAAAAGCACATGGTACTCGCTGCAAGAGCCATGCTTCTGTGAGAATGTAACCTCATGGCATCATAAGATCGACCGCCGAGCACAATTGCTGCAGGAAAGCCCTAATGTTGATCGAGTATAAAGAAGCTGGTTTTGTCATGGCCTGTTCCTCTTCTCTTAGCTCAAAGAGAATAGTCACTTGACAGAAATCATGATCCCGATCTGGATTTCTGGTTTGGCAGCAGCTGCGGTTGCTCCTGCCCTCATCTCTGCCATACCTCATGGAACGCATTCGCCTTTAACAAACCACGCTATCGCTGCCGGTGACTTCGTCTCGGTCGATGGATCCAAACTCAAAGACCGTCAGGGCACTGTATACCTTACTGGAATGAACTACTGGTCTTGCATGAATTTGGCCGCCGACAACCACGTAGGAGGAAACTACTCACGCTTCATCACCGAGCTGGATCAGATGCAAGCTCATGGGATCAATCATCTTCGTATCATGGCATCTTCTGAAGGTGCTCCTTCGTGGCAGCCTTTCAGGATGTATCCTGCCTTGATGGAAGCTCCTGGTGCTTACAACGAAGCCATCTTTGTCGGCCTTGATCGCTGCTTGAATGAGATGGGTAAGAGAGGTATGAGAGCTACCATGACTCTCGCAAACGAATGGCAATGGTCAGGAGGTTTTGCGCAGTACGTCAGTTGGTCTACGAACGATAGTCAGATTCCATACCCCTCATCGTGGAACTTAACAGCTCCACCACAACGTTCGACACCTGGCACTGGCTGGGGCAATTATACAGTCGAAGGTGTGAACGCAGCACCTTACAGCAACTTTACCGCCTACGCGAACCAGTTCTATACCATTCCAAAATGCCAGGAGTGGTACCAAGCACACATCTCCAAGGTTCTCAACCGCGTGAACACAGTCAACGGCCGTGTATACAAAGAGGATGCAACAGTCATGACATGGCAATTGGCCAATGAACCTCAACCCGCCGTGGTACCGACTGAATACCTCGGCCCCTACTCCCTTGAACTCCCACCAGCACCAGAAGATCCCGTCATTCCATGGGTCAAGAACAGTAGTGCCTACATCAAGTCTCTCGCCCCCAAACAACTCGTCAACGTCGGATTTGAAGGCAAGCAAGGGAAATGGTACTATCAGGCCGTACATAACTTCTCTACCGTCGACTATGCAACCACTCACTGCTGGGTACAGAATTGGGGTGTCTATGACATGCTAAACTCATCAAGTGCAAACCTCGAAGCTGCAAAGAATTTTGCGACTGCATTTGTAGCCAACTCTAGCGAATGGAGTAAGGAAATCGACAAACCTGTTTATCTGGAGGAATTTGGAATGGCTAGGGATAATTGGGAGAATGTAGGAAAAGAGTATCTGTATCTGAGCTCGGCTGGTACAAGCAACAAGGATGAGTACTTCAATGTAAGCTCCCTTCTTAATTCTGTCTAATACTTCATGACTAACGTGATCGCAGACCATCATCGGAGCTGTCATGGACGATTTCAAGTCTCAGAATGGTTCGTACATTGGTACGTCTCCATGGGCATATGGCGGTTTGTATCGCCCAGAGACGCAACATGCAAACGCATTCGGCGAGATCTGGGCCGGTGACCCGCCACACGAGGCCCCTGGCTGGTACGATTTGTACGACACCGATGAGGCCATGAACATCGTGTATCGCCAACAACAAGATATAGCCAAGTTCTTGGGCAAGGGCAGTTGAGCATATCTCCCGAGTCTTGTAGTGTCATACAATGAATGACAACTATCTTGAGAGTCATTAGCATCTCATATGTAAGAGCGAGCATCAAGCTCCTTCCACTCTCACAGTGGTCTCCTAATCAGGGGAGTGCGATCAACTGGTCCTGCAATCAATTTGAACTGAGTGCCGGCAACAGTATTCAATGACACCATCAAAGTATCTGATTGCCAATTTGTAACCATTCATCTACAAAGACTCTTATCTGTCAGCGAGAATGCAGCTCGAAAAAGCCGTCAAAGCAGAATGATGGAGGAGAAGAAGACATATATTTCCAGTCTGCCACAGCCACGATGACCCCTTAGTAAAGAATCAAGGTCCATGACTCTGAAGCTTCTCTCACACATTCCCCATCTCCTGAGTCTCCTAACTCCATTGCTGCAACAAGCACAAAAGAGTAAGTTGGGTACAATACTTTTGCACAAGAGTCGCAGACCTGATCAAACACTGTACATGCAACCGAATGACTGAGTGGCACGCGCGCTGAGGCAGATACGCTGAATCATCTCCGTTAGTAAGTTGAGAATTTGGACATGCTGCATTGTCAATGGCTGGCCTCGAGGAATTTTAGGCTGTGCTTCTGCGCAAGAGTCAGCGACTTATAGTGTCAGTAAGTTGTGATGATAGTGCGCAGATTGAACCCTGTACCTCATCATAGTTTGGAAACTTGCATGAAAGCACATAGTAAGCACATACAACACGACAGAGAGATGGGCAAGCACTTGACGGTGTGGGAGTGATGGCTAGGACTGTCAAGAGCGTATTGTGCTTTTGTTGTGCTCCTCTACATCGGTGAGATCACAAGATATATGTACAAAATCTGACCTCGCTGTCAAGATGCCACAGACACGTCTTACATACATACCTCTCAATCCCTCCTCCCCTTCTCCTTACCCACCAAACTCCTAGCCGTAGGACACAACCAAATCAACGGCCACTCCTTCTCATCCCTGGCCTCCTTGGCAAGAATATTCTCAATCTGCTTGACCACAGTCCTATTACTAGTAACCGTAGTAATACCTCCAGCCCAACCATGCAAAAACACACTTTGGTTTATAGATGTAAGTTGCTGTTTGACAGCTGGAGCTGATTGCGGCAAAGTTGTTGGTTCTTGCTCGGGAGTTTGGGTAGTGATGGGAAGTTTCAAAGATTCAGGAATCTCAAAGCGTGACAAGGTTTCCAGTTGTGAGCGAAGGTCGGAGGGTGAGAGTGTTGTATCGCCCATAAAGAGTTTTGTGCGTTCTTTTTCGCCGGAGGTGCCGATGGTGTCTACGATCTCGCGCATCCGCCTAGCCGCCTCGTCTGTACAGACCAGGTTTCTGTTTGCGAGGGCTGGGTAGAGGAGATTCGGGAGCAGGTTTTCCTCGTCTTCGATCTCGACTTGGCGTTTTAGGGCGCGGTGGAACCAGGGTTCGGCACTGACGGAGCAGTGGCTGAAGTCGCTGACAAGGGCGAGCAGGATGGTGCAGTCGATGTTTAGGGTGGAGGTGAAAGAGGCGAAGGGGTCGGTGAGGAGGTGGGGCATCACCGAGGGGAAAGAAACGGGTTGGTAGGCTGAGGATGAGGTGCTGTGGAGGTTTATTAGTATTGAGTGTCAAGGTGATAGCAATCGAGTCAGGACTTACAGTAATTGGACACCCAGCGCCCGCAATTGATCCAATATCCGATCAATCTCAACCACTTCACCCTCTCTCAATTTCGGCAAGACCAGAGTGATCTTCGGGCTCCTCGTCCTGATCTTCACCTCCTTAGCCGCCCTCACCAGATCCTTGGTCATTTTAACCAAGGGCACATCATCCTCATCGTCCTTCTCTTTCTCCTTTCTGTCTTGTTGACCATCAACATCCTCATCTTCCTCTTCCTCACTGGACGACGCATCCTCCCAACCCAATTTCGCCTTGTCGAACAAGAGTCGATTGTTCGTAAGCAAACTGACTTTAAACCACTCCAACCCATCACCCGCAACGACATCGACCAGCGCCGAATTCTGTTTCTTCTGTCCCCTCTTCTGCCCTTTTTCCTGCCAATAAAACCTCTTTTGCATAGCTTGTAAACCCTTATTATTCTTCACCACTCCCCAGACAGTTTCCAAAAACGGTAGATTTGAAGAGTTGACAGTGTGTTGAGTGGTAGTGTTTTCGTTGTCCTCGCCATCGTCATTAGAGGCAGAGGCAGAGGCTAATCGTTGCAAAGTACGCAGTTCAGATTTTACAGTGTTGCGAAAGTGGGCGATTTCGACTTGATGGTCTTGTTTGCGGGATTTGAGGTATTCTTTGAAGGCTTCGAGTTCGGAGAGGAGGGATTGGCAGCGGGCGAGGAGGTCGGAGGCGGTTGGTGGACGCGAAGAAGAGTGGCCATTGGTGTGTGGTTCTGTCATGCTTGTTGGAAGAGACGGAAGGGCTACTCCAGTCTTTTGTCGAGGAAGAGGAATAGTAAAAAGGTCGCGTGCCCGGTACCGAGAATTCTACAGTCATAAGAAGCGCTTGGAAGCCTGAGGACTCGAGCCCATGACGATGTTTAGGCGAGCAATTACTGCACGAGTCATAGCACCCCCGCGGTGTCGAATGCAGCGAGTCAGAACAAGAGCACCGCACTTGCGCCTACGACTTGCGACAGCGACAGCGACGTTACACGCGACATTCTCATCTCAACACCAATCCACCTCACATCCAATCCACAATGCCGTATTTCACATCCAGCGAAGAGTGGCAGCGCCAATCAGCCTTGCTGCTACAAGCCCGTCCAACCACCGTGCGTCCCTCCATTCCACCATCTCCACAGACACCACACCTCTAGTCCTCCAACGTAACCACTTATCTAACCTCCCCTCACAGACGCGCATAACAACAAAATACCACATACCCTCCGCCGACTCCATCTCTACAAAACCTGCCTCAACAACAGACGCTTCCACCACACCTTCAGAACCCAAACAACCAATCGCCCTTCTCGAGTTAAAAACCTACGATCCAGTGTCTGGCACAACGCTAAAGTACAAGACCGACAAGGCTGCAGAGGTTGGCAGGTTGATTGCTGCAATGGGCACGTTGGGAAGAGAGATGGCTGCACTGCCAGAGTTGAAGCAGGATGTTGCCATGGTTGATGCGCCGGCTGAGGGAACAGAGACACCTGTGGAAGCTGCTGCTCCCGCGCCGACACAACAAAGTACAGCAGGCAAGAAGAAGAAGAAGGGCAAGAAGTGATCATCTCTTCATCTACAGGGTTCGGAGAGGGCCGAAAGGGGTTGCAAAAGAGCAAAGAGACAGCTGCGCGTGCTTGTCACGCCTGGTTGAAAGAAACATGAATATCACGGAAAGCAAGGCAAGGGAATGAAGGTTTGTCTTTGATACCCTTCTTGAGAAAAATGTTTATGCTGTAAAGAATGTACATGAATAAATCGCCAAACGTCATTTCATCGGTGTCATGTGTCATAAGTGTATCTTCAACGTGCTGTATGCGGTCGTTCCGCCTAAGCAATGTAGCTGTACGTGTTGCCCTCCTCACGCTCCATGTAGTCCTTCTCGATCAGCCTGTTGAAATTGTTAGTGAATCATCCTTTCCGCATCAAAAGTCTCGCTCACCTGTCGATGTTCTTCTTGATGTCCTTGACATCCAACACGCCTCTGCTCCTCGTTGCCTTGATCACTTCTGCAATCAACTCAGAATGACCAATCGTCTTTCTCGCCTTCATGACTCGGACCACAGCAGCCTGGCACTCAAAGTTTCTGTCCTCGGCAACACGTTCGTGTGTCTCCTTATTCTCTTCCTTTGTCTCTTTGAGTTGCACCTGGTTGATCTTGACTCGGTATTTGTCGTGCCAGAAGCTTGGGTCGACTGTGAATGTATCTGTTGGTGAGATTTCTCTGCCTTTGGGGTGTTTTTGCAGTGGACGAAGCTTCGCACAAGCCAGAGACTGAAGAGTTCGGTTCACTTCTGCTTCTGGAAGTCCTGACTCTGACTTGATGAAATCGTAAGTCAAATGTTCAGATGGCTCGACGTTGTTGAACAGCAACAAAATGATGGCTTGGAAGGATGAAACCACCAACTCTTTTGTACCCTTGGAGAACTTGGCTTTCATCTGACAATGTGCGAGCGAATGTTTCCAATCAAGCTTTCGGCCACTGTGCTTAGACTTGTAGTGGCGCTCATATTCATCAATAGCCGCCTGGATGTCTGCAGGGATAATAACAGGTACAGCTGGGTAAGTAGGCCAAGCTGCCGCCGAGAGAACGTTCACGTTGAGATCAATCTTGGGTCTTTCTTCCCGTTCTTCCATCCGTGATTTGTACGAAGACATTTCCTCACGAGCGAGTTCGACATCCTTGAACATTTGCTCCAGGTTGTGTGTAAACTCTGCACCACATTCAGTCTTGAGACGGGCGAGCATACTTCGCTCGGCATCTGCACTCGCTGAACGACCCATGAGTAGACGACGTGCAAGATCCTTCTTGTAGAATGCTTCAAACACAGCCTTGCCATGAACGAATCTAAAAAGATCCAGGACCTGATCAAGTTGTGCATTGACTTCACTGTCTTCATCCATGGCCTCGTTATCGTCATATTCTTCCTTTCCAGCATTGTCTCGAGCATGTAGAGTAAGGTCTGTCGGAATGGCTTTGGCACCTCCACGTAGCAGTTGATCAACATACTTGGCAATCATCTCTCCTGTCTTGGAGTTATCTGTACCATGTGTTGCAGCAGACTTCTTGGTCTTGTTAATGAAAGTCTCGAAGGATTCACGTAAAGCATGACCAAGCTCCTCGTCACGGTGGAAGGAAGTGCGCCAGATGTTGTCCAGACGGGTCTTGAGCGATAATAAGCGCACGACCATCTGCGCATCGTTCTTGTCGTCGAACACAATCTGTGTACCGGTATCATCAATCCAACGCTCAAACGCAGGTCGAATCTTTGAGCCAAGTCGACGTCTCTGCAGCAATGAGTGTAGTTGTTCCAGGTCCTTGACAGCATAGTCATCCAGAAGGTCTGCAACACTGTCCTGATTCGTCAAGTAATCGACCTTGTTTTCGATGATGTGTTCTTCCAGCAAAGCCAACAAGTCCCGTCGAGTACTTTGATCCAAGCCGAAGAATTCACAACGATCAATCTCCTTTGTCATGAAGTTGACGGCATTGTTGACATATTCGGGAAGTGGCTGCTCGGCACTCTTCTCATCAGCCCATCGCACGACGTATTGTTGAGCAAAGGCGAGCATGCGAGGTTCAAACGAGGTAGAGTAGGTAGTGAGGTCGTGGAACATGGAGATGGCTTGTCTGAGATGACTTCGTTCCAGATCCTTGCCATCTCTGTCGGCAGATATCAAGTCACAGGCGCCATCAATTATGCCAGGCTTGAGGGTGGCATCTTCGAAGATGTTGTCGCGGAAGATTTTGATAGTGACGTCCTGCAGGGAACCTCGTGAAGTTTGGAGAAGGTATGAACGATCCATGTAGTAGAAAATGCATCGAATGGTGTGCATTTGCTGGTTCCAGGTAGTCCAAGCATTGAGAACGTCATCCAGAACCTGAACGTTAGACTGTCTTTGCTTGGACAGTAACGATGTCTTCATGGTGCCCCTCACATATTGCTTGCATCTGTTGCTCAGTCTAGCGTAGACCTCGTCTGCTCTTTTTTGACGACACAAGTTCTCCACACCGCGGTATAGTTCTTCCATAGAGAAGTTGACGGGAGTTTGTGTAAAGATGACGTTCAAGGCCTGATCCAGCTGTGCCCATGTTTCGTCAAAGTATTTGTTTGCATCCCAAGCTGGCTGTGGCTTTAATGTCTTGACTACGAGTTTTGTGGAGCCATTCTTTGGTGTGAAGCCCTTATTGAGCTTGCCAGACAGGCGACGGTTGGTGTTGATGGACTGCGGACTGGCAGTGGCGAGCTTGGTGGAGAAGGAATACATTTCTGACTGCATTTGGACTGGTTGTGTCTTGGGTTTCTTGCGGTTGGGCGACGAGTCAAGAGAGGTCGACTGGGAAGCACCGGCCGAGGCTTGTGCAGAGAACAGATTCTGGATAGATGACTTTCGAGCGAGCGAAGGTGGTGGTGGCTGTGAGGCGGAAGCTGTTTCTGCTGAAGTTGCTGACGGTCTCTTTCTCTTCTTGGGTGGAGGGTGAGGAGGAGATGAATCAGGTGAACGCTCTCCAACCGGCAAGGATGAATTCGATGGTCGCATCGGAGCGAGAAATGCGAGTGTCGTAGTTGTGAGATGCGCCAGCTTCCTAGACTGTTTAGACTCCGCTCGGCGATAAGCTTCCATGACGCGCCTCAAAAGCTCAAAGCTCCGCCTGTCCTTGCGGCTCCGGTGTCCGCCTTCCGACAATATGCCGATGTCAGGGTCATCCTCGCTCATTGACAATATCATGCCATCAACATTCCATTGTGAGCTGTAAGACAGTAAGACCCTGTTATTCTTGGATCTTCTATTATACCATGATCTTTGAAGTAGCAAGTCTAGGACATGATAAACATTTCGCAAACAACTCTACCTTGACAACCTCAAATTTGTTTCACAGCTCCGCTTCGCTTCCCAAGATATCCCATCCCACAAGGATCCATAATTCAGCTTCAAAAGAATCTGTTCGCTTGTCCAGATCATTCATCTGCACGATTTCCACCGCTCGGGGTGCTTCTCCAAATGCTCTTGGCAATCGGAGCACATCTTGACTTGCGTCTGGGCCTCGAGTCCCTGGACCAAAGATGTGATCAACCAGTGTACGTTGAAGCCGTAGTCGTGCTGCACCAGCCAGAGGCAGGCTGTGAAGGCCAGTCACAGCTTTGCGCAGACTGCCAAGCAATAGAGGTGCTGACGTGAGTATGGCTCTTATGTCTGTCTGCCTGACAGGGTCCAGCAATTTGTCGTCTGGAAGTGGCAGATTTTGTATCTCATGCTCGATGTTGTCACTCTGCGGTCCATCCAGCAAAAGCTCATGTGCTGCTTCTCCTAGCCTGTGAAGCAGATGATATACCGCACCATCGAGTATTTGCGCGTGTGAGGTACATGTCCGAGCCGAGTCTTGCAGATTGTCAATCAAGCTCTTGGCGAGTTGCGATAAAGCTTGCAGAGCTGCTGTCTCCTGATCGGGTCGTTTAGACTTGACTTGTAAAGCAGCACTCTCCTCGATACTGGTCATGAGTGTATCGAAGAAGCAGACACACGCATGTACAACATGGCTGGCATAAGTACCGTTGTTCTCCAAAGCGTCCATGCGCTTGAGTCCGTTGAAAACACTGACACAACTCCTGGCAACGGCAACGACAGATTTGCTGGCTGTGTCTGCGACATGAACCTTGTATGGTAGAGATTCGATGACGAGACCCAGTGCTTCTGTGGCTTGAACGAGATTATAAGCCAGCTCGTTGGAATCAGTGTTCCACATGCGACCTTTGCAAAGTATCTGCACACGGTGGATATGACGCATCGCTTTGATAACTGCAGGATGTCAGCGCTGGATCTAGTATGTCACATGAGAGACAATAACCTGGATCAACATCGGCAGCAGGACCGAACTCTGCTATTGCGATAGTGCCTGCTTTCATTCTCTTGACTGTCTCAGGCTCTTCTTGTTCGGCGGATTTGCGTTTTCGACCAGGTTTGGATCGGGCTTGAAGTTGAGCGATCTGAGCTTGCAGGGCTTCGTTCTCTTTTTGAAGAATGAATCTGGCATCTTGCTCCTTCTCGAGCATACAATACAGGTCGTCGTATTGCTTTTGCCAAAACGAAGAAGGGTTCAGTTGTCGGAAAGTCTGGCCATCGGGATGACTGGTTTCAGTACAGTCGCGGAGATTTCGAATATATTCTGGCAGAATGTCAGATTGAATTCACTACTGCAATGAGAGACTAGCGACCTTGTACGGTTAGGTGTTTCGGCTTTGATTTGACCAAAGCAAGGGCAGATGAAATATGCAGCTCATGTGGTAGCGACATCTTGGGCGGAACAGTCACCGGCGGAATTTGAGTAACATGAACTCGAAGAATTAAGAGGGAAAACGAGAAAATCAAGGAAAGTTGTGGTCGACGAGAAACCTCTAAGGGAAGGAGCGTTTGGTCACCTCCTTCCTCTATCACATGCTTCCGGATTGACCTGCCTCAACGCAGCTATCGTCCATCATGTACATGACAACATGGAGCTCAAAATCTTCATGTTACTCGAAAGATCTGAACATATTTACCCGATTGATTCATGTTGGTCAGAAGGCATAGACAGCGTTACGAATAAATGTGGCATGTATATGATCTTGCTGTCTCTTGCGTCGTGTCAATCCTTGCAAATGGTACTTTGATATACAGATCTTGTCTCTACAGCATGCGACCACACGTGCTCTTGACACTTGTATTGGACCCAACGTGGAGTTGTTGCGGAGAGCGAGGTAAAGTTGTTCGATATGCGTTGACCGTTGAAACTTGGCAGTTGATAGCGGGCGGTAGTGACGTTTTGAGGCACGGACGAATTGATCGGCGGTGTTTCGCGAGCTCTCAGGCTTCAGCTCTTGCGGAGGTTGGCGGCGGCCTGTCTTGCCTGGTCTCAGCGCGTCTTCTGCTGCACGACAAGTCGCTCTGTGTTTCCTCCTGCGCACTCTCATCACGCATCCGCGCCGCATTTCCGACCATGTCGCTTTTCGGAGAGTCACCACCACCGACGCCGTCCGCGCGCCAGAACAAGTCGTCTCTGTTCGACGACGACGATCAACCTGCCGCCCGCAACACCTCGGCCAGCTCGGGCTTGTTCGCCGAAGCCAACGACGGAGACGACGGTCAATCGCCCTGGGACTTTCCTGCTCCCAAAAAGCACAACAGCACCCGTCAAAGAGGAGACTTGATCAAGACATTGTTGCCGTCTAGTGACGTGCCCGAATCCTACGTCAACTTCTTCGATGCCTTGTTGTCACAGAGCACCGCTCAGGGCGGCGTTACCTTGCGCCAGATCAAGAGCCTGTTGTCAGAGAGTAGCATTGGACATCCTGAGCAATCCAAGATTCTCGAAATCATTAGCGCTTCTGATGCCGACGACTCACGTGTTCTGGGTCGCGGCGAGGTCAATGTCGTTCTGGCCCTGATCGGTCTGGCACAAGAGGGTGAAGAGCTTGGGTTAGATGCGGTCGATGAGCGTAGAAGACAGTTGCCCGTACCTCACCTGCCTTCTCTGACCGCTCCCCCCAAGCAAGAGCAGAAGCCTCCTCGAACACCCACTGGTCCTCCAGCAGATTCCGGTGCCACGCAGTCTCAGAGCATGGAAACTCCTGGCTTCGGCTTCGGCGATGACCCTTGGGGAAGTCCTTCTATGCACAAGAACCACCATCATGAATCTGCTGCTCCTGCTTCATACGCCCAGGCAGCTGCTCCCTCATACCCGAATGGCAGCGTCAATGGTCGCGCAGAACCTCCACACGTCCGAACAACCAGCAACTTCACTACCACCTCCGCCGCCGACAAGACCGAGTCGCCTACCACCGACCCTTCCTCGTTCGAGCCATCGCGACCTACAACAGCTGAGAGTGGCTGGGGCGGTTATTCTGCATCCAACGACGGCTTCAATACTGCTCCTGGTAACGGAGGCTTTGGTGACTCGCAAAGCGACAACAACCAAACCGTAAGAAGACCAGCCGGTGTATCCAGATCTAGTGGCACAACAGGTCCTGAAGAGCTCATCACTGTCAATGTACTTGAAGAGAAGGAGGGCATGTTCTTGTTCCAACATCGCAACTACGAAGTCTCCAGTATCAGGAGGAATAGCCGTGTCATTCGTCGTTATAGTGATTTTGTCTGGTTGCTGGACTGCTTGCATAAGAAGTTCCCATTCAGACAGCTTCCTCTTTTACCACCGAAGCGTGTTGCCAGTAAGTTATACAAAAGTATCGTGACACAGCAGAGCTGACAAACATGCAGTCAACGGCAAGCACATAGCCGCAGATAACCTTTTCATTGAGAAACGAAGGAGGGGTTTGGCACGCTTCGCAAACGCACTCGTCCGCCACCCTGTTTTGAGTCAAGATCAGCTTGTCATCATGTTCTTGACTGTCCCTACGGTAGACGTTCGGCCCCTGCCCTCTATAATGTTTGAACAACACTAACGATTCTCAGGAACTTGCTGTATGGCGAAAGCAGGCCTCGATCTCCGTGCAAGAAGAATTCACCGGCAAGCCCCTACCACCAGGTCTCGAAGATTCGCTTCCCCAAAACCTTTCTGACCTGTTCGACACTGTGCGAAATGGAGTACGCCGTTCGACTGAGGTTTACATCAACATGTGTGGCATGGTCGAACGACTTATTAAGCGTAACGAGGGCCTTGCGAGCGAATACACCCGTCTCTCTTTGGCTCTTGGTACGCTGACTGAATGCTCCGCCGACACTTACGCCATCGACACGAACGAGGTCGAGCTCCTGAATGGAGGTCTCAATGGCACAGCTAAACATCTCTCCACCAATCAGACCCTGCTCGAGGATGAGGCTAGGGCTTGGGATTTGGGCGTTTTGGAGGACCTCAAGCGCCAGCGTGATGCTCTGGTCAGCATGCGGGACATGTTTGACCGTCGTGATCGTTACGCTCGCGACAACATTCCCCAATTGGAACGCCGCATTGCTTCAAACGAGAGCAAGCTCTCTGGCATCCGTGCACGACACGAGTCTCAGATCAAGCCTGGTGAGGCCGAGAAGGTTGAGAGCGCGATCGTCAAGGTACGTCTTTCTCAACTGAGATATCATACTTCTTTACTGACCAGGAGCAGGACAAGCAATCAATAGTCGACCAACATGCTCGAGGTGTTTTCATCAAGGAGTGCATTCGTGATGAAATTGTCCATTTCCAGACCTCTCAATACCACGTTAGCAGAATGCACCAAGAGTGGTCGCAGGAGCGTGTCAAGTATGCCGAGTTGGGCGCAGAGAATTGGAGATCATTGAGCGAAGAGCTTGAGGCCATGCCTCTTGGTGATTGAGAAGCATTTGACAAGCTTCTGTAATCATATTCCTATATTGTAATATTCGTTATATCATTGTTTAGCATAAAAGCTCGTCACTCGGACTTTCTCTCCCAAGTTCCGTGATCGTTCCTTCCTTGAGGCACATGCTAGGCAGAAAGTTTTCAATATGCACGTGGCACAACGTGTTGTAGTTGGCTCTCAGTTGTCATCTCACAACTCTTTTGCGAGGGCTCATTCTTCTCTGCAGGTTGAATACAACTCTACTCGTTACTTTCAATCAGCCGTCACAATCATCGTCACCGTCACCTTTCTGCTCCGATTAATTATCCCTTCTTTGCCCGTACCTACCTTCTAACAAGAACATACAACTACAGTATCCGCTATCATTTACCTGTCCGATTCGAGTGACGACAATCTGGGGACAAAGACGAGAGATCGTGGACCTCCTTAGTCGTGCCAACATGCCCGGCGCAAGAACGGGAAAGAGGACACTCGAGACCGAAGAGGCCGTCTCACCTCCGATGAAGAAGTCAAAGTCCACAAAGACCTGTAAGTCCAACGATCTCTTCATACTGTTCCATACCCTTGGCCTATCCATCATGGTATAACCGTTTCCCGAGTGCTTGGCGAGAAGGATGCAGATGCAGGCGTTGTTCTTATCTTATCGTCGGTCTCGGATCAGGGCTCATCGGGCGTCGGCATTGACGTCGGCGTCATCTGCGTGTCGCTGCCTTTGCTGTTGATCAACTTTCCTTTGTATCTTCATCATCATCTGTCGCGCAGTCAACATTGTTGTCTAATTTAGCTCACTGTTGCCCGTTCTCATTCGAACACATACCAATCGCTTGTCGAGCCGCAGCCAGCTGACACAGTGCGACCATGCCTCCAGCATACACCGCCGCCCAAAAGACGGCCATCCAGAGCTTTGTCGACTTCACTAGTACCGACCGCACAACAGCAGCAAAAGTCTTGCGTCAACATGGATGGAATGTACAAGTGGCAGCAAACGCGTAGGTCAAAAAGTTTCATTGCAGTTTTCTAGGATGTGCGTCTCAAGAGGGAGAAGTCTACGAGGGGTTGCGTACGCCGGTCCAAGCTCACGGTCGACTCGACGATGAGGTGTCTCGGCACTGCGATGGCCTACACGGGACTGCGTGCGAACGATCACCCAGAAGTGACATGAAAGAACTTTGTTCCTTGTCACGGAGTCTCCCTCTGACGCGACTGGACATCTACTTCCGCTTCCAAGATGTCCTATACCAATCCCAACCACCGTTATTACACTATTGACCTCCCTGTCAGATACTTCCAATCGGGCTCGACCAGCACCGGTAGCACTGCCAGCAAGGGTACACTCAACAAGCTTTTCGACAAGTACCGCGAGGAGCCAGACAGCGAGCCTGATGAGGTCAACATTGACGGCACCATGCAACTCCTGAGCGACATCGATGTCAGCCCTGACGATATTGGTTCTCTAATCTTCTCGGAGATGGTCAAGTCACCCTCGCTCGGAAAACTCACACGTACCGAGTTCGTTGACAGCCTTGCTGCTCTTGGGTAAGCTTGTTGCAATGCGCAAGGTCTATGTCATGTCTAACATTGCTGCGCAGTGTCAACGACATCAACAAGATGCGCGACATGGTTCAGCAGAGACGCTCCAACCTCGACGATCCCGCATTCCGTCCCACATTCAAGTCAATCTACAAGCACACATTCATCCTCGCTCGTCAACCCGGCCAGAAGGCTGTCGCCCTTGAGAACGCTACCGAGTACTGGCGCCTGCTCTTGACTAGCCCCTCCCTCCAGTGGTCATCACCCAATACCCCTTGGCTTGATTGGTGGATCGAGTTCCTTACCGAGAAGTACAAGAAGAGTGTCAACAAGGACATGTGGGACCAGACTCTGGTGTTTGCCGAAAAGACTCTTGTCGATGAAGCACTCAGCTTCTGGAGCGAAGACTCTGCCTGGCCTGGAGTCATTGACGAGTTTGTCGAGTATGTCAAGACCGACAAGCGTGGAGGTCAGGGTGTCGGCGATGCTATGGAGGTTGAGTGAAGGACTTGATGTCAAACGGAAAGCACATGAAACACCAAGAAGATATCACCCACATTGTTGCCGATGCACGCGACACATGCAGGAACTACAAGAAGTCAAGGACAGGAGAGAATGAAGAGTCGCGGCTTCAAGAGAGGAAGAAAGACATGGCTTCGTGACACACAGTCACTACGACGGAAAATGGCTTCAAGCATAGCATAATGGCAGCATCAGAGAATAACAGAGCATAACAAGAGTGTTATTGAGATTCAAAAAGACGTCACAGGGTGAAACACGTGAAATTTGGTCGGCTCATGACGGTGAAGTTAAGGCCGAGATTAAATTGGCGTTCGGGTTGTTTACGGGAGGGTCTTCGTGTGGGGGCAGCCCGGCGCTGACGGTGGCCGGGAGCCGGCGGTGATCGATCATTTTTTTGTTTCCTGTCGCTCCTTCCCTTTGTTGCACGCGATTGCAAGATCAATACCTTCCCAATGGCCGACAGCAAGCTGGAGCCCTTTCCTCCATTGAGCCCGCCCAAAGGGACGTCCGACAATGGCGGCCCACCCGTTACAATGACCAAACCTCGGCCCCGGCGCAAGTCTAGCAGTCTTGGAGGAGAGCCTCGAGGTGACACTGGAGCTTCTGCTCTTGCTACTTTGTCTATGCTACCCCAGGTATGTAGCAGTCGATGATATATCCCTTCTCAAAGTCAACGATTGGACTGACACGCTCCTGACAGCGCACATCTACACCGACACAAGACAAAGCTACAAGAACATCCAAGCGTCGCAAAGCACGCAGTCTCCTCAAGCGATATGTCCGCGTCTCTCTCCGACACACCTGGCTCAATCCCTTGATCCTCGTGCTCCTGATCCTGGCCCTCTACGCTGTCAACCCATCCACCTCGAACCCCTTCTACTATTGCATCTTCCTCGCATACCCCCTCGACACTCCTGCTGGCAAACCAACTCAGTATGGCAAGGGTCAAGCCGATTTTGCTTTTGTCGCCTTCTACACCATTGTCCTGAGCTTCACCCGCGAGTTCCTCATGCAGCGCATGATCCGTCCCCTCGCCATTCATCTGGGCATCACTAGAAAAGCAAAGCAAGCTAGATTCATGGAGCAATTCTACACGGCCATCTACTTTGCCATCTTCGGTCCCTTTGGCTTGTACGTTATGCGCCGCTCGCCCGTCTGGTACTTCAACACGGACGCCATGTTCGAAGGCTTCCCTCACCGTAGCCACGAAGCTGTCTTCAAGGCTTATTATTTGTTGCAAGCAAGTTACTGGACACAACAGGCCATCGTCCTGTTGCTTATGCTGGAGAAGCCCAGAAAGGATTTCAAAGAGCTTGTTTTGCATCACATCGTCACTGTTGCCTTGATCTGGTTGAGCTACCGTTTCCACTTCACCTACATGGGTATTGCTGTCTATATCACCATGGACATTTCTGATTTCTTCCTCGCTGTAAGTTTCTTTTGTTCTAATGGAAATTTGATGTCGCGTCTAACCAAACATGCAGACCTCCAAGTGCCTCAACTATCTCGATTCACCCATCACTGGACCATACTTTGGTCTCTTCATTGGAGTATGGTTCTACCTCCGCCATTACCTTAACTTGCACATTCTCTGGGCAACCTTGACCAGCTTCCGCACAGTCGGCCCTTACGAACTCAACTGGGAAACACAACAATACAAATGCTGGATTTCGCAGATCATCACTTTCTCCCTGCTCTTCGCTCTGCAAGCTGTCAATGTCTTCTGGTTCGTCTTAATCTTGAGAATCGCTTATAGATTCCTCAGAAGCTCTGTTGCCAAGGATGAGAGAAGTGATGATGAAGAAGATGAGGAGGAAATCATCGAAGAGCAAGAGAAGGACAAGGTCAGGCAGAGTATTCCTAGTGTGGAACTGAATGGTGAGAAGTTGGTTGGCGCTACTGGTAGGGATTCTACTCCCGAGGGATTGAAGCGTAGAGGATAAGTCATCTCCTTCTCTCGTTGCACAAAGACTTGATTGCGCTACATGAATGATTACATGACGCTTGTCTGCTATGATTTCCATAGCCAAGGCCATTTTCGGCCTCTGCTTTTCTACATTTAGCATTACCCACTCATAAACAACATGATCAAAGCATATTCCTGGACATTTCATATACCTTTGCTGTTGAAGCCGACTCGAAACATCTTTGATGGATTCGTCATGTATCACTGGATGCACACGATCAGATCAGAAAGTTGTCAAGCGGTCATCCAACTCTGTAAACTCGGCAAAGGACATCCGGCATTCCTACTCTGTGTTGCTCTTGCAGTTACTAATCGTGGGATTTGACAAGCTTCGACCGGAGGTTGACTTACAGATCGCCATATATTGTACCGCCATACATTCGTTCAAAGATATCTATCAGGTAGTCCTGTAGGATGAGCAGGGTAGATGAAGTAGGAGGAGAGCCAGGGAACATATGAATATATACATGCAACGAGGCTTTGGAGACCATCCTCTGTTACCGCCAACTTATGATCATGTTTCTGAGTTTAATGCAAGTTTATCTTTGACTTGTTGTATCTTATGCTTTCTAAACAAGTTGCAAACTCAACCTTGACCATTCCAATTTGATTTATGGGCAAGAGAGGGAAGAGAATTCGTCCGAGAAGAGTGATACAGAGGTCGTTGATTTGTAAAACATTATTGGTTATATGCATACTTTCACAAAGTGCATAGATGTCACAAAAAATTCAAATGGCGATGCCGGGCCGTGTTTCTGCCCCGACCACACACCCCGCTTTTGAGACTTCACCTCCACAAACGAGGCTGGGGATGTTTCCCGAACGTCACCTTGTCCCAGTTTTCTATTCTTCATCTGTATACACGAGCCTGCCAAGCTGCTTGGACGCCTCATTGAGACCCAAAACGAGCTGAAAATGATGACCGTAGGAGTTCGCTGCGATTTTGATGGCGATGCTAGGTAAGTCAATAGTTATCTGAGCAGACGATGCAAGGTAAGGTATATGAGCAATCGATATAACACACATCCTGTACTTCGATGCAACACTCGGTCCGACTGATCGCTGAGGTTACATCCGAAAACATGCTTGACTTCTACGGCATGCCATGTGCGCAGCAGGAACGACGGAAAGGCAATCGATTTATCCACCACTTGCTCCGCCGTCCAAGCCCTTCTACCAAAACCTACCCCACATCTCATGTCGATCTCCAAGTTTTGTCGCATGATCAACGAGCAGCCAAGCCAGTATTCTGCCGATTATGTCGTGATATATATAAAAAATGCGCCCTACTTCAATGACTTGGGAGTCCTCCTGACAATAGCTTACTCGAGATGTTTTCCACTAAGCGTCTGTTCCAGCTTTCGCTGGCTGCTGGACTCGTAGCTTATGTCAATGGAGGTGCGTTAACATGCTAGAGTACAATGATTTGGATGCTAAAACATGCTTTAGACATCGTTGCCACGGGTACAAATTTCACCTTGACTGGCGCTGATGTGTCGTACCGCTTCCACGTCGACCCTCGATCTGGTGATCTCGTCTCAGACCACTTTGGTGGACCAGTAGATGATTTTACGGGTCCTGCTCAAATATCAAACAGTGGCTGGTCAACAGGTCTTGACAACATCGGCACTCCTGGCTTGACCAACGTCCGTCGCGAGTTCCCAGATGTCGGCCGTAGCGATTTCCGTCTTCCTGCGATTCATATCAGTCATGCTGATGGCGATACTGTCTCTGCTTTCACATATCAGAGCCATGAGATTGTTCAAGGCAAGCCCGCACTCATGGGACTTCCTGCAACATATGGCAATGCTGGGGATGTCACAACCTTGATCGTCAAGCTCTACGACAACTACTCGGATGTCTCTGCTGCTCTGTCATACTCAGTCTTTCCTGAGTACAATGCCATTGCAAGAAGTTTCCAAATTACGAACAATGGTACTCAAAACATCTCTATCGAACGAGCAGCAAGTTTCAGTACAGATCTGCCCAACCTCGACCTTAAGATGCTCGAGTTGCAAGGCGATTGGTCTCATGAAGCCAACAGAGTCATCAGAAACGTCGACTTTGGCGAGACTGGGTTCAGAAGTACTGAGGGATACTCTTCTCACGTTCACAATCCCTTCTTTGCACTCCACTCGCCGACTACAACCGAGACTACTGGAGAAGCTTGGGGCTTCAATCTCGTCTACACTGGCAGTTTTGCAGCAACTGCTGAGCGATTCTCTCATGGTCTAGTTCGTGTCCTGCTCGGCTTGAACCCACTCCATGCTAGTATTCCTGTTGGACCTGGCGAGACATTCCAATCCCCTGAAGCTGTCGGCATATATTCATCTCAGGGTATCGGAGGCATGTCGAGATCCTTCCACGACCTATACCGTAACCATCTCTCCAGATCAAACCACACCTTTGAGACTAGACCAGCTCTTCTCAACTCGTGGGAGGGCCTTGGCGCTGACATCAATCAAACTTCGCTCGAGACTCTTGCTCAAGAGACTGCTGAGCTTGGTATCAACTTGTTTGTCATGGATGATGGTTGGTTCGGTACTGCACCATATGCGCGCACAAATGACACTGCTGGACTTGGAGATTGGACTCCCAACCCTGCTCGTTTCCCGGATGGTCTTGGGCCGTATGTTGATGCTGTTGACAGCTATGCAGTGGCAAACACAACCAAGGACCTCTCGTTTGGAATCTGGGTCGAGCCAGAGATGGTCAACCCCAACTCTACACTATACCATGAGCACCCTGATTGGGTCATGTATGCCGGCAATCATGTACGCACACTTACTCGCAATCAGTTGGTTCTCAACCTCGGACTGCCAGAAGTTCAAGATTACCTCATCAATGCCATCTCGAACATCATCAAGTCTGCCAACATTTCATATATCAAGTGGGACAACAACAGAGGCATTCACGAGATGTCGTCGCCAGCTGCAGACTATGCATACACCTTGGGCATGTACCGCGTCATGGACAATTTAACAGGATCTTACCCATCGATCCTTTGGGAAGGTTGTGCTTCTGGAGGTGGTCGCTTTGATGCAGGCATCTTGCACTACTATCCTCAATCATGGACATCTGACAATACAGATGCCTCAGACCGTCTGACTATTCAAATGGGCACTTCACTCGCATATCCTCCCTCTGCAATGGCTTGCCACGTATCCAAGGTCCCCAACGGCTTGACCAACCGCAACATCTCAATCGAATACCGCGCACATGTAGCACTAATGTGTGGCTCCTTCGGCTTCGAACTCAACCCCGTCGACCTCAGCGAAGAAGAACGCGCAGCCATCCCTTCCATTCTAGCTACCCACGAAAAAATCAACCCTATCGTCATCTCTGGCTCCTTCTACCGCATTGCATGGCCTGGAGACACGAATTGGCCAGCCGTGCAATTTGTCTCTGAAGATGAGAATACAGCAGTGGTGTTTGCATTCCAGCAACAAGCTATGATCAAACCTGCGCCGCCGCCTTTGAGGATGCAGGGTCTGAATGCCACAGCGAGGTATTCGAGCAATCTGTATAATGGCACTTTGAGTGGGAATACCTTGATGAATGGGGGATTGAATTTGGCGTGGCAGATTGCTGATTATCAGAGTATGTTGATCTGGTTGTATAGAGAATAGGTCGTAGGAGATATTCAGGGGAGGCTAATAGTATCGTAAAAGTACTGTTTTCTTATTTATTGATCAGAATCAGATACATGCAAGGAAAGTTTCCAGAACTGGTTTATGACCACGCAGAAGTTATCGTCTAGGCAGTTTCCGAGCTGTCTCTTCCGATTGTGACGGTAAGATGTCCGTGTGGTCTGAGTGAATGATGCTGTGTCCGAACGATCAAGTGCAAGATGGCAAAAGGGTCAGAAGAGAAGCGAAAGACGACGCGGGCGATCGGGCAAATTGCAGCCGAAGCTCATGCGCAACTTCAACTTCGTCACCACCCTTGACCTCGATTTCAGCTCTAACAAAAAGTCATTTTTCCTCATACCAACCTCTCCAGTCACAATGCGCACTCACATGTCCTCTTCAATGCAAGCGCTGTACCGCGTCTTTGTGCAACCAGCGCTATCAACACGCGCACGACCAATCCCACAAACCTTCAAACCACTTCACTCCAGCACTCGCACCTTCAGTTCCACTGGCTCTTTCGCAGCAGCAGGAAAACGCCTCCCGGAAAAGCGCAAACACCTCTGGGATGAAGAAATCCCCGCCCGACGTATCCAACTCGTAGACCCAGAAACAGATTCCCTCCAACCACCAACCCGCTTGCGCGATATCCTGGCTACCATCGATCGCAAGAGCCACCGTATTATTTGCGTAACTCAACCACCTGCGGGAAATTGGACGGAAGAATGGATCCCAGTCTGCAAACTCGAAGACAAAAAAGCAGCATACGAGGCAGAGAAGGAGAAAAAGAAACTCAAACAGCAAAAGGCGGCTGCAGAAGGCACCAAAACGCTGGAACTGAATTGGGCGATTGATCAGAATGATTTGGGACATAGGATGAAGAGGATGCAAGAGTTTTTGGGCCAGGGCAAAAAGGTGGAGATTGTTTTGGCGAGGAAGAAGGGTGGGAGAAGGGCTACTGCTGAGGAGTGTGAGGAATTGTTGCAGAAGATTGATCTGGCTGCTGAGGCTGTCAAGGGTACGAAGGAAATCAAGAAGTTTGAAGGGAAATTGGCGGGGATGGGCAATCTGATGTATGAAGGGCCCAAGCCTTGAGTGTGGTATATTTGTACAGATGAATAAAATACAAGACGCTTAGACAACAAGCTTGACCCGTGATTGCAGGTCGCTCGAGTGCTTCTGGAAGATCTTGTCGAGCGCCTTCTTCTCAATGACAATGCGACCACCCTCGAGCAAGTCCTTGACATCAACGTCTTCGAGACTCAAAGCGCGAGCCTCCTTGTCCATGCCAGGTTGTTGTAGAGCATTGAAGAGTTTCTCTCTAGGCTCGGCCGTGACGAACAGACTGCCACCACTTGGGTTTCCCCACTTGTTCCATCGCAGCATCTCTTTCAACCACCTTGCAGCACCAGGACCCTCGACGTCAATCTCTGCAGCTCCACCCAGAACAACCAACTCGCCCTTCTTGTAGCGGTAACTCAAAGCAGTCCTCCAGGCCAGGTCGTAGATCTTGGTGGGCAGTTCTGTGCTGAAATCTCTGGGCTTGGGACCAAAGGCGACACCACCACCTCTCAGCATGGGCGACTTCTTGTCACCAAGACGAGCGCGACCAGTTCCCTTTTGCGGACGGACCTTGCGATTGGAACCGTGGACTTCTGAACGGTATTTTGTGCTTGCGGTACCCTGGCGTGTGGCATCTCCCTCAAAGACGATTGCGCGGTGCAAGATGTCGCGACGTAGCGGCAGCAGGAGATGTGTGCTGGGGTATGTGACAAAACTTCTAGGTTCAATCTTGGGGAAGTCGTGGATGGTGCACGTAGCAGTCGAGAGGAAAGGGTTTTGTGGTTGTTGGAAGGGGCGGCGAGACTCGGCTGCGGGTGTAGGAGGTGGTGGGGTGAATTGATCGTTCAAGACGGGAGTAGTGGCGGTAGACGAGAGAGCGGCATCGCTGTATGTTTGAGCGATAGTGGCAGCAGGAGCGTCGGAGGAGGATGTGGGTAGAGATTCGGTGGCCAGCCCGCGCGCAAACACCTGAACGTCTTGTTAGTCGCTTGTCTTGTCTTTCTTGTTCATTCAGAGGAGACATACCGAGGGAGCGCTTCTCCAGCGAGCGCAAGTGACGACTGCTCTTCGTGTGGCCATTGTATGTGTCTGTGTGTGTTTGCTCTAGAGGTCGTGACTTCCTTGTCGGGGCTTTGTCGAACACGAAAAAGTCGGTCTTGGCGTCGACTTTCAGACATTCGCGGCTTCCCAAATTCACGGCCGACAAGAACATCATCTTCACGTCCAACACAATCATGGCCTCTTCCTCGCGGGCGCTACGAGGGCTGTCTGCTCGCGCCTTTTCGACATCGGCTGCCGTCGCCGAAGAAGTCGTCGCCTCGACTCCTGCCGCTGCCGCAGCAGCAACGACACAAACTCCGCCGCCCTCATCTCTCGCCCAGGACAATGTCTTTACTCCCAGAGCCGAGCGCAAACTCCTCAAAACCCGCGGTCTTACTCCCGTCGGTTCTCGCAGACGTCGTGCGGCCATTCTCTCCGGCTCGCGCATCCCCTTTGAGCAATTGCCCTACCAATGTTTTCAAGAAGCCCGCAAAGTCTTGATTCAACACCGTGAAGAGAAGGTCAAGGACATTGAGGCTGAGCGCCAGAAGATTGCCAGACTGAAGGCCCAGACTGTCGAGCCTCAGAATGAGCAACGGCAACAACACCGCCTCAACAGCATGGAACGCTACTTGGACCAACTCAAGATTCACGCAGACATCGACGATCCCATGGTCAAGAGGAGGTTTGAGGATGGCAAGGGTATGAATACAGTTCAAAAATGCGACAGGACATTCCAACTAACACACGCCAGGCGACATGGACAAGCCCATCTACCGCTACCTCGCCGACAAAAAGTGGCGCCAGTACGACCGCATGATCGTCATGCAGCGCATCACCCAGATGAATGTCGTGCCAGACGTCCTCCCCACCATCGATCCCACTCTCAATGTCGAGCTTTCCTTTGGTCCCCGTGACGTCCAGCCTGGTGAATTCGTCGACAGCAGAGTCTCTGAAGTCCCTGCCCACCTCAACATTCAACCCTATGACAAGGGCGAGCGCTATGTCACCATTGCCATTATAAACCCCGATGTGCCCAATGTCGAGGCAGACGCCTTTGATTACCGCTGCCACTTCCTCGCCTCCAACATCAAAATCTCCCCTACTCAGACCTCCGTCTCGCTCGGAAAGTTGACCGACGACCAAGTCATTCTCCCCTGGTTGCCTGCATACACTCAAAAGGGTCTTGCATACAGCCGCATGTCAGTCTTTGTCCTCGAGCAAAAAGATGGCCAAATCCTGGACGCAAAGGCCCTATCACAGCGTTACGAGCACGACGATTTCATTCTGAGGAGCTTCGTCGACAGACACGTCTTGAAGCCTGTCGGTGTAAATATGTTCAGAAGCAGACATGACGAAGGCACTGCTGGTGTCATGCAAAGAGCTGGAATTCCTGGCGGTGATGTCGAATTCAAGAGGAAGAAGATTGAGCCTCTTCCATACAAGAAGCTGCCTGGTTCAAGATACAGGTAGTCTTGGATATACCTTTTGTACTATATATCCCTTGTTGTGTACCAAAATTATTCATCTACTTCTTTGTCCATTATTAGATGTCAAGACTCCTCGGAGCTCGAAAGATAAGGGTTCGTGACAAGATCGATTTGGCTGTCTTTGATTCCTAATCAATTTCTATATCTCAACAATGATCGTCCGTTGCATGCACTCTGGTTAAATACACGCATCACTTTTGTGTAATGATCGGTCGCGCGGCTCTTTGTCGGCGTCTTGCAATGGACTTCGTCTTGCTCTTCTTGCGTTCATCCTGATCGTACTTCGAGTATGCAACAACATGAATCTGCTTGTCGCACAAGAATTGATGTAGGCCCCATGTAGAAGGATGAACAGAATGACTGCCTGTCTCCATTCTCCATACTCCACGGAGTTGTTGACCTGAAGATGATCAAAACTCGTGGATTCAGGCAATCGTCTTCCGAGAAAAGTGGAGCTGGCAACACTCAACAACAGCCCTGACAACGACAAGGACGACAATCAATATGGAGACATAAGAAGCGGCAAGGAGCCGCATCTCGAATGCGACTTTCTCACATTTGTCGTCGCAGATATGGCTTCTTCTGTGGAGATGACCGTTAACCCCGTAGAACCAGAGAATTATCAAGAAGACAAGACCAAAGATGCCGAAGTCACCGTCTGGGACACTGAATCTGATATCTCGAGGAACCCAAAGCAAATCTCTTGGTTTGTCATTTTTGCCAGCGCTCTTGCCAATTTCTCGGATGGATATCAAAACAATCTGGTGAGTTTTGACCCATACACACCTTGAATTGATTTAATACTGACTATTCGACAGTCCTCACACACAAATGTAGTCTTTAGCCACACTCTCGGAAAAGCATACACCTCAACCATTCAGACCAGGATATCAAATGCTTTGCTCGTTGGTGCTGTCATTGGAATCATTGTTCTTGGCTACACCTGCGATATCTGGAGTCGACGTGGAGGACTCTGGGTCACTTCTTCTCTGGTTGTGATTGGAAGTTTGCTTTCCACTCTGGTGTTTCAGGTTCAAAGCCAGGGTGTTTCGGATATGATGTGGTATATGACTATTGCGAGAGGAATTACTGGTGTTGGTGTGGGAGGTGAATATCCTCCTTCTGCTGCTGCTGCATTGGAAGGCAGTAATGAGGTATGATTGATCTTCGATATGACTTCCAACAGGCATCGCTTCGAAAAGAAGATTGGCTGACAGCAAAACACAGCATTACGATCACATCAGAGGACCCATCCAAGTACTCACCTCAACCCTCATGGCCACATCCGCAGCGCCAATCTGCACAGCCATCTACCTAATCTCTCTCACCGCCAGTCACAACAACCTTCGCAAAGCTTTCCACGCCATCTACGCCATTTCAATCTTCCTACCTCTCTTTGTCGCATTCCTCCGCTTCCGTATGCGCGATGGTATTCTCTTCCGCCGCAACAACTTCAAAACCAAAAAATCTCCGCCATATCTACTGGTCTTGAAGAGATATGGATGGAGGTTACTAGGCACCTCTGCAGCATTCTTCCTCTACGATTTCATCAATTTTCCGAATGGGATCATGAGTTCTGTCATTATTAATAATGTGGTCAAAGGGAAGGATGTCAGACAGACAGCAATCTGGCAGTTTATTCTTGCGCTTTTGGCGGTGCCTGGTCCTGTCGTTGGCAGTTGGCTTTGCAACCGCATTGGACGTCGTTGGACTGGTATTGCAGGATGGACAGGCTACATCGTCCTCGGCTTCATTATTGGCGGCTGCTACACCAAGCTCACCCAAAATGCCATTGCCGCTTTTGTGGTGCTCTACGGCTTGATGCAATGTTTCGGCCACATGGGTCCTGGCGCAACCATCGGCCTCATGAGTGTAGAACTCTATCCCACAGCCGTACGAGGCATGAGTTATGGTATCTCCGCCGCATTTGGCAAAGCAGGTGCTGCAGTGGGAACACAGGTCTTTACACCCATCAGAGATGCTGCAGGTCCTGCATCGACGTTTTATCTGCTTGGTGGGTTGTCGGTGCTTGGAGCGGCGATTTACTATTTCTTGCCTGAGGGAAAGGACATTGATTTGGCCGCTGAAGACGAGAGTTTTAATATTTATCTCAGGAGTGAAGGGTTTGGGAAGGAGGAAGGGAGTGCTGGAAGCGAATAGAAGCCGCCGAAGTAGAGACGTAGGATTCTGCCAACGCTTTGAGGTTTTGCATCCACATCAATATTCTATCCTGTTCTTCTAATTGTCTCTTATTCTTCTCGAACAATTCTTGATCCATCTTTTTATCCTGATCTCGTTGACGCATATCAAAACAATGGCCAATGACCCCTGGCCTCCTCTCGCCATCATAGGCAATACACTCATCTTCTTGGCTGCTGGCTTCTTGACAATCTCCTTGGCTGTACACAGCACACCAGAGGACCGCGAACATCTCAGAAACCTCGATCAAGAACGGCGAAGACGACAAAAGAAGCTTTCGCACACAGGCACGGCAGAAGGGGGAAATGGCTGTTGCTGTTGCCATTGTTGTTGCTGCAGGCACCACAATCGCGAAGATGCAAAGACGCAAGAAAGTCATTGTTCGCAACAACGCGATAACATTCCCCACTACGAATGAGAGTACCTGATAGATTCATTTGAGAAGTGAGAGGTTTGGCAAGGACGAAGTTTCTACTGGAAGCGAGTGACAAAACAGCAGCTTTTATATTCATCTATCTCATAGCATTCCTTTCCTCGTTAAGCAATTCTTGATCTAAACACAATACGAATCACCGAATCTAAACACAGTCTAAACACAGTCTAACCCTTTAAGCAACACTGGAATCGCTATCAGTGTGCTTGGAAATCCAGCTCTTGACGGAGAAACCCTTCTTCTCTTCCTTGTCCCAGGTCCTGCCGTTTCTCTCGTCGGTTGCAATGAGGATCTCTTCGCCGGTGATTTGATGATCCAATCTGCTGCCTTGCTCGGGTGCGAAGCGCATCAATGCCCAGTAGCAAAGACCAGCAGCGACGAAAGAGTACATGTAGCCGATTGCGAAACTATAACGAAGTCAGTTCTGAGTGGACATTGTCGTTATTAGGCAGTCACTTACAGGTGTTGACCTCCAAGAGATACACTGAGGTTGCCCTGGTCAATGCTGTCGGCAAAGCCAGGCAGAGGAGGCAAGAAGCCAATAACGAGAGCAAGGACTGCACGCCAGTTTGAGGCGAACTTAGGGGAGTAGCGGTAGATGCCGTCGAACTTGTACATCTCTGGCACCGAGACATTGCCACGACGGACGATGTAGTAACTGTATATTCGTCAGTATGTTGTACATTCATCTGCAGATGCGAAACAACTCACTCTGTCATGATGATGGCGGTCATTGGGCCAAGGAAGATGGTGTATCCGCCCAAGAATGACAGGAACTTTTGAGCAGAAGCCAGGATTTTCCAAGGCACACAAGCCCAAGCACCAATAATAGCGGCCAAAATCTGACCACGGCGGATGTTGATGTACTTGGGGAAGAAAGAGACAAGGTCGTTTGCTGCACTGATCGAGTTGGCAGAAATGTTGATACCGAGAGTAACGATGATCAATCCGATAGCACCAAAGGCAGATGCAGCACGGCCAGCGTGAGATCCGGAAGCACTCCAAAGTCCGACGATGACGACAGGGTTCCAAAGGGGACCTCCCTCTTTGGCGACCTCTTCAGGATAGGCCACTACGGATGCTGCAGCAGTGAAGATACCAAGAAGACCAACGATGGTGAAGATGAAGGGAATGACAAACGCTTGACAGTTTTGTGCGCTCCTCTTGTTGGCGTATCTTGCAAAGTCGGCAATGTTGAGACCAAGCGTGGCATAGTTGCCAAGAACCGAGTTGAGGTTGGAGAAGAATGCCCAAACCAAGACAGAGCCTTTGACAGTTGGTCCTTCAGTGATAATTGGACTGTGGCTGATGGTACCTCCTGCCTTGTGTAGAGTACTGCCAAAGACGGCAAGGAAGATGATGGGTGCGATGATAGACTTCAAGCCGAAGAAGTATTGGACCTTGGTGTAAGGAATGCAGAGGAAGGGGAGCTGGAGCAAGAAGTAAAGCACGAAACCACACATTCCCGCGGTAGTAATGCCCTGATCGGCAGCAATGTGGTTGGGGATGTGTGCAAAGCTCGGCCAGATAGCAGTCAGCAGGACCACCATGCATTGGCCACCTAAAGCGAAGGTACGGTTAGCAAAATGTCAGAAGGTTAGACAGGGGAACACCGCGGCTTTACCTGTGACAGTCTGGACACCGAGCCAGATGATCGCAAGAATGCAGCGTGACACGACAACAAAGTAGCTGAAGTAGTAGCCGAATGACACACGCGCGATGATAGGGAATGGAGTGTGGAGGTGGGCTCCAATTCTGCCGTTCATGGTGATGACCAGACCCATGACGAAGTTACCGAGAACGCAGGCGCCAATTGCCATTCTCCAGCTCAGACCGCCAGCGATCATGGATGAGGCGACCTCCCAGTTGCTGACCTGTTTTAAGATTAGCAAAGATATCAGACGTTGGTTGTGGGTTCACGTACAGCCCAGGCGTCAGCCATCCAGTATGCGACATAGGCCTTCCAGGTCCAGGTACGCTTGGATGGCGGAATAGGATCGAAATCAGCATTGGATGCATTGGGGTTCGTAGCGAAACTGCTGGGTTCTTGATCCACGGCAAGCTTGAATCGTGGAGTGCGACGTGTGTAGGGTGAAGAGTCGCCCAGCTGGACAGGTTCAACACTGTGTTGAGTGACCTTGCCAGAGGCGTCACCTTTGACGTCTTCGTAGCCCATGTTGAAGGATAGATGAAATAATGAATCTGAGTAATTAGCTGAACAAAGCGCTTGAAACGAGGGCAGACAAGCGCATGATATACCAGTCGATCAAGCGGTGCAATCCGAAAGTGAAGACATTTCTTATCTCAGCGTGCATATCTCGTCGAACAAGAAAATAGGCCAGAACCTCGAAATTTTGCAGAGCGTGAGTATCTCAGCGCGCCACTTTACTCGATGGCCTTACTCGATCGGAGTATTCGACCGCGCCGCCTTACTCGATAGCCTTACTCGATAGCTAGTATCGTTCCTTTCATACTTGCTTCTGTCCGGGGCTTATGCAGCCGATTGGACGCGACGCATTGATAGCAAAATCGCAGCTGAGAAGCCAGAGATAGCAAGGGTCCCGGTTGGTACACGTCGAGGCGTTGGAAGTATAGATAAGAACCCTCGCACCTCCGCAGCATCGCTTCCCCCGGATCCCTTCCACAAAGACCTAGAACTAGTCTGGAACTCAAGAGCTTAGCCTGGACGCCGAACTGCAGAAGCCCGTCATAGGAACTTTTCCATGGTAGTCGCATCTGGCAAGAGTCCGAAAATTTTTGACAGGACGCTAGCGGCTCACGGTAGCGCAAGATACAGCATCTGGTCTTGAAAAGCTCATTGAGTTTAAAGCCGGAACATCCGTTGCTTGAGTAGTGGTGCGATTAGGCGTTCGCCGTAGAGCTTATGAGGCGTCAGAGATGCGTAGACTTGTCGAAATTGAAAGAGTGAGCAATTCCTCGGATACCGGATGTTTCTGCTCTTCATGCCGAGCATTCTCCGGAAGATGGTTTCGCGACAAGGTGCTCACGCGACAACAGCAACGAGCATCGGTGCTCTTATGACTTTTGTATGGTCGTCTTGTCTTCCTTTGGGTATATGTAGGAAGTCTTCTGTCGACGACCATCCTGGGCGCACGCGATGTTCTCAGCAATCATGCCTGCTTGAGAATGTCTTTGCGAAAAATGGAAGCCGCAACCCCATTTGGACAATCGTTCCCCGACAACGCGTTGTGGTAGTAGAGTCCGGCGAAATGTCTTTATAGTATTTGAAGATTGGTTCATCCTGTATATCCTCTATTTGCATCAAATCGCAACATCACGGAATCGCTAACAGTACGTTTCTCTTGTGTCGGCACTGCGGTGTCGAATTCCGCTTCTTCGACGGTCGCGATTAACTTCTTCTCAGTGTCTGGAAATCTCGTTCCTCTTACCATCATCAAGGGCGCAGGCCATGAGTTCATTCCATTCCCTGCTGGAGAGAATGCTACCGTCGCCGACTTTCATTCGTAAGATATGTGGCTTGATTCGAGATATCCCAGATCTGACACGACCAAGCATCCGCACAAGTACAACCGATTCGCCATCATACTTGACATCAGGATTCTACAAGATTGAAAAGGGCAAAGCTTATCCTCTGCACTATACCTGCGAGGAGACCAAGTATGTGATCAGCGGGCAAATTGATGTGCTGGATGAAGCCACTGGTGTGACGCATCACTTGGTACCTGGAGACTTTGCTTTCTTCTATGTTGGAAGCAAGGTGCAATTCTCGACAAAGTCAGCTGGTCTGGCCTTCTATGCTGTGACAAGACCTGTCAAGGCTGCACACCCAAATCTTGCTGGCAGAGAGGAGGATGTCAAGTCAAAGTCGAAGTTGTAAAACCGAAAATAAAAAATTGCTGTGGGGATAACCCTGTTACCAAAAAGAAATCAACCTTCCAGCCTCCGGCACGTATGATAGACTTGATACGAACATCAAAAATGTGGAAACATACAAGTAGAAGATTGCTCTTAGCATTTTGTGCTATTCAAAGCATGTCACAAGGCGTTGTCGTCGACTGTATGAGTCTACGGGTGTCCCACTTGGCTGAGGGCACAGAACAACATTCATTCCACACCGCATACGGCAACATTGGTCTTCTTCGAGTGATGATCCATTAACCTGGCGAATCACGTGTTTGACTAGGGACGCAGCAAACATACAGCATTCACAAGATTGATGAACGATATATTCTTGACGAAGAGTGCTCGTTGTTCTTTGAATGACCTTGGTTGCCTTTTGGAGTAAGCACATCCGCGCTCCGGGCGAATGGATTGGGGTTGGTGCGGGGTAATGGCTCCCCAATGCTCAACCATGCCCCAACCAGCCGCTCGTTCATCTCCACCTGTTCTCCAAACACCAGCAACGAGCCGACATGTCAGAAGCCCCAGAATCCATAGTCTCCACGAACAAGCGTCGGAAGGTCGACACTTCTGTCGGAGGCGGCAATGCACGAGTGTGTCCCCATTGTGGACGGACCTTCAAACGAACCGAACATCTGTCGCGCCATGTACGAACCCGTAAGTGCGCCAGTTCATGCTTGAGCGGGATGTTTCGTTCATAGCGATGTAATCAGATACCAAGGAGAAGCCTTTCTCATGCAACTGCGGCGCTTCATTCGGGCGACGAGATCTCCTCACGCGACACCAGAGAGTGAGTGGGCATGACCCGAACGAGGGCTTACCAGTCGCTACATCGATCAGAACCGATGCATTTCAGAAGCCGCAAGATCCACCGAGCGAGGAAAGCGGCTCCGGTGATTCAATACATGTAGCTGCTCCTGCCCTTGAGCTGCAAGATCTTGCACGGAAGAATTCGCATCCTCAAGTGACGGTACTTCATCAGACTGCCTTTGTGCCGCCTATCGAGCAGCCACAAAACTCGCTCCAAACCAGATATTACGATGCAGCATCTCTGCCAACACCATTGCCAGGCATCAGTGATATTGTGAGTTCAGCCGATGCTGTGTCATCCTTAGACCTAGCGGGCATCGACCCTGATATGCACTTCCGCGATTTTGCAAGTTTCCTTGATGGCGTTGGCCTGTGTGTTGATTGGAGTCCGATCCTCGAGAGACTCGAGGAACCTGTCGACTCGACAGCCATTAGGGAATTGCAACGACCTACACCTTCCAGTATGGATGTGCGGACACGAGCTGGATCGCCATTCAGCTCATGGCTACCATCAGCTCCTACCAAAGACAGACCGACAGAAAATGTCTGTGATTTACCAAGTAAGTTCTGAGACCACGCCATGACTTATCAATACTCACCCCAACAGATCCTCGTGCTGTTGATCCAGAAGCTAGACGTTTTGATGTGACGGAAGAGCAACGTACCAAGCTCGAACGCACGATCAGCTTGTCTCTCCATATCATTGACCCAAACTTTCGACTACCGTCCCGTCATTCTCTGACTAGGTACATCAAGTCTTTCTTTGGTGGCTTTCATCCTCACATGCCATTCATACATGTCTCAACCTGGCGGCTTGAAGATCATCCAGTCGAGGTCATCTTTGGCCTCGCCGCGATTGGAGCGCAATATTGTTTCGAGAAACGAGCGGCAGAACAACTCTTCTTCGCAGGCAAGGCTCTCATTATGCACAAGTTGGCGGAGTCATCAGAGAGTCATGATTCTCATGCAAGCTCGCATGCAGTCGAAAGTGATAGTCATCATATCACGAGCATGACAACCAAGTCGTCCTCTATTGAGAATATTAGGGCCCTACTCACGCTCATGGGCTATGCAACATGGGACGCCAAACCAGCAATGGTTCGTCAAGCTTTTGCAGTACAAGAGACTCTGACGCAATACCTCAGAAGTGAGGGGTTGCACGAAGTTGCAACGTCAGACGCAGCTTTACCACTCGATCAGGAGTGGCATGCATGGATCGCAGAGGAGTCTACTCGTCGTACAAAGCTGGTTGCATTCTCATTTCTCCACACACACAGCATCGCATATGATGTGTATCCTCCTCTCCGAAGTAATGAGGTGGGACTTCGTCTACCCTGTTCGACTCTGGAGTGGAACGCTTCGTCGGCCGTGTTATGGGATGCAGCAAGACGAGCCATTCCCAAATCACAGCTATATTTCAAAGAAGCTTTGTCTCTTCTGTTGGACCAGAAGAATGCGCCTGCTAGACTCGATCCGATACCTACACCTCTTGGAAATTACGTTCTCCTACATGGGCTGATACAGAGGATTCACATCGTCAGAGATCTAAGCTTGCCAGTCATGAGTGATATGGCAGCTCTTCCGCCTGAAGAAGTAGAGAAGCTCGAGTAAGGAATCATCAAATCTCCTTAACTATCGTGGCGCTAACCTTCTGTTATAGACGGGGCTTGCGATGCTGGACTTCAGGCTGGCAACAGGCACCAGAATCTTCACTGGATCCAAACAACGAGAACGGGCCAATTCCTTTCACTTCGAGTTCATTACTTGCCCTGGCATACGCTCGTATCTATTTGAACCTCGGCCCATATCGACAACTCCAATCCCGAGATCCGCAACGCATTGCCAGAGCTCTAGGACGATGCCCTGAGATTGATCGCAGTGAAGGTGTCATCGCAGCTCTACTCTATGCTACACATATGCTCGGTATACCAGTCAGACTCGGTGTTGATCGAGTCGCAAAGAGTCAAGCATTCTTCTGGAGTGTCAGGCATTCTCTAGCCAGCCTGGATTGTGCAATACTATTAAGCAAATGGCTTTTTAAACTTACACGTAGTGTAGCGACACATCCTCTGAATGGTGCGTACTAATCAGAATGTTACGATATCCATGTACTGACAACATTTCAGACAGCGAAGAACGGATTCTATACTGGGTCAAGTGTATCGTTGAAGAAGCATACGCAGTCGTTGACTTTGACGAGGAGCCGCCCGAGGCCATAGATTATCGCAACACTGATGACATTGCTCTTGCCGTGCTCAAGATTTGGGCGCACTTCTTCAAGAGCAATTCTCAATGGCCGTTCATTAACATCATCGGGCAAGGGTTGGCGATGTATCGGGGCATGTTGCTTCAGGCTAAGGTCTAGAAATATGGCGCAAGCGCTGTTCGCTTGCTCGTAATGGAAGTGCAACCTTCTTCTAAGTTCAAACTTCAGCCTGCCCTGGTCAGAAATGCTGAAGACAGCATAGCCCGGAAGCTTGTGAAAGTTCAAGGTGATCTTGGCCATGCGTTGAACGGATGAAACACCGCCCTCGACAGAATACGGATCACCGTCGACAGACCGCAAATGTATGAAACTGTCTCAACCGACGCAAGTCAATCGTGGCGTAGCCCAAGCAGTGCACGAGAACGTGTGATCTGGTTCACGCCACCAATAGATGATCGACAAGGAGCTGAGATATCTCCAAGTATCTGGCGTCTATCTCCTGGGTGAGCATAGTTTGCAGCTATCATTTGACGGGATTGTAGGTCAAGTTTGTAGTTGCACATGCTGACTGTATGATCCCTTTGCAGAAGCATACCCAGTCTTGCTGAGGTCCGAATTAATCATACACTTGTGATTTGGCCCGATTACCTTCTCCACTCTGATTTCTTGATCAACAGCCTCGCAGCAGCCGCAACCTGTGGTCAAAGCTAGCTGCACATCGATGCAAGCTACAACTCTGTGAAGCTCAAAAATCTATTTGGCAATGGCAGACTCCCTTTCATCTGTCTTGGCATTCTTGCATTGGTTGTTATTCTTGCTGGAATCCCTCTAACGTTATTGCCTACGAAGCTTACAGCAGACATCGAGTCCCTGGTAATTTCACGCTCACGAGTCTAAGCGATGATATTACTGCCCGGAGTTCTGGAGGATTTTCAAGCTCATCTCAACTTTGGGATAGCAGTGACTACGGTTACAACTCCAACCAGACGGCCAGCTTTGCAGTTCAACTCATCGATTACTTGACTGCGATGACCCTGCAGAACACCGCCCTGACTGAGGGACCGGCAGCAGCCTACATTGATATCAATGCCACCAGGAACTTACTCACTCTCGATCCATCTATCCGCAGATTGTATCACGTGGCAGCCTATCGCATAACACCAGAATGCAATGCCGTGGCTCCAACTACTCTAAACATAGTAATGATGACTGTTTTCGTTGGTATAACACTACGGCCGAGACTATGTGATTCTGATGGTATGACGGTATGCAATGATGAGCTTGGGGCGTGAAGTTTGAATAGAGTTAGTATCGGCAGGATGCCACCGGTTACAGCGCTGTGAGGTGTCAGGGCAAGAAAGGATCGCGGCCGAGATCCGAGTTGGCGGAGCCAATGACTCACTCCGGGCGCGCAATTCCTTGGCTTGCAGAACATGAGCCTAGTAACCAAGGCGCGCAGAAGTCTGTGATCGTCCTCAGCGATCGTCGACCAAGACCGATCGTTTATAACCTGTCTGAAGAACCTCTCATTAGTCAGTATCATCTAATTACAGACCTCCGCATCCCTTGGTGCGACCCATGTCGGAGTGTCAATGATAGACTTGTGTTCCTACTAGCTCGCCAGATCTGCAAGCTTGGCAAGCTTGATGCACCTGGCAGGTCAGGAACATCTGACGTTGTGAGTAGGAGATCTTCCGCGGCATTGAGAATCGCCAGACCGAGATCTCGATCAAACTCTTACGGTGCGAGGACTGTGATATTTCATGGTGAAGTAGCTCGATGGACCAGTCGCGACCCTTCGACTCCAGATATCTAGGATGTATGGACACTCCTAACCCCATCGAGAAAGTCGATTCAGGAATACACACAGCAGGAGCATGATGATCGACGGAACTGATGATCAATCATGAGTGATGACTAGGTGGTTCATCGCGATTCATGACGGAGGCCTGACCGCGCCAACCTCATGGCCCAAACTGGTAGTACATAATAATGCACGAGTCGCCAGAAAGCCACCCGCCGTGTACCGGAAGCATATAGAGATCTGCAATAGATCTTGAAGTCGAGGCGAGTACGAGCTTGGCACCAAGAGGCGCCAAGCACTAGTTTGTTCTGAGTGCCCACCGTAAGCATGTTTCTTGAAGGATGCGCACTAGTGTACTTGCGCCCGTAGTTGCTAGGAATCTGCCTCAGTGCGATCAGGATCCACCGTTGGAGCGTACAGTGAGTGCCAGTGCTCAATAACAACAGGCTCGACGAAGCCCCCATCTACCTGGCTTTTTAGATCTCTCTGACTTTTCACTTCACACTTCCAATTCCAATCCACTCAGCATGACACTTTCATTCTCGTTGCTTAGTACTTGCTTGCTAATGCCCATCACTGTGCTGGCTTCCGATTCAATCCTCAGCCGTGCAACCTGTTCAAACTTCAGCACGCAGAGACAAGCATACACTCTGCCAGGCCCTTCGCCGTTCATCATCAGCACTGGAGTGGTTTGCAGCGGCAGCAACCCCTGTGATGTTCCGGTTGGTGGCTTCGTCACTGTGAACCGCTTTGTAAACGTCTCTGGACTCGATGATGGCACCGTCCCCGACCTTTTCGCTTTGATTAGCTCGTCAGATCCTTCAGTCGACTTCACAGAATCTATGAGCAACAACATCTCATCAGTTTCGACCCAAAGAATCCAGAATGGTACTGCCGGATACGTGGTCTTCACGCCAAACTTCCGCTGTGTATCAGGCACACTTAGTGGCTGCCCTAGTGGCAGTGCAGCTTTGACAGATGGAACCTTTATCGAAGCTTGTGCGCCAATTAAAGACGGCGAGGGCTCTGATGATATCTCTGGCACCATCAACCCTGTGAAAACAGATGAAGCCACGGCCAAAGCTGTGACCTGTAATCCAGCCAACGTTAGCAGTGCAGCTGATGCGCCGAACAAGGCATGCACTAGTCAGAAGGAGGGAGATACAAGTGGAGCTATGCGTATAGCTACATTGGGAAGCGCTGTCATGGCAGTTCCTCTGGTCGCTTTCATGGCCTCCGTTGTCAATATCATCTAGGGACCGCTCGCTCTCTGCGAGGATGCTGGCTGCAAGCTCGATGGAGAGTGATGCCCGAATATCGGAGGGTGTCATTTTGGGACGTAACAGATGAGGTGTGACGCCCTTCCCTCAGCAGGACTATCCCTTTTTGTTAACAAATACCAAGGCATATGGTTACAGTGGCAATCAGCTCTGACTGAGGCGAGCGACTTTGCCTATAGCTCTATAATGCAGGATCGCTCTTCGAAGCTTCACCTACTCAAATTGTGGATACAACCTTCTCCCTCTGAGCTTACTGCCCGGAAGTCTGATTAGATTGGTTAAAGAAAGGACGCATGAAGCGGCGCTCCTTTGCTCAATTGGCAGCTTCGTGCCAACCCCAACCTGTGCGGATGCGAGGTGCATGCAGCGACGGCGGACATTTCAGTTAGCGTGCATGATTTGCTTGATGCATAACCAGGCTATTCAACCAACTGCAGTTGTCACCAAGACGAGAATAAATAGAGTAGTCTGCAGCTTGCAAGCTAACCATCTTCTGCAAGAACAGTCTGTGAGGCGTTCGTGCTGTGACTGCACCCATTGAATTAGTTGTAAGCGCTAGATGATAATGCATCGAAGCGATGTGCAGCTGCTCATATTCCAAAAAGTCTAGGTATCAGCCTTGCCAGCTTCCGGGTACCAGGCTGTCCAAGCCTGCATTCGACGACATAATATCACGCTACAAAGATGTGAAGCCCAACACTTAGCTGCAGCGGTTCATATCTGGATTCGTCGATTTGTCAACAACCAGCCGTACCATGCAAGTCTTCAGCCGCGCCTGTTTCTCAGAAGACTGGATTCATCACGCAAACAGACATTCGGTTCCAGTTCGCCAATCAACGCATCTTGACTACGCCACTGTCATCAATCGAAAATCGAAAGATGACGACAAAACATGAATTGCTTGCCGCAGGTGTAGCGGTCTTGGATGAAGACTTGCAGAAAATCATACTGCTTCTATGCTTCGTGAATCAGACTGGGTACATCTCGAATGTGTCTTGCACAACAACCTTGCTCATGTCTCCCTTTTCTGTTGAAGCATCTCCCTGTTCTGTTGGAGCGTACCACATCACTTCAATCTCTTCATGATCTCTGCTAAGTCGTTGCCCATTACCCCAGAGCTGGAACCTCATATCTGCAGATCCCAAAAGAACTTTGAGAACAAATTGAGCACGCTTGTAGCGCGGTTTGAAATTGTACCTTGATCACATCAGTCATGGCTCGTTTGGGTGTGAATGCAGACGCACCACTGTCTGTTCTTCAACTTCATGTCAAGAGGATCGAGAACAGACTCGATGTGACAGACCGACTTTACGGCATGGTGCTTTATGCTCTTTGGAAGTTGTGCAGCTGGAAGACTACACATCACAACCTGGGTCCTCCAAGGAACTGTCTCTTGACCGAGATTGATCTTCAATCGATAGGGCTCGCTTATGCCTTGTTCGACAGAGACCTTCTGACCCTGCAACGCAACATTTAGTAGCATATAGCACAGCGTAGAGGACAACATACCTGGCGAATGAACCAATGAACTTGCTTCTCTGCCCACTTCTTACCATCTCTCGGATCTATAGATACGTCTTCTCCGATGTGCTGAGCCGAATCATATGGTAGGCGAACAACCAATCCATAACTGTTCCGACAGCACTTTTCAGGATAGACACCGCTAGTCCCTTTGAGCTTCTGCACACGGTCCATAACAAGTCCGCGAGTCACAACTAGTTGTCTGGCTCAAGTCAGTGCACAAATTCCACTGATGCTTCATGATCTTACAGTTCAGGTGCAGTCAGGATCTTGATATCCCGAGCATTGTAGAGATTCATGTCTGCATTCTGTTCGTAACGCTTGCGCATACGCTGCTTCACGTAGGGCGAACTCCCGAGTCCCCCAGAAAGTATCAAGTAGTTCTAGATCAGATTAGAGACATGGTGAGAAGTATCAGACCTGGGTCTTTGACTGACGATACTCTCGCGTGCATGAGTGTTCTGAAGTTGCTTAATTTGGATATCAATGAGTTCGAAGACCTTCTCGATGCGCTCATCGAAGACTCGCTGGAACTCTTCCCTGTCTTGCGTGAGAAGACGAGGTATCGTCAATTGCAGTGCGGAAAGTCTTACCTCGTGATCCTCATTCTTGAGTCTTGAATGTTGCTTTCGGGAAAGTCGAGACCAATCGCAAGAGTGGGTACAGTAAGGAAAAGATCGAGTCCTTCTTGTGCATCCAGGCCGAAGCTACCTTTGAATGTTTGGAAGCCGGAAGAGTTGACCATTTTCTCAGCTAGAAGCTCAGCAGGAGCAGAGAGATGCCTCTGGATGTGTTCAAGTCGGTATACAATGAGTTCCTCGATCTTGAAGTCAATAAGTGTCGACCCGACTGCGGTACCTTCTACCCAGTCAAGGGGTTCGATTTCGTGCTGTCCAGGCTCTGTGTTCTTGATTTTGAGGATATTGATGTCGGTCGTGCCTCCTCCTGCATCACAGACTAGAAACACGTCGCCTTTTTCATATCCTTGCTTGGAGATACAGACTCGATTAGAGGTTCGGCGTCGAGTCTTGCCCTCTTGTAGACAGTCAACACAGACACACCATGCCCGACCGTTGTCTCTGGTTGTCAGCCGCGCCGATCGTTCGAATCATCCACAACAGATACACCAACACTTGGTGGGTGGCAGGTGTAGACTATACTACATGTCAGCTGCTGCAGGAAGGTCAGTGTATTGAGGCAACGATCTGCGACGGTTTCGGTCTTCGCCGGTGTACTCAGCGCCTGATTCTTCTGGGCGAACGTTCTACCGTGTGGCTCGATCGTTTGCGAGGGCGCCCACGATCCCAACGAAAACTTCTAACAGGAGGTCGGGATCCTGGAGGGGAAGCCGAACGAGCATATACTGGTCTTGTACGTATAAAACCTCACCGTCATACTCTTGCATGACTGACACTCGATCAAGAAACCAGAGTAATATGGCTTCACGAACAAAGGCATGAAGTGGCTCGAGAAGAAAGGCTGCGCCTGCACAAAGGGTGCACCGAACCTGGCAACCTGCTCTTTCGGGACTCGCGTGCTCTCTCATCGATCGTATAGTAAAACTCTGCGTCTACACATGCTACATGCCTGTGATAGAGAGGCTCCACAAGAAGTGCTCGATGAGAGAACCAATGGTCTAGCACTTGACTGATGAAAGCTGCAGATCAAGAAACCAGTTCCCGTACTCAGGTAGTGAGCGAGCAAGTATTCGAAGACCGGGCGCAGCGTGTTAGGACACAAGAGGTGTGGCCAACCTTCTTTTCTTCACATCTTATTCTCTCGACTTGTTTGTAATTCTGTCCTGTGCTCCGGCTTAGTGTGTCTCTCTTGCATTGAACAATTTACCAAGCAGAACCTAATCCTCTGCTGCCGAAAACCGCGGACGCGAAATTAGAACAGATCGTAAAGCTCCAGGACGATAGTGTCGAGAACGTCAATGAGACGGCCCGGAAGAACGTCTACAAGTGCATTGAAATGGTAGTCCCTATCAAGAATCTTAAGGTACGTCTCTCGCTTTCATAACATGTCCTCGAAACGTACATTCCATCGACACCCAATACCTAGAGATGATCGAGTACCACACCACCGCCTCGCACCCGCCCTTGATTCGAGAAAACCTGGCCAGAACGTGACTCCAGATCTACATCCCTTGAGAGCGGTCAAGAACGCCTCCGACTCGGATCTGGCATTCAGTCAGCTCGCGTCCTACTTCTGTCCCCCTTCCAAAAACTCCGCTCGCCATGAGAGATACCCACTCTCCACTGTCTGTTCCTGAGATGGACAAGTCCAAGCATCGTGTCGGTATGCGTAGGCGTATCTGGGGTTTCCTGCGTGGGTTGGAACGTGATATGTAGGAGGACATGGAGGGGACCAAGCAAGAAAAGGGATAAACAGTTGACTGGACCCTGTGTATAGCGTCTCAAAGTTCGATGGAAATAAACTCTTTCTCTCATCTTTGTTCCTTCCTTTGCTTGCCTTTTATATTTACCTTGAACAAAGACATATGAGGTATGAAAGACTTACTTCTCAAAAGTTTTACTGGGATAACAACTCTTTGATACTACCTTGACGTCCCATGTATGTTCAAGGGTGCATACCAATCCCAAGGATACGAGGATGTATGCCAATCCCTTACCTTCACTCATCTCGAAATCCTTACCTGACGAACCCAAAGCATCAATCCATCACAAGGCCGCCGTTCCTTATCCAAGAGCGATCAGCTGTGAGCAATCTCGCCATCCACGCTTGCATAAACAAGCTCAATGTCGTGCCAACTGTACAGATAGTAGCCCAGATCACTCTCGGAGATGTCTGAAACTCTGCAGACAATCTGATGCTCTGCATCAGGGCCCCACTTCACCTCACAAAGTCCACCATCAATCATCTTCACTTCCATACGACCGATAGAGCAGGACCAGGCCTGGGCGCCTGTACCTTTCCAGAACACAACTTCCCACTCGTAAGACTGAGCAACAACAATGTCGATACCGTTCACAGTTGCTGAGGTCGCTCCATTTGTCAGCGAGACTATGATAGCGATCGGTGTTGAAGCTGAGAAACGACCAAGCTCAAAGGCTTTGGCCAGCTCGGGCTTCATGAGTGACTTCGGGTCGTGTGTGGACAGTGCGAGGTATGCGTGACAAGCATTGATAACTGGCTCATCTGTAATGTTTTCATTTGTGACAACCTCTCTGACCAGACGATACCATTCGGCGCGATCATGCATGACATATTGCATGCCCAAGACTGCCAGATGTATGCATGCCATGCTGTGAACAAACTCGAGGTACAAAATTCTGGTCATACGAATCAGGTAGTCGAACGCAAACAGAACAGCCGTGTCGCTTGCCTGACGCAAGCGGATATCTTGAAGGAGGCTGCGTTCCAAGTAGATCATCAGATCCAGCTCGTGGCCAATGCCCGTGGGAAAGGGAAAGGCACCAACGTCTTCCGAGATCAAGTCCAGAAGGAACAATTCTCGCCGCCTAAGCTGAACAGGTTCATCGAAGCGATCGTAGGAGGCAAGATCTTCCCGGTCATGTCTCTTGTAGAACGACCGTTCGAGATAATCATTCGTAAGGTAAGACTTTGCAACATACGACTGGGCGAAGCAGTATTGTGGTTGCTGCTTGAAAGTAAACTTGTCGATAGACGAGATGGCGGGAGGCAGAATCTTGATCAGGACAGAGTTGTCGATGTTGATCTTGTCGTTGACCTTTCCCCTTATGATACTCTGAAGAGCTTGAGACCATATTTCCTCGATGTGGGATTCTGTTTGTCGAATCTGTTGCTTTTTGTTGACGAACCGGATGATTGGATTGCTTGATTGAGATTCGAAGTCGGCGCACTTGGCTCGGAGATCATCTCTCTCTTTCTTGATCGCAAGGAGATCATCCTCAAACTTCTTCTTTTCTTCCTTGCGTTTTTCGTTGATCATAGCAATGTCTCTTTCGAGGAGATACTTCTCTGATTCCGACGTGACATACTTGTCTCTGCCCGCACGAATCTCCTTCTCAAGCGCGCGTTTTGTGTTCTTGTGGTCAAGTTGTGCCTTCTGATGAACAGTCTGCAGATCGATATGTGCAATTTGTGCCTTTTCGTGGGCAAGTTGCACAGAGGCCAATTGAGTTGCGAGAAGAGCATTTCTTTCATTGCCCTCGCGAACAATGTCTCTGAGAGTGCCTTCTGTGTTTTGGTGGACCCGTAGAACCCTCTCATGGGTAGCCTGCGCATTGCGGTGTGCAATCTGTGCTCTCTCATGGGCGAGTCGTGCAGAGGCAGCTTCCTCGCCAACTCGAAGAAGACCATCACGCTCTGCTCTGAGACGCTCAACCTCGCCTCTGAACCACATAGTGTTGGCGTCCAGGGATTGACGACTCTCCAACTCAAGCATCTCCAAGCGAAGATGGAAGAAGACCGAGTCGATTTGTGCTGTGCTGTAACCAGAGGTGGGCATCTTGCCGACGTACTTTTCAAACATGGTGGCTGCCCAGAATGGGTGTTGTGGGTAATAGCCAAATGATGGCGGCGCCATCGAAGGACGAGAGTGCTGAGCACTGCTCTGATTGTCCATGATGGAGTAGTATTGCTATGCGCTCGATAAATGCTAGAGAATTGATGATGGGTTGTTTCTCGCGATATTCTCGGTGTTTTTCGCTTGTGTGCGCGGCGTCTCTTTGTCGCGCTTTGTCGCCGAGCGCACGGACCATGCTGCAGAAACTGCCTTCCAGACGGAGAATGGATGACGGACGAGTTTCGGCCGTCTCGTGAACGAGGATAGGGTGAACTTCTACTGATAAGAAGGAGGGGCTCTAACCACGACCCCGCATGGTGGGGTAGCGACGATCTCCGATAGGCCGACCCGTGTGATATCAGCTTTACAATTATGTCTTTACCACTCTTCTTCTTCTCTTCTTCTGCTCACCTCGAGATTGATCGCATACGACACGAGATCTTGCAGTATATCAAGATTAACAATGACTAAAGACTGGAAACAAGTCGCTGAGGCGAAAAAGCAGCGTATCAACGACTCTATACCCAAGGAATGGCTTATCGATACTTCTGCCCTTGGTGCGAACGTCATGGACGTTCCCGCGACTTGCGGTCTCCTCAGCAAGTCTGAACTCGACATTACAAACTCTTCAGCTACGGATCTGGTGGCCAAACTGGCTGATGGCAGTCTCAAAGCTATTGACGTCACCACTGCATTCTGCAAGCGAGCAGCCATTTCGCATCAAGTCACTAATTGCGCTCTGGAATTCTTTCCAGAGATGGCATTGAAGCAGGCCAAGGAGCTGGATGCATTCTACGAGAAGAATGGACGTACCGTCGGACCTCTTCATGGATTGCCCATTTCACTCAAGGATCAATTGCGTGTCAAGGGTTTGGAGACGACCATGGGCTATGTTTCTTGGATCGATAAGTACGATACTGAAGACTCTGTACTCACTGCTCTGTTGAGAAAGGCTGGCGCTGTCTTCTACATTAAGACTTCCGTGCCCCAAAGTCTCATGGTTTGCGAGACAGTCAACAACATTACTGGTCGCAGTGTCAACCCTCGCAACAAGGACTGGTCTCCCGGTGGTTCATCTGGAGGTGAAGGCGCAAATGTCGGTATCAGAGGCGGTGTCATCGGTGTTGGCACAGACATTGGTGGTTCCATTCGCGTACCTTCTGCCTTCAACTTCTTGTACGGAATTCGACCTAGTCATGGCAGAATGCCTTATGGAAAGATGGCAAACAGTATGGAAGGACAAGAGACCGTTCACAGTGTTGTCGGTCCTATCGCTCATTCCGTTCCTGACTTGCGCTTGTTCGTCAAGTCAGTTCTTGAGCAGCAGCCATGGAAGCACGACTCGAAGGTTATCCCCATGCCTTGGCGACAGTCCGAACATGATGCTGCTGTACAGAAGATCCAGAGCGAGAAACTCACTCTTGGTTTCTTCAACTGCGATGGCGTCGTGATGCCTCATCCGCCTATCCTTCGTGGCATCGACAAGGTTGTTTCGACTCTACGAGAGAATGGCCACACGCTTGTCGACTGGAAGCCATACAAGCACGATTATGCTGTGGACCTCATTCAGGGCATCTATGCTTCAGATGCAGGAAAGGATATTCACACCGTTCGCTCCCAATCAGGCGAGCCTGCGATTCCCAACATCAATGACTTGGTCGACCCAACCAGATCTGGTGCAGATATAACCACACTTTGGGATGTTCAGCTCCAGAAATGGAAGTTCCAAATGGAGTACCTGGAGAAGTGGAATGAGATGGAAGAGAAGCTTGGCAAAGAAATGGATGCCTTTATTATGCCCATCACGCCAACTGCTGCCATCAGACATAATCAATTCAAGTATTATGGCTATGCAAGTGCAATCAACCTGCTCGACTTTACAAGTGTGGTTGTTCCTGTGACCTTTGCAGACAAAGCATTGGACAAGAAGAATGATAATTTCAAGCCCATGAATGAGATGGATAAACAAGTTCAAGGAGAATGTGAGTTGATCAAAGAGTGTTCCCTTTTCATGATACTGACAAGACTACAGATGACGCAGAGGCATATCACGGCGCACCTGTTGCGGTACAGATTGTTGGCCGTAGGCTTACTGAAGAGAAGACTATGGCCATTGCCGAAGAGGTTGGAAGACTGCTAGGTAATGCCATTACTCCATAAATTAATTAGAAGTTTATTGTGATGTCGCAATGAGAGCGTTATCAGTACAAGCACGAAAGAATGAAACATAGTGAGATATAGTATCATGCAGAGAACAAACTCTGCGACAGTGTGATACTCCTAAATTCACCATGTCCACCGGGGCACCATCGAAATCATTGCCTGCCACTGTAGCATACCTCAGGCTCGTGGCAATAAGCGTAAACCAAGTCGTTTCCAAACAGAGACGACGAAGCCAGATGGAGTCGTAGCAAATCATGCGAGCAGTACATACAGGGCAAGTGAACCAGCGCACTCCATACACAACTTCAGGAATAAGAAGGTTGTCCATGGATCTGTCGGTCTCGAGCTCCACAGGATTCACAAGAGACCTCCATATTGCGAGTGCGGATCGAAATATTGTAAGAATACATGGTTGATCGCGCCCGACTTGTATCAGACTTTGATTTCCATAGTCAGTTGTTTGAGACGATACGCAAAAGTGATTGTCCAAGGACTGCACTTGCGGATACATCCACCCTGAATTGAAAATTGTTGCTTTGATGCTTTCACATTGGAATATGTCGCCAAATAGTCAAGGACAAAGGATGGCCCTCTGTATGAAGAAATTCTCAGTACAAAGTCACAATAGAACAAGGAAACAATGGGTCCTTCGAATCCACTGAACAGAAGCTGTGATGGAAAAGTCGCAGCTCCGCAGTGATCGATATAGTTTCTAAGCAGTTGGGGATCGCTCTGATAGTGCTAGGACGTTTCCCATCTGTACCTGATTAGAGATCCAGTGGGGCCTTGAGCTCCAAGCAAAGCATTTCTCTTATGGTTTCGAATTCTCGATACTGAAAGTTTTAACTCAAGGATAAGCACATCTGTGACACAAGAAATGGGAGATGCAAGCAGAAAAAAATTAATTGATCAATTACGGAAACCTCATCTAATAGCATACTGAACTTTCTTACCTCTCTCAAAGCAACTTAGTAATTGCTGTAGTAGAGACGACAACGGTGACACCAGTAGCAAGCCTGGCCAGGATGCCATCTCAGGTACTGGAAGCATCTACCGCATGTAGGTGCAGTTGGGTGACGGGCAACAACGCCAGTCGAAACGGAAGAAGTAGCGTGGCTGCACATTGTTTCGTGGTAAGAGGGTAGTGTACTGGTGAAAGGTGTATGATGGAGAGGGAAGTAGCAGGCAATGTTGAGAGGTATATGTGTGTTTCTTGGTCATTAGAGATACTTTGATTGCTGAAGCATTGGCTCGTCACTGGGCAAAGGGATACAAAGGGAGACTGATCACCTCGAACAATAGACAAAGGGCTGTCAAAGAAGTTTGACCTGTCTCCTGAGCTTTACAAGTGCTTTTAACGTATCTTGTTCTTTGTTGTTATTGATCTTTTACCTAGATTCATGAAAGAGGTTGCTGGCGAAGAATGGTTCCTTTGTCCCTCTTTGTCATTTGCCAATATACAAGACAATACCATTGTCACTGGGAGGCTGCTCGCCTGATTGTGTGTTTAAGGATATATAACACCCATTTCGGAACCACCTCTCAAGTACCTCTTCCGTCCATATTCAAGCATCATCCTTCGGCATGTACGTTCCCGATCCTCCCACTCCCACTACTCCCACGACACGTGGAAAACCGATCACATACACTTACACAACTACAGAGACCACGACTAGCGACCTTTTCATCTTGTCCTTGCACCGCACGATCACGGTCAGTATCCTCTTTTCCTTTACAGACTCTAGCACACTCCAGATGCGTACGACTGTCTCTATTGAAAACAGTAGATATATCGAGGCTTTGCCCACAAACCCATGCTGTCCGGATGGCTGTGCTAGACACGCTTGGTGTGACAACATGGAAAGATTTAGATGTGTGATTTGCGGAAAGTACTGGTAGAAGTCTGTAGCGAGAACATGGACTCTTGGGGTTGTCATCGGTTGAGAACAGGGGTAGATAATCTCTTTGAGAGAGGTTCAAACGTTGTAGACAGGGTATCAAAGCACAATAGGTGTACTATAAGTCAGATTCTGTTTTTCCTGTTTTTATGCTTCTTTCTTGCTTGCCTTTCCATTCTTTTTTATTCTTTCGCATGTGAAGATTTGCTACTCTAATCGCAGCGCTCTTTGTGATATGTTCCTTCGATGATCTTTTCAATATCAGCAAAAACCCTTAGACTAGGGCATCAACATGGACAGTTGGGCAGCAGAACAATAGGAATGATAGCAAGAACAAATATCACATGAGCGAGAAAAGAGCAGCGAAGGATGGCTTTCACAAGGCGGCCGAGATTTGTTCGATGGTCACAAACGCGACAGTCAGTCATATGAATCCTGCGGCACATCCTGTCATGACAAGAGATCAAATAGACAGCTTCATGAGTTCTCGGGCTGCCTATCCAAGGTCTGGTACAAAATCGAAGATATCGTTAGAAGCCATTTCGTTCGAGGAAGAATGCACTTCCTGAACCTGCTGTGTCACAAGCAAATCATCGAAGGCGCTACCACTGAAGTTGTATGACATGTCGCCACCAGCACTTGACGGCGTTGCTGCAGTCCTCATATCATTCGAGGCCAGGACTGTGACTCGTTCGGAAGCATCTACTAGAGATCTTGCGTGCCTCATGAAGTTCGCGCCTGCCTCCCCGTTCACTTTCAAAATCCATCGACAGGCTTTCAGCATCTGTCCGAGATTCGCCTTCTCGTCCGCATCCCCTGTTGTGGCTTCGAGGAGGCTACCCAAGTGGTATATCAATGCCGCACACTCAGGACTGGTCAAGTACCAGAATGATGCCAGGTGAGATGCTTGTAACCTGTTCAAAAAATCGAAGGCAGTGGTAAATCTTTCTTTTGCAGCATTGCGACATACAGTAACCAGTGTGGGATCCTGTCTTGGATATTTTACTAGCATCGTGGTAATATAGCGATGTATGCTTGCCTCGATCGCCAGATATGCAAGGCGCAGGTAGCCGACCGAGGAAAGCTTCATTGACGCTACGGTGTCATGTTTGAGTCTCTCTGGTAACACAAAGAACCAGTCTTTGAGTCTTATCTGCAGAGGTTTGATGCGAACCAGAAGGCCGACCAGGCCATGATCTTCAATACGGATAGAGCGCTGCGCACGTGGCGAGAATAGATCATCCAGGACATCCGATAGTATTTCTGCCAAGTCAGCCATGTGCATGAACACAAGCCTGCCCTTCTCCACTTCCGAACTTCCAGCAGTGTCGTCCTCGTCGATGTCAGGAAAATCCTCCTCATTCAGACGATCTACATCCCAAGTCGTAGATGATATCAGAGACGGACGCCCATACACCAGTGCAAGCCATTTATCTTGCATGGAAACAGCCCAACTCAAGCGTCGACGAAGGCTTTTTTCCCAATCCGGAAGATCCCATTCTCCAGCATCTAAATGCAGGCCAAGGCGATGTGCAAGCTGGACAAGCTGAGCTGTCATGTTTGAATGAGACTCTCCCGTGATGAAACTGAGCTCGTTCGTCTGTTCCTGAGATATCAACAAACATGCTTGAATAGTCGAGAGTTTTGCCCGTTGCATGGCCACGTGTAGTGATTCCATGGCAAGCTGTTTCAGAGGCTGTATTGGCGGCTTTTGTTTCGCGCTCAGTGAGTCGCTGTAACTCCAGTAACCCAATGCTAGAAGATATACAGCTGCCAAAAGAGGTGGAGAGAATTCTCGAAAAGATCGTGAGTACTTCTCGAGGAAGACCTCCTTGTGGAGAATCGGAAAAGCAGGGTGAATGATTCGAAAGTAAAGCTTTACTAGATCGGCTCCATGGCCTTGAACTGCAGCCTCAATCGCCTCCAAGACCGAATTCTCGTTGGAAGAGTCTGGTACACTAGCATCTGGGACAATCTCGAAAGCGTGTTGGGGATGAACATATCGAACCTTGATATTCATCTCTGATGGTCGCTGAGAAAGAGATGAGACTCCTAAGTCCAGACCGCATACATTCAAGGAGTTATTGATGCCAAGATACCGGCTATGATGGAGATTCTGAAGTCCCAAAGTGCGTTTCAAAAGTGTAGTCCCATCGGGTAAAGCATCGTATTCCTCAACACCAGTACCCGGTATTGTTCTGTTTGTACGAAAGTTCGACCGTTCAATGTGCTGACTGCCTTCAGTAGAGGATATAGTACGCTTCCTGGGTCGCGGAGTCTGCTCGTACGTGCAGGGCTGTTCATGAAATTGGCAAAGTACACATGATGTCGCTGATGCCTCAGTGTGACACCTGGTCTTTCGCTTGCGACAAGCATCGCACGGTCGCGTTCTTTTAGAACCAGGCATGATCATTCAAATTTTTCACTCACGCAATTGTCCTTGTGCCCGCGATTTGTTGACATCGAGCTCGGAATTCGTTGGCTTCAGTCGAGAAGAGCACGCGTCAGAGTGGAGCGGATTGGAGTTTGCCGAGCGATAGCGGCGACGTCCTAATTCGGAAGTCGCAGCCCCTGCAACCCTATCTATAACTCTGATCCAATCCACTGTGTCAACACCGTGTATGACTGGTACCTGATAAAACCACATTTGGATCACAATGATCTGATGCTATGCCCATAGAGCAATGATCCGATCAGAACAAGCTAGATTTGGCCTCTGTCAACCTGAATTTTGCGCTTTACACATTTGCTAAGCTTTTATGAACTGTTGTAAATTCGCATAAAGTCTATGTAGCTACAGATGTCTGATCGAAAATCCTTGCCACGTCAACTACCTTCCCATCCGTGCCCGATGCTCCTAGAAGTGTCACACCGAACGGTAACCTCTCACCCTCATTTTCTTCATAGTTACTCGAATGTACTGCAATTCCGCAAAGATCAAGTACGTTTGCAAAGTGCGTGAATTCTCCAAGTTTTGCATTAAGATCGATTGGATCTTCCTCCATTTCTGCAACAGTCGGATGACAAGTCGTCGTGGGAACCAGAAGTACATCGATCTTCTCGAACATGAGCGCAGCTTGACGCGTGTATATCGCTTGAGCATGTTGATCACGATAGACTTCCCACGGATTCGTGTTCCTCGCCATGGCTGCTTCGAAGAGCGCTCGAGTTGTTGGGTGCAAACTTTGCCTCTGTTCTTCGAGGAATTTGGACCCCGCACACTGCACACGTTCATTTATCAAGGCGCCGTCATAGAGCAGTCGACTGCCGCTCTCAAACGGTGTCCAATCAACTTCTTGACGAATACCTCCCAATGCTTCCAAGCGTTCGATGGCGAGATCGAAATGCTCACGATACATTGGTGTACAACTCGCGAGTGCGCTAGCAGGGGGCACTCCAAACACAAAGCCACCTTCTCGGAGACCACGAAAATCAACATGCCAAAGAGGCAAAGATTGCTGAGTTTTGGCAAAAGGATCCATCATATCTGGACCCTCATCTGCAACTAGCCACACCGCTCTTGCTTCATTCACAGTCGATGTCAAGATAGATATGGTGTCCAGACTTCTGCAAGCAGGTACCAGACCAGATGCGGATAGTGTGCCCTTAGTCGGTTTGAAACCTGTGATACCGTTGAACGCGGCCGGCACTCTACCAGATCCTGCTGTGTCGGTTCCCAAAGCGAACGTCACAAGACCTGCAGCAACAGCTACGGCTGAACCGGACGACGAGCCTCCAGAGATCCTCCTTTGGTCGTAGACGCTTCTAGGGTAGCCAAAAGGCGACCGGCAACCAGACAGACCAGCTGCGAGCTGATCAAGATTGGTCTTGCCAACAAATAGCGCACCTGCCGCAACCAGAGCGTCGACCACCTTAGCTGACTGTCTTGGTATGTAACTTGTTGCTTCACATGCGGAAGTTGTTGGCACACCCTCAACATCTATGTTATCCTTGACCGCAAAGGGAATGCCATACAAGGGCGGAAGAGGCTGATGTCTGTAACGCTCTTCCAACGCGTGAGCCGCCTGGAGCAACACCTCATCACTCTGAACGAAGGTCCAGACAGCAGAGTCTTTCAAGTGGTACTCCGAAATCCTCCTGCTTACATCTTTGACAACATCGGTAACAGTAATCTCAGCGTCTCTGTACTGCTGTTGCAAAGAGGATAGCGCCAAATCTCTGATATAGCCCGGTGGAGTCCTAGGTGGGGTGAGGTCTGAATCCTGGCCATAGGCGAGAAGGTCCTTGGAAGAACAGACGTAGCCGAAAAGACCGTCATAGGAACAGAGCATCCTCAAAGTGCTGTCGACAAACGAGGATTCGAAACCGGAGGTGCAGTCTGTCAGCACACAGCACTCAAACCCGCGATCAGAGGCTTCTCTGAAGGTCGTGTTGACGCAGCACTCCGTGGTCACACCTGCGATGAGAAGATGTGTGATACCTCTGGCAAGCAGCTTCCGATGCAAGGTCGTGTTCCAGAATGAGCCTTTACCTGGCTTGTCGATGATGGTTTCTCCAGGGAAAGGTTTGAGCTCATCGATGATATCATGACCATACTCGCCTTGGACAAGCAAGCGACCCATAGGCCCTTGATCTCCGATGCCGATGACATGGTGGCCGGAAGGGGCAGACTTTTGTCTAAGACGTTTAGAAGCCGGCAAGTCTGACAGATCAGGCTCATGTCCTTCTCTGGTGTGCACGACATGGATATTCATCTTTCGCGCTGCGTTGAGAACTGCTCGTGTCTGTGGCACGATACTTCTCACGCCTTCGAAGATGTCTTTGTTTCCACATTGTATGGCTCCATATCCACCTGCATCCAGGAAGTCCCGCTGCATGTCGATGATCACCAGGGCAGTAGATTCTGGTCGAAACTTGAAAGCGTACGGTCGAGCTGATGGAAGTTCCATCTTCATCTTTGAATCGGTCAGCATGTCGTATCGTCGTTTGTGCAAGTAGAATTGTGTTCCGCAGGCCTGATTCTGATTATAGAATACTTGAATTGCGATAGAACTTATGGCTCACGCCTGGGAACAGCTTTACTATATGCTTCGTGCCTTCTTCCACTGAATCCAGGGACGTATCAGAATTGCCAGGCGGCCAAAACAGCGTGCACTCGCTGGCGACACTTTCGCCGGCCGTCGGCGAAAGAAATACGGGCCGCGAGTTGAAAACGCTTATCTTCAGCCTCATTCCAAGCGGCACAATGATCGGCTCATCCCGATTCGGTAGTTCCGTAGCGATCTCCTGAGACCCCTGCCCCGCCATTTCTGAGATAGCGGGACAACACCCCGGAGAATGCCCCAGAGAACTATGATACGACATGTGCAATCTGAGATTCTTATCTTATCCAGAGGTTCCTTGGGTGGGATGGGCTATCTGCCCTCGAAGGTCACGATGATCTTTCTTGACTTTGAAGGGTAAAGCTATATAGATATATGGGACCTCATCACTGCGGGATGTAGTGTACACTACATTGTCTCGTGTGACGGACAGTCATCATGGCAGCCCTCTTCCAGCAGCGATTCGAGACCGCGAAAGCTGCAGTCAAGCGAAAGTCCAGCATTCAAGGCTGGGTCATTCCTAAGCAGACAACAACCTTCGCCGATGCAGATACATGGAGCAATATCGATGCTGATGTTACGCCTGTCGAACGACGTACCTGGACATCTCTAACCATCCTCGGCTTCTGGATCTCGGACGCTATCAACGCTCAAGGGTGGCAGGCTCCTTCATCTATCATCGCCGTCGGGTTGACCTGGCGAGAGGCTGTTTACTGCATCATCCTTGGTTGTCTGATTGATGTGGTCCCGCTCGTTCTCAATGGCGCTATCGGTGCACACCTCCATGTACCGTTCCCTGTCGCAGTACGTTCTTCTTTCGGATTTTATTTGGCCAGATTTGCTGTGGTTGTAAGGTTGACCACTGCTTTATTCTGGCACGCCATTCAAACCTATACAGGGTCAACAGCCATAACCCAATGTATTCGCGTCATCTGGCCTAGTTACCTTGATATCCCAAATCACATTCCAGCTTCGGTTGGTATCACCTCGCAACAGTTGATATCACACTGCCTGTTCTGGAGCATACAGTTTCCGTTCTTGTTGACGCCACCTCACAAGTTGAAAGCATTCTTCTGGTTCAAGGCGGTCGTCGTGATTGCAGTTTCAATAGCCACAGTCATTTATATGACACAGCTCGCTGGCGGAACAGGTGACATCTGGAAACAGGAGTACCAGGTATCTGGATCGAGACGCTCGTGGCTGATCATGTCCAGCTTGATGAGTGTTGCGGGTAGCTGGGCGACAATGGCTACCAACGTCGCCGACTTCACAAGGTATCTCAGAGATCCTAAGGGAGTATACTGGCAGGGTTTCTTCCTGCCTCTCATCTGTCTTGTTCTTGGACTGTTTGGCATCATCTCGACATCCTCGGCCAAAGTCGTCTATGGCGAGTATATCTGGGATCCCATTGGGCTTGCAGCTCAGTGGGAAACGCCCGGAGGAAAGTGTCTTGCTTTCTTCGTCGGCTTTGCATGGTGTATCGCTCAGATCGGCACGAATCTAAGTGCCAATGTCATCAGTGCATCCAACGATCTGACCAACTTGTTTCCAAAGTAAGCCTAACTTCCCGATCACCTTTGTAGCTTGATGTATTGATATTGCCGACAGGTACATAAATATTCGCCGAGGCGTTGTAATCATCACCATTACAGCTGGCTGGATCATGGTGCCTTGGAAGATTGTATACTCTGCTGAATCGTTGTTGAACTTTATGGTTGGCCTGGCTGTCTTCTTGTGCCCTATCGCCTCCATCATGGCCACAGATTACTGGCTTGTCAAAAGACGTCACATTGATGTTCCCGGTTTGTACAGAAGACATGGACGATACCGCTACAAACATGGCATCAACTGGCGTGCTGTGGTAGCACTATTGTCATCTCTTGTGCCCAACTTACCGGGACTGGCAAGCTCAGTAAACAAGAGCTTAGAGATACCATCTGGCTTCGCACATATTGTAAGATGCTTGCCACGGGATATCGAGATGCGCTTGCTGACATATTTCACAGTACGACATGAATTACTTGTATGGCTTCGTTAGCGCGAGTTTCGTATATTGGAGCTTGTCGTACTTCTATCCTGCAAAGTCCACACTTCTCGAAGCATCCATATATGACGATGATGCGGCTATCATAGTTGGCATGCAGCTGGCCGAATCATATGCTCAACGCACAACAAGCATTATACAGGATGGTAGTAAAAGCCAGGTTGCTGTGTATTATGCAGATTCGAGAGGTCGAGATGGAAGGAGAGAAACGAGTTCTGAGCAGTGAGAGTTTTCATCTACATACGCGCATGGCAATGCGAGTCTATCAATTACATAGACACTTTGCGAGATGCTCTAAAATACTCTTGCATAGCATTAGAAATTGATGTTGCGATCCCATCTCTTCACATTGCTAGACTTCGGAGAGATTGGGCAGAGAGCTCACTGAAAATCATTGGCTAAAGGGAACACCACAGCCACTGAATGGCAACTCAGACTCAGCTTATCAGAACTTCAACTCCTGCTCCATGTATCTCAAGCTAAGTAAGGGCTGTAAAGAGGCCAATGAACCCAGCAGTCAGATGGATCGAAGCCCGGAAGTAATTTTGTGCTACCCAAGTCTTTACCAACTTCGTGACTTCCTGATTCATTCCTGCTGCTGCCTGCAAACTGCCACTTTCGCTGATCTCTTGGAGTCGAGCAATAGTCGGCATCATGATGATTTGAGTCATCGGTAGCGTGGCAAAGGTCAAGGCCGCAGCTGAGCCATACAGTTGTCTTTCGCGAGGTGTGCTCGAATAAGCTAGATAGCTATAAGCGACGATGGCGGTGCTCGCAAGAGGCAACATGGTTTTGAAACCGGTTTTATAGATTTTGGCAAAGATAGGGGCCACCACTGAAGCTGGTTGAGTGTAGAGATGTGGCATGACGTTCTGTGAGAAGGTCGCATTATAGCTGGCCATCAGAAATCCACAAGGAATAGCAAGGAGCTTAGCGATCAGATTTGTGTCCATAATATGACTGATATACTTTGCAGCTGATCGGATGTTTGGACGCTTCGATCGAAGGGAATGCGAAAGGAAGCAAAAAGACTGTCGCAGATATTCGGGAATGATCCTAATGACACTGCTTCTGGAGTTCGCAAACGGTCTTCTTATAGCTTGAAGAGCTCAGAGATACGGTACCGATACACGACTGCCATCAGCTGGTCAATTGCTCGAGAAGGATTTCACAAGCGCTTACGGGGTCCAGCCTGGTGAAAGCTGATTGGAGCAGTTGGTCATACTACAAGCCATGCAAAATTTTGAATTCCTCTGCTTTCAGGTGATGTGTGCAAGCTTCATGCTGGCATTGCTGCCGTGTCTGACCAAAGGTACATGAGTGTGTATTTCGTCACAAATCGTTGCAGACGTGTGCATCTTTTTTATGCATTTGCAAATCCGTTGACGGCGGCCCAAAAGAGATCCATGCTCCGTCCGAGCTCAACTTGAAACGATGCCGAGCACCGACATCTTCCGATGCCAGGGCCATCACGAATCAGATAAAGAAATCAACCGGCACAAATATGACGATCTCTTCGGTGCCTTATCCACTCTGTTTCGAATGCACTGCAAGGCTTGTCATTTTTGCCATGCACGCCTTCGATAATTCCATGCGCGACAGGGCTCGCTCGCATCCTTCGTCTTGAATACGGCTCGCTTGCGACGAACACGAGACGAACAGATTGATCTCGTGTAGATCGCCTGCAAATGTCTGATTCCTGCTTTTGTTACATGACAGTCTTCGCCTGTGCCGCCGACAGTCTCCTGATGGCATAATCAAATGCCGCGACGCGAATTTCAACGTCTGTCAAGGCGTCTGTCGGCACTTGGCCCTACTTGTACAACATGGTTTCCAGAACGACAACACCAATTCGAGGAACGCTCGGGTACCTGCGCCTGTGACCCACCCAGATCTTTATCGCGGGACAGTACACAGCATTTTCTGCCGCATCCGAAAACATATCAGTGCAATCCTTGCAGAGAAAGGATTCAGGAATCAAGGCCCACCAATTGGCTGCGGATTTTGGACGTGCAGATTTGCGAACGGACCAAATACCAATGCTCTGCAGATCAACTGCATGAACAATAAAAATTAGACGGATGGGGATTTGCCGCCATGCGCAAGCTATCTTTGGAATCGATCAATAGGGCACAATCATATAAGAGGATGATATTCCTCGAGTGGGTGTCACTTAAGTTCAAGTCTGCCTCCGTCGTCACCTCCTTAGGCTCCAGTCCAACATGCGCTCGCTTTTTATTTCGTTGGCACTGTGTGCAGTCAGCACGTCTGCTGTTCAGATCGATACTGAAGGTCTTCCTGACACTGGGCTTGACACTTCAAGCTGGACGACTGGAACCTTACCTCCAATTGAGGACCTCGTCGATGCAAATGACTTCCAGATCGCCGCCAAGAATGTCTTGTCCGACAGACACTATGCGTACTACCGCACAGCTGCTTTGGATGAGATCACATACAACGCCAACATGCGTGACTGGAACAAGATCCGATTGAATGGTTTCAGCTTCACCGACGTGTCAAATATCAACACAAAGACGAGCATTCTTGGATACGAGTTTGATGCCCCTTTCTTCATTGCTCCTGCTGCAAAAGCTGGGTATGCAAGTAACGGAGCCGAGTCAAATCTCGTGAAAGCTGCTGGAGCTGCAAATCTCCTATACGTACCATCTATCTCGTCGTCGCAATCGATTGAGGAGATTGGTGCTGCAGCTGCGAGTGGACAGGTCATGTTCCATCAAGAATACATCTGGTCAGACAATGCAAAGCTTCAAGACGAGTTGAATCGTATGAAGAAGGCAGGATTCAAGGCCATCTTTTTGACGGTGGACAACACGGTATGTGCGTGTGCATTATACAAAGATCGATCTTCTGACAAGATATCAGGGTGTCAATGGAATCAGAGATCGTTACCTTCGTTTTTCTGCAGGTGGTGATGCCGGTCACAGCTCTACATTCACCATTGAATCATTGAACAAGCTTCGAAACATGACAACTCTGCCAATCGTTCCAAAAGGTGTCAAGACTGCTCACGATGTCAAGCTTTGCGCGGACCTTGGCTTCCCTGCTGTCTACATCTCGAACCATGGTGGTCGCGTTGTCGACATGGCGCCTACGGCAGTCGAAGTGCTTCTCGATGTTCATCGCCTGTATCCTGAAGTCTTTGACAAGATTGAGATCTATGCTGATGGAGGTGTACGTCGCGCAAGTCACATCATCACCTTGTTGGCTCTTGGTGCTCGTGCAGTCGGTCTGGGACGTGCACCAATGTATGCCAACGTCTATGGCGAGCAAGGAGTTTCGAAGCTTTTGGATATCATAAAGAAGGAGCTTACCACCGAGCTGGCATTGATCGGAGAGCCTAATTCGAACAACATTCGAGGAAACAGGACCTTTGTCAACACCCGACGAGTTGAGTTGGAGTTCTTTGGTGCACCTCTACCTTAATGACATAATATAATAGAACTCTGGGGCTATGTGGCAGTGGCTTCGGGAATAATATCGAATGTTAATGATCCTTCGCAACGTCGGCTGTGCAATGTGACCTTCAACACCTTCCGAGGTATAACCTTGCAGATCCCAAGGCCAGTCCAAAATTCCAGTGACCGCCCTTTCTTTGACTACAGACTTCTGTCACAAGACTACAGACACCTGTCACAAAAGCGGACACAGACTCATTCGCAGGTCCGACAACTTCTTGAGTGCAACAACATGTCGTCCTTCTTACTGTTCTGCATCTCTCAAGTTCCAACATCTGTGAGCAACATTGAACCTCACTCAGACTATCCATTGACAATTGCCAGATCATCGACACGCTATTGGAGACACCAAAACACAATTTCTTCTCACTTGTCCGCGACTCAACTCAGACAACATTTGATCCTCGGTGCACTTCACCACCTGTCGATCTATTCATTAGCGATTTTCAATGTCGAGAGCAGATATGCAACTTCGTCGCTACTCATCTCGACGATCCTCCATCGGCTAGTGATCTAGAAGCATGCCAGTATGCTTTACTCGACCAGCGCAGTGCTATAGATCACACGGTTATCCTCGCGCACTCATACTCGAGTCTTGCCATGCGCGATCCAGGAATCATGACCGAAGATGAGTTGAATCAATGGAACACCGAGTGTGAAGAGCGCTTTGATGAACCCGATGACTCGTGGCGCGAATGGCGAGTCAGGTTCGAGGAAGCAGATTCTCTGTCTACGCATCTGTGCTTTGAGAGTGATTTCACGGTCAAACTGTACAATGAAGCTTTCGTGGCGGCGCACACAGACGACAAGGGCATTTTTCAGGTGGACTCTGCACGTAGAGCCTTTGAGAATGACCATGCCTGACAGGTCGGCTCTTTCTTGATTGTTTCGGGCTCTCTATGCACAAGAAAGGATGATCTTCCAGGTCCGCGGAGCTTGTGTTGGTGAGAAATGACGCGACGTCATAGCAATCTTTCGACTGACAGGCTATACAATACTACTCAGCAAGATTGTTACAGAAGTACACATATTCACTACATTTCTCAAGGCTTTGAGACTATGATGGAAGACAAAACAGAACAGAAGTTGAAACTCTCTCATGTGTGATTGTCGTGTTCTCAGGAGTCATATATATCGTGATATCAGAAGACAATATCTAGCTAGTTCCACGAAGCTTGCCGAGAACAAACTTGATGCCCTGGTTCTGCACGTTTGCATCAGACTTGTAAGACAAGTGTGCAGAGACGTCCAAGCCATGATCGGGGTTAGTATCACAGACGGGGTCGCCCTAAATATGGTCAGTGATCCTCTTGACGAGTTCCAAGAGGCTTGTGAACTCACGTAAGCGCAGACATCTAAAGTCTTGCTAACCCAGTTCTTCGGGATACTTCCAAGAAGGACACTGAGACCATTGACGTTCTTGGTAGTAGAGCCGCCCTTAGAATCGACATTGCAAGCTAGGCCAGCTTTGTGGTGAGGGTCGCCGACAAGGAAGACACCTTTGACGGCATTGAAAGCAGCGCCAGTAAGCTTGGGCATAGCATCAACAGTTGCAGCGGCACCTTGGGAGTAACCTTCTAGGATGAAGCATCTGTTGGGGTTGGCCTCCAGACCAGTGTTGATTTGGTTGATAATCTGTGATCGTGAGTACAAACATTGATTGGATCATTGAAAGATTTTACTCACATCAGCGGTACCGGCAGCAGAGTTCTGATCAACACTGGCTGGATAGACGGTGTCATACTAAAGCTTGTCAGTGATACTTCATCTCAAGACAGACTTGAACACCAACCTCGCTACCGCCCATGAGCTGGGCAAGAATGGCAGCATCCATGGTCTTGAAAGTATTCGATGGACCTTGAGGCTCGCCAGTGCCTCGAGTCTCAATGAGAGCTTTTATTCATGTCAGCACTTTGCAATAGCATAAGAAGATTCGTGGCAAGACATACTGTATGCTGTGCAGACGGCACGTTTCTCGAGCTCTTCGATCTTCTCGATGGGGCTTGCAAATGCTTCAGAAGCGAGCAGTAGAAGGCATGCAGCCTTGGCCAATGCAAAGAGGGACGACATCACGAAGGGCAGGATTGATTTGAAAAAGGCAAAGGATATACAGAGCGAAAGTGGATAGGTCGCAAGCTGCTGTTTGAAGATTCCGTAAAGAAGAGAAGATACCTTTATATACCCTAGACAGATCTTCAGGCGAGCGGTCAACATCTAACGATGCCTTTCAATCGAGACGTTAGCGAGCAACACAGGCATGCTGATCTTGCTGTAGGTGAAGCGAGCCTCGGGGTGTCTTGATGCATAGTATGGCAGACCGCTCAGTGCTCATCGAAGTTTACTAAAGGATTTTATATGAGTATCGCTCGCTTAAAGCTTGCGATCACAACTCTAAGGTATCCCATTGGATGTTCGAGGCGTTTTGAACGCTTAGACATTGCGTTTTCAAGCACGCGATCGTCCTGAAACCCGTTCCCCGCACTTGGTGGATAAGACCTGTGGAGGGATTAATATATTCCTGAGCCTTAATTCGTGAACCTCGGCAAACTCCCATACCAGTCAAACCCTATACCAGTCAAGTCCTCAGAATGTAAGGTGGTAAATGCGCCGAGGATTGATTGCTTGCAGGACTTGGCCATGTGAATTCGAAAGCTATTGATCAGCAGCTGACCTCGGCAGCAGGTTCGTTTCTAGAAATGTCAGGCGAGGCGGGCCGCATCGTGAACTGTGAACTGTTGAAAATTGACTATACCAGAATAAGGAGGTCAGATCATGAACCACGACCTTGCTCGGGTTATCCCAGCATGAATCAAGCCTTCGTGATTATTGCATCAGCGAGAAAGGAATACTATCTGTCAGTGTCCTTTTCCCCACAGGGAAGTCCTGCCATCTGCTATCTGAATTTCAAGACACCACTGAGTCAAGTTCTTGAGTTCGTCTCCTTTGTGCCATCTCTCTACCTTTAGGGTTTTAGGGTTTTTAGGGTTAGGGTTAGGGTTTGCAGAACTTCGATACAATACTATATAAGCTATATTATGCTCCTAAACTTAGAAACCTAGGTGCGGTAAGGAAACAGGTGGTCTACCTTCTTTAGATCGTGTAGTGTTAGTTAATCCCGTATCCCATCCAGTTCCGGGCTCGGAGTCGGACAAGTAAAGTAGAGATGTACTTGTCTAGCCATTCAGCTATACTAGGAGAGAAGGACTGTTGCAGCTCCTTATAGGTCTGCGAGGTCTCCTTTCCCAGTAGGCCTCCTTGGCTAAGGATAAATGGTTTGAAAGCCTGGCCTAGGTTTCG